TAGCTCTTACCGCTTTATACTAGAGGTCTAACGGCTAGAGCACTAGATTGCCTATAAGAACCTTATTAAATAGTTACGTAAGATGCTAGACTACTAGTTAGAGGAGACTACTATCCTAAGGGGAGGTAGGAAGTAGGAGGGATTTAAAGTAAACTCCGAGGCTATTATATAGACGTTCCTTAATTAGTGCGATAACGATTATAAACGTAAAGTACTTAAGGAGGYACTAGATAGGGTTATAGATCCGATCTTAGAAAAGGAGGAGGACGGGACTAGCTCTAATAGCGAGGATAACTACTAGTTAGATAAGGAGGAGAATCTATAGCACGTATAATAGTATATAAGCATTCCCTATATTATTCGAGGTTACTATCTTGCTTATATGCGCTAGTACAAACGTTCGGAGTCGCCCCTTATACGCTATATTAGTGCTAAAGGTGTAATCTCTATAGTATCCTTATAACAATCGTACGATCGCACCGTACAATTCGAACCTTTATATACTACCGCGGTATATAAAGCTATAAACGGGACCCTACTATCTCTACCCTCCCTCTATTCTTCGGTCTACGACTCGGCTACTACTACTATTATAGCTCCTATACGATCGCGATACCGTCTACGAACCCCGAAGCGCTTTATACGGAGGAACGATAGGTAATAAGAAGCAATAGAAGAAGCTATAGCCTCGAATATATATAGAGCGTAATAATTTTAATTACGGCGAAACCCTACGTAACGATATTAAGTGCCCTTTCTACGAGCTCTATAATCTAACGCCGCTAGTTATAAGTAGCTCTAAGGGCGTTGTATAGCGGGCTACGTAGCTACTAGCACGCTAGCCTCGCCTTAATAGCGCCGGAATCCCTYCTAGAGTTACCCCTATAGAGATTGCCTCTAATATAGAAACATCCGACTATAAGCTAGTTAGAATAGGCTAGAACTACGGCGATAACAATTACCTAAACAATACTAGTCTAAACAATAGGCGCTCGATAAATAAGCGCTAGCGGAAGATCGATACCGACTATATACGGAACCTACTAAAGACGGAGTACGACGCCGGTAACCTCCTAATTAGCCTTCGGCCTAAGGAACTAGCGGGAACGGCATCCGGCTCCTTTATATAGGTAAGGATAACTATTACTATTATTATTGCTAGGTACACGATATTACCTAAGGACCCCGATAGGATACCGAAGTTTTAAAACAAGAAGAAGGGTATATATATAGTTAGTTTATTGCTAGCGACTTCGTCGTTCTAGATACCGGTGTACAATCGCTAACTTTAATAGGGCAACCTTAAACTGTCTTAGTACCTAATTAGAAGTTCGATTATATAGCTGCTATAATGCAACTATTTAAGTATTTACTAGGTGTAAAGTTAGAGATCGATTACCCTAACAACACCCTTATATACATAACTAAGCAGTATAATAACCGTAATAGGCCTACTAAACTAGTATTTAAGGAATACGAAGGCTCGAGGCTCGCTCGTATCTTCCCGTAAGGAACGAAGAAGACGTATAGGGTGTTCTTAGTCTTTAAGCGGCCTAGCTAATACGATGTAGATAATTCCCTATTATACATAGCCGTAGCGGAAAAGAAGCTCGTTAAGGCTATAGCTAGGCTCTATAAAAAAGCTATCGCTAGTAATAACAAGAAGAAAAAGAAGAAAGCCCGATCGGAGAAGCCGAAGGTAGAGAAACCTATACGTATTACCTATATAATATACATCTAGTTGCTATGCTAATTCCTAATAGGCCTCCGACGACAACCTAGATAATATCGATGTTACCGCAACTACGGACGATAGCGACGAAAGCGACGCCTATCTTTTAGCGAACGTTATAGTTTATATACCCTTTCCTCCGTATAATAGTGCACCTACTAACGTACGTATAGGTTAAGCCCGAACTAGTAGTTAAGGAAGAACTAGTAGTTAAGGTAGAACCTACCGACGACCGCTAGAAGAAGGAGTTATTCCTTTAGAGACTAGAGTAATCTCGTATAGAGGTAAGTAGCTATAGTACTACCCTTTCTACCGTATAATAGATAATAATAATACATAGCGTTTCTCGGTCCTAGCTAAGTAGGGCGGAGGTTCTTTACGGACCCCCCCCCCTCCCTAAGGGGTTAGTTATAAGCGTAGCTGTTCTTAGATTTCCCTTACTTCCGAGCCTAGTAGTGCGCTACTAGCGGATCGTACGCGCAATCGATTAAAGCGCCGTTAAGAGTAGGGTATACGTTAACTGTAGATAGCGTTACTATCTAGAATTGTTAGATAGAGTTTATATAACACTTTTATCCGGTCCTTTAACGGACTTCCCTCTTAGTTAGTATATAACATAGCTTTCGAATTGTACTAGCGTTTACGATTTACGATATACTTATATCGCACCTTTGCCTTTTATCGTGTAGATTAAGCTATAGCTCTTAGAGGAACATACTACTATATAATATACACTAGTTTACGACATCTCTACACCTTAGCTTGCGCCTTCTTCTCTCTGCGCTTTATATAGGTAAATAGAAAAGAGATAAGCAATAGGTATAAGGCAACGCCTTTAGATAAAATTATAAGAGTGTCGATATACTAACGGTAACTAGAATAAATCTTTACGATACTATTATACAGCCTAGCACTCTTGCTATATCGAAACCTTATGTATAATACGATATAATAGCGTAGGAAACGCTGTAATACTCTAACTCCGGCGCCGAGGTAAAGCTAAGAGTAGTAGTGCATTCTGAAAAGCTATTTATGGGTTATTGCAGGGAAGTCGCTAAAAGACCACCGTAGCATAGGCCGTGATTTAGCACGAACATAGAAACATCTCACCACACATCGAGTCGGAAAAGCAGAGAAAAAAAGGTTTTGCCAAATCCTTCAACAGTGATAATGGCGTTGGGTCGTCCTCCCTTGGCCGACCTCGCCGCCGGTAACCGCGCTTGGCAGATAACAGCCACAGCGGCCAAGACACCTGCCCTCCCCACCGACCTCGGGGCGCGGCAAAATGCAGGTAGTATGTATGTGGGACAGAGTGGAACCAATCGATAACGGCCTGGTCGCGGCCAAGTCCTTTTTTCGCACCTCCCAGCAGGAGGAAGAGTCGTTCAATCGATCTTAATTCCGTGTCGATATCGGACGTTTTATACTACTACTACTAGAACTTTTCAAGCAGCAGGTTCCACCAGACTTTCACTTTGCGATTGGTTTGATATCTTCTCATCCTCTATTTAGTCTTGCTTCACTTGCCGCCTTTTGAGCCTTGCCTGTTTTGGTTTGACATCATCCTGATCAAATGGTACATCCACACTGAAAAAAAGAATAAAATTTGACATCAGCAACACATCAACCATGATGGAGAAAGAAACGAGACCAGCGATTGAGGATGTGGAAGGCCTATCAAGACAACCCTCTTCAACAAAAGACCATGAAGGCCAACACAAGACTACTGATGCAAGTCACAAAAGTGAAGCCGAAGCGGATGTTGAAAGTCAAAGAAACAACAGTCTTCAYCAAACACGCTCCCACATGTCCACCCATGATGCCACTCCGGTACATGATCAAGGTTATGAAGTAGGAGAGGAAGTCTATGACAAGTTCACGCCGAAGAGGAAGATTATGATTGTCTCGATTCTGAGCTTTTGTTCCTTTCTGGCACCAATGTCTTCGACGAGCATTCTCGCGGCTGCTCCTGAGGTACGTCCATTTGGAGATAGATGTGATTTGTTGGACTAACTTCGTGCAGGTCGTCAGCACATTCAACACCAGTGCTACACTTTTCAACATCAGTAACGCTCTGTACATGCTATTCATGGGTCTGTCGCCGTTGTTCTGGGTAAGTGCTTCTATTGACATTGTCGATCCAAACCCACAACCTGTGTAGTTAGTGAGACCACGGCATTCTCGATCTTGCTAACCCCAACACACAGGGCCCAATCGGTCAAGCATTCGGGAGAAAGAGGCCTCTCATTTGTGCAGCCATCACCTTTACAGCATTCAGCGTGGGCTCGGCTTTAGCCCCCAACATCGCCGCATACTTTGTCTTTCGCATGCTCACGGCCTTTCAAGGAACCGTCTTCTTGATTATTGGTGGGACTGCTATAGGTGATATTTACAAACCCAGAGAGCGAGGAACTGCTTATGCGTGGTTTATGAGCGGAACGTAAGTACATCAAAAGTGTGCAATCACTTACTTCCTCAACCCTCTCCATATTAAAGATCCATGCTAAAAGGGTGTGAAAAAAAAAGGTTGGTAGGTCCAGCACTAGGCCCCATGATAGGAGGAGTAATAGTCACATATGCCAGCTGGCGAGACATTTTCTGGCTCCAAACAGCACTCGCAGGCTTCGCTTCCATGGCATGCATGTTCCTCCTCCCGGAAACAATCCACAGCAAAAAATCCATCGAACTCATCGGCCTCTCCAAACCCGCCCAAGCAAAAAAACTTATCAAATGGATCAATCCCGCCCGCGTGGTATTCCTCCTACGATACCCAAATCTCATCCTAGTCGGACTCGCCAGCTCTTCTCTGGTATGGAATATGTACAGTCTCCTCACCCCAATCAGATACGTCCTAAACCCACGCTTCGGACTCGAAACCCCCCTCCAATCAGGTCTCTTCTACCTCGCCCCCGGAGTAGGATATCTCACGGGAACATTTTTCGGCGGCCGCTGGTCCGATTATTATGTTAGGAAATACACCAAGATTCGAGGTCAGAGGATTCCAGAAGATYGTCTCAAAGCTACTTTACCGGCCATGGGGATTGTTATCCCGGCTTGTATGGTTATTTATGGATGGTCGATTGAGAAGCGAGTCGGAGGGATTCCTTTACCGGTTATTGCGATGATTTTTCAGGGTGTTGCGCAGTTGTTTTGTTTTCCTAGTTTGAATAGTTATTGTCTGGATGTCATGCAGAGTCGAGCTTCGGAGGTTGTGGGGTTGAATTATTTTGTGCGGTATCTTTTTGGTGTAAGTTGGACTTTTTCCCCCCTACAGAATATATATATCTTGATGATGATGCTAACTTTTTCAACGTTAGGCTCTTGGAAGTGCGCTTGTGTTGCCAATCATTGCTGCCATTGGAGTCGGCTGGTTCAGCACCATTTCGGCGCTGTTTGTGTTTTTGGGAGCTGTGGGTACCTGGATGGTTTCTGTATATGGGAGACAGTGGAGAGATGCGATTGATCAAGGCGTGGAACCCGAGAATTGATGTTTATGACGATGACGGAAAAAGTTCATACAGTAATTCTATACCCCTTTTATTCGCCCACAGCTAGGTTTTGGCGGAATCGTAGTACCGCCGCCTTTAATCAGATAAATTCTTCCCACGTCATATACGTCGTAAATTCGTCGCAATGTACTGCATAGCCTGTCCTTCTAACTTTGAGGCTTTCATCAACTTTTGCAAGCTGGCAAGACGCCAATCCTTCACAGGCGTCTTCCAATCATCCATCAGCAGACCATAGGACTCAATCTAGACTCTCAATCAGCATGTAATACTTTCACCGATGATCACAACCAAAAACTCACATCATTATTCTCCGGCTTCCTAGGATTCAAAGCCCAATATCCCCAATCAGCATCATAAGAAGTGAGACTCTTCATCAAGGACTCCCAATAATGGCGAGCCCCTTGGTCATCAGCATCTGAGTTTGTACCAAACTCTCCGACCCACACGGGAGCGATGTCGTTGTCGAGCAGATAGCCCCATTTGCGATGCATATCTTTGGCAAAACTCTCGTAGGGGCGTTTGCTGTATGGTACCGAAGGGATGGAGCCCCAGCCGCTCCAGCTGTAGACGTGGGCGCTGTATACCAGACGATTGGGGAGGGATAATTCCACTGGTCTGGCTTTCGCTCCTGAGCAATCGTTTGCGCTGCTCGTGCCTGGGAGAAATCAATCAATATTAGAGGGAACTTTTCTTAGATGCTTCTTCTCCCGGCATACCTTCAACAATCATCAACCAATTTGGCTGCATTTCCAACAACGCCTCGCTAGCTTTCTCAGCGGCAGTAGCCCAACTATTCCACGTCATGGTACCCCAGAGTCCTCGAGGTTCATTTCGTAAATCCGCACCCACAACCAGCGGATTGTCTATAAACGGCCGCATGATCGTCTGCCAATTGGCAATCCAGCTTTCGGTTGTTTGCTTTATTTTACAGAATCCAAGATGATCATTCTTCCACGAGGAATCACAGAGATTGAATCCATCACACCAATGTGCATTGGTGATGTGGTCGTTGATTATCACCGCCAGACCGGCTTTTGTTAGACTTTCGACGCAGGCGTTGAAGACATCCAGTGCTCTCGGTCCGGTAATGTCATTATTTTTCTGAAGGTGTAATTCTTTATGAGGTTGCTTGAGGTCGTAGTCATCGAGAAGATCCAAATTCGCGGCGATGAGTTCTACAGGGATAATGCGATTCTCCATGACCATTTGGTCGGAATAGGGAAATCGCACAGAGTTGAATCCCATGCTGCGTATCGTCGCTGCAATCTCGTCTCGATGTCTGATATCCAGTCCACCGGCGACATGGAAGATGTCGGATGCACCATACCAGTTGATGGAAGCTAATTTCACCCTCTGACCATCATTGTCCACTATGTATCGTCCGGAAGTGCGGAGTGGTGGCGCCAGGACCAAAGGGGCAGCAGCTCGCGTGTCATTATTTTCGAAATCCTCCAGTACAGTCGGATGAAACTGCGCTTGATCTGAGGGAACAGAGTGTAAGCTGTAGAAGACCACGGTAGCAATTAATAGTGAGGCCAGTAAAATTGCTTTTCGAAACATTGTGAAGCCAAGCTGGAGTGGTAGGGAGAGGAGGAGGTGATTGTGAAAAGAACAACAACAACAAGAAGCAAAAGACAAGCAATGTAAAACACAAAAAAACAGACGACGTGGCGCACAACGGGACGAGACATGATCGCGAGTCTTATTATCAATAATCCTTCTCCGCGGCCTTCCGAATGGAACGGCATGCACCTCAGGTTTCGTGCCTGCCTGCCTGACACGCCAATGCCAAGGCCCACGCGATAAAATCGATCTGCATAGAGGCACACGACCACATACCGAGTTCAGCCTCGCGTGAAACCGATGGTGCCATTTCTCAAATTCTCATCAGACCCGAGGTTATCGCTTGATGAAAGGACGTTTCCCGAGGGCGAGATGGTATCGTCAAAGCAGGCCCTCGAATGAGACCTTGGGGAAAGAAAGAGCTTGGCGTGAGAAATCCCCTCGATGATGCTCGTCCTGCGGGCGACGCGGAGGATTATGATGCCACCGGGTGCTTGGAAGATCCGGGAAGCCGAGGGATGAAGCTTCTTCAAACTTGCATGCATTAGTTATTTAGATGGGACAGGCGGAGGCGATTGAAGGGGACGGGCGGAGTTAAGCACCTTACCTACGTTAGCATGAGCTCATTGGTTTGTTGGCGGGTGACTTGTGGTTATGGTGGCGAATCGGAAGGAATGGTTCTTGCGGCAGTTGTGTGTAAAGTTGAAGAGTTGCCAAGAAGGAAAAGCTGTTGATTTCAAGCTGTCATTCACCTCACGCCAAATCAGATTATGATGCTGCTACCCCTTGACCTTATTATGCGGTTGCGACAGAATACCGCACGCCCGACAACAGCGAAAGGTACGATGTTTGTAGTGTTGATAAGGTACTGCCGAGTCAGTGGTCTGTGATATTACCATGACTGCCATAGCGAGGCTGCCCCTTGGTAAACATACCCTTGCAGAGGGCAATAAAGGGGTAAATAAAAGTGTTCCGGGATACTTATACTAAAAGCTGAGATAAAGATGCCAAAGGAAAATCAGAGCATGAAATCAAGTCTTCATTGTTGTCGGATTTGAAAGTACGGCATAAGATTTCAACTGCTATCACACAACCTCCTCTTTCGTCCTATTCTTACTGCTCTTCCGACTCTCATCGCTCCCTAAACTAGAAAGAGACGTATTACTGCYCCAATCATCCTCATCACTGCTCACATCAATCGTATCAACATGCATCTCCTTATGATCGCTGACAATTGCCCCTTTCTCAACATCCTTCTCATTCAGCTGTGCAGGACTATTCGCATCCACAACTTCCTGCTCTTCTTTCCTCACCAAACCTTCATCTTTAACAAAAGCACTAAGCAAGCCCGCAAAGCCCGCAGCGGGACAACACCATATAAACACAGCCCTACTCGCTTGAGCGTATGCATTGGATATAATCTCAGCATCCCCAGCAGAGAAATTCGAGAGATCCGGAATCGCAAAAGGACTTTTGGCCACCGACGCGAGAGTTTCGGGTAGGGAGCCTCTGAGAACATTCGAGAGGATGGTGGAAGAGACTGCTAGTCCTACGGCACCTCCTGCGGATCGTAGGAAGTTGCGGTTGGATGTTATTACTGCGCGTTGGGATTTGGGACAGTGGGCTTGTATTGCGACCTGTAGAGGGGTTAGAATGGCTGTTCTCTGGGGGGATGATGAGCGACGCACTAGTGTTGGTTGGAATATACAACCTGGGGAGGTCATGCAAGGTTAGCATAATTCGACTCGATTATGGAGGAGTTGGATATGACTGTACCTGCACCTATGAAGCGTTAGCAAACAACATGCACTTGTCGTAGACGAGACTTACCAATTCCAGTCAGCACCAAGAAGCAGACGACTAGTCCAAGGTTGATGATAGWCCGATCCGAAAGTATCAGCAAACCAAGACCCAGTGTCCACATCCCGAATCCAGCCCGAATGACTTCCCCATAGCGATTGAATTTCGAAATCAATAAACCCGCACATGTCGATGCGATCGATGTGGAGATTCCAAGAGGTAATAATAGTAGACAAGCTGAAATCAGAGGACTAATACCTCGTACGTTCTGAAAGTAGAGTGGGACCTTGCAACCGTCAGCGTCGGATGGCTTATTGTGAAGCTGCACTTACAAAGAAAAGATAGGAATAATAAGTCATCCCAACCAAGAAACTCTGTACAAGCATAGCAGCCACCGCTTTTGTCCGAAACAACGACAATGGCATCATCGGAAGTTCAGCCCATTTCCATTCGACGAGAATGAAAATGATCAGACACGCTCCACCCACCACGAACATGGTGATGATCATTGCAGAGTCTCAGGGAGAACCAACGTGTCCGCCCATGGAAGTTGGAATGAGCAGTAAAATCACCGCTGCACTTCCGAAGAACAGACCGAGTAGATCAATCTTCGCGAGAGTCTCTTTGACATTCATCTTGGGCATGGTGGATGGAAGCCAGAAATAACTCGCTACACAGGATAGCATGGCCAGTGGAGAAACCAGGTAGAAGACGCCTCTCCAGGTGGAGTGAACAGCGAACCCGGAAGCAAGGAGAGGCCCGATCGCGTTCCCTGGGAATCGTCAGCTGTTTTGCTCTGGAATATCGACTGGTGACCTTACTTACCAATTCCCACGCTCGATCCTAGAACTCCTTGATACTTTCCTCTGTCTTTCAGTGATACCACGTCGCTAACGACCATAAGTATCAAGGAAGCAGCACCGCCGTTTGCGATTCCTGCCAGACCGCGAAAGACTGGGGTTGTGTTTAGTATAATTCCGCTGTCATCGACTCTTCGGGAGACTGTACCGTAGAGCATAGTCGAGTTGACGGCAAGAGCGCAGGCCAAGTCACTTAAAGAGAGCAAGAATAAAGCAGACAAAAGCATCGCTTTCCGGCCGAAGAGGTCCTGAACATACGTATATATTAGAAGGTGAGGTTCAAGTCAAGGATTTTTGATCATGAGAGATTGATCATACCGACAAACGACCATAAAGCACCTGAAAGACTGTGTTGGCAATTAGAGCAGATGTCCCCGCCCATGATATAGACTTTGGGAAAATATTAGCTGATGATAGCAGCTCTGTCGACTTTCAAAATCAGATACTAACTCCCTGGGCATTGAGATCCTTTCCCATGGATGGCAACAGGACTCCGATACTGCTCTGATCGATGGAACAGACCATTAGGGATAGAGACATGATAGCGTAGAGAACCATCAAGTCTCGGAATCCCAAGAGGTTCGTTTGATCGTGAAGCTTTGCTTCTGCGTTCTCTTGTCTTTTGCCCATTATTGTAGTTGATGTTCGCATCGATGGCTCGTCCCTCTACTGTAGTGAGGGAGAAGGTGTATAGGGTGAGAGCCATCGTCATATCTGTCTGGCTTGGGTTGAGTTTGGAGCTTAAGCACATTGACCATCACTTTGGCAGGGAAAGATGGAGGAGGAGGAGAGGGAGGGAGGACAAGTATAGACTTGGCTTTGACAAAGGACCTACATCGTCGTCCACGATACAACGGTGTGCTTGGAATGAGCCAGAGTCAAAGTGCTGGTGGCGATAAGGCATCGCTCGCCGCAGGTTTGTCTGGCCTGCCATCTTCAGCCGCATCGATCGATTCCAGTYTTGTTGACGCAACAGTCTCAAGGTAGTAAAGGACTACAGTCGACCACATCGTGCATAGTTACTCCTTCAATGGCATCTCGATCAGAATTCTTGATATAAGTGCAGGCCATCCCAACGCAGAGCGAACTCGTAGAGTTCACGGGGCCGACCAATGCTTGATGCTTGCTTTCGTCCAGATATATGCCACATGCAGAACTGCCGATGCCCCATGCGTACATCTATAACGGACGAACCCAAGGGGATGTCCAAGGATAATGCCGAAGCGTCGTGGAGTCAATTCTCGTTCTGGATCTGGCCTTGCCACTTTAAGATCTTTTGAAGACTTGAAGCCAGTATCGTTCACATGGTTCGGGCTCCCAACTCTTTTCTCCACAAGCTAGTACCATCAGAGACGCCGACATCATCGATGGTCCCGAAAAAGACAATGCTTACAATAGCACCATGGATAGCCTAGAAGCCTTGCAAAGTCGTATCGATCGTGTCGGCCCAGCCGCCATTTACCGGCCGGATGTCGATGATGCTAATCGCACGGCGGCGCACCTTCTTCCTGACGATGAATCTTCCAGAGAGGTGGGAAGTCTGCATGGCCGCGCTGCCGGATACATGTAAAGTACCTTGCCTAGGTACATGTATGTACAGAGTGTGGCCCGCATACAGGAATCACGCTAAAGAGACAGGGAGGTTTTCATCCAATATGCGCACTCCATTCTGTCGACAATTCACGCGGATTGGATCGGAATTCCCGCTCAGATTCCTGTATGCACGACTGGGGGGCTGTAGGCAGTCGACTTCATTGCCAAGCTTTACCGACGTCATAGAGGAAGGATCATTCAAAGCTTGTCGAGGAAAAGCTTCTTGTCCTTGCAGGGCATTGGCCTTCGTCTCTCGGAACTTCCCATGCAAGTCATCCCCTCAGGCACTACAGTACAGTACCTTACATGGGATGTCAAAGTAACAGGCACAAATGACATACTTTGCTGGGGGGTAGAGTAACCTCATCTCATCACTCTTCAAATCTTGTTTTCCCAAAAATCTTCACCCACATGCATCGATCACGATCCGTACAATGCTCGTCACTATAGCCTGGTGGGCGTGCACAACGTTCATTTCCCTCGCCATCGGAAATATCATTCGCAAGACCTTCTTCACCCGCATCCAATTGCCGGGCCCCGTGCAGGCTCCATGGTATAAACGCCTCTTCCTCGAGCCTGATCCCCGACAAATCGCCACTTGGGCCATCACCGTCCCGAATAAAGGCTTGATACGCTACCATGGAATCCTGAACCAAGAGCGAATTCTGGTCACCTCCCCTCAAGGAGTCCGAGATATCCTCACCACCACCCAAACGTATGCCTTTCAGAAAACCGAGGCATCCAGGACGATTTTGCGATCGATCCTCGGAGATGGTCTGGTCGTTGCAGAGGGTCAAGCGCATAAACTTCAGAGAAAATTGCTGCAGCCTGCTTTTAATGTCCGTCAAGTCAAGGGCTTGTATCCACTTTTCTGGAGCAARACCATCGAACTGATCAACCTGCTGCGTGAGCGGTCTGGCGACGAGGACATCAATCTGAATGATTTGATCAGCCGTGCTGCCTTGGATATCATCGGCATAGGTGGTTTGGGTCTAGATCTTGAGAATCTTGCCGGTCACTCGGATCAATTCTTCCAAGCATACATGCAAGCTGCTAGACCCAGTCCCACGGCGYAGAAATTGAGATTCTGGGCCTCGATTCTCCCTGAGTACATGCTCAACCTGCTGCCCTTGAAGCGGCATGCAGAACTTAAAGGCGCCAGCAATGCGGTGCGGCATCTGATCAGCGCTGCTGTTGCAAAGCGGCGACAAGCCGCGACCAGTAGCACTGACAAAGACATTCTCAGCATCCTCCTCAATACTGGAGCTATAGAAGAAGATATCGATGTCCTCTCCAACCAAGGAATGACATTTCTTGGCGGAGGGCATGATACCGTCAGCCAGACGATGTTGTGGGCAATCTGCGAATTGAGTAAACATCCCGAGATGCAAGAAAAATTACGAGGAGAGATTCGAACCATCATCCCAGACTTCTCCATCACAGATACTATTCCTCCTCCTCCGATGATAATGAAAATTCTAGAACGCCTGGAAACTCTACCACTCCTCACAGCATTCTGCAACGAGATCTTCCGCTTCTACGCCGCGATACCCAATCTCGACCGCGAAGCTCTGTCACCCGTCGTTGTAAATGGGATGAAATTTCCCAAAGGCACGACATTCATGATATCAATCGGTGGTCTGAATCGTAATCCCCAGCTCTGGCAAGAAGACCCTTTAGTATTCGACCCGACCAGATGGTTGAGACACGGTAATGGGGGTGTCACAACCAGAGAGGGCTTCCTAGCTTTTGGAAGTGGGCCGAGGGCTTGTATAGGGGAGAAATTTGGACGGGCGGAAATATCGGTTTTGCTGGCGGGGCTTGTTGGGAATTTTGAGATGGAGTGGATAGGGGATGGAGCTCCGCGAGTGGCTTTTGGGGGGGTGGTTAGAATGGTTGAACCGCTTGCTGTTCGATTCAAAACTTTGGATTCGTGATTAGGGGGGAATGGAATGGAATTTGAGTAATTGTTCGTGGTGTTGATACATACTCACTAACCTCACGCACCTACACATTGTAGCCCTGCTTGGAAGTCAACTCGCGAGAGGGATTAATGACCTCGTCAGTTGCGGCCAGAACTTTGACCATCCTCATCAACTAAATCGCCCTCTAATTCCCCTCGAACACCTCCGTCATCAACAAAGTGTATCCGTGCTATCGCCAGACAGAACACACACTCTCTTCTTCTTCTTCTTCTTCTTCCCCTCCTCGCTGCTTACATTGCCAAAATGTCTCGAAAAGCTCAGACACACGCAAACACCTTGTCCAAAAGACCCGTGTGGGATGCCCTAGATGTCTTTAGACTCTTTAGCAAAGGCCTACTAGAGCGCTACCACTTTGGATGCGCTGCATGGTACGAATCAGACTTGAGCCCAGCAGCCGCAGAGATTCGAAGATAGGCACACAAGAGACAGAGCGAGGAAGTGCGTGTTTCGCGACCGGACAAGACGGCGGCTTTCACATTCCAGGGCATTTAACAGGCGCCAAAGACAATTTGCAAGGGGACGAGAGAATAATGCATTCTATGCACAAAGGCGTCTACTTAGTGGACTTTGGGAGGAAGAGCGAACAGCCTCACAAATGGAAATGTGTCGAAGATGATGGACACATTGACAGATAGGGGAAAGATGCTAGCGTTGTTCGCGAACATGATTGAACTTTGGACCCGTTGAACACATGCGAGCTTTTCAGAGGCCAGTTCGCAGAGTTCTATCAACGACGCTTGAAGCAAGTGATGTAGTGACATACACGATGGATTCTCACGACGAGGAAGAACAACAACAATGGGAAAAAAAGGAAAAGAACCGGGTCGCCTCGAAAAAATACCGAAACAAGAACAAGGCCACCGCTGCTACCACCACCACGCCTCAGGCTTCAGGCTTCAGCTACCATGTCATACGAAGCGCCGCCCGACTGGTCTTTCTTTCGAGACTGTCGTTTCGTAGTTGATCAGCGACGTTAAGACATCCAAAAGTCTCGCGCTATGCACCTGGATCGAGATCTGGAGGGCCGCTGTAGAAAACGATGGAGACTCTGTCGATGCGCTGGACGTACTTCGTGAGGTAGAGGGAATGTTTCCTGGACTTGTCTCGGAGCTGGTTAGCGCTATCAATTACTGTGACCGCGGTCAGGCTCGCGCAAAGGGGATAGAGAAAGAGAATGTATGGAGAATGGGTGTGCTAGAGATGTATGTATGCCGTTTACGGGCAAGGGTTTGGCCGGTGGGTAGTCTTTTAGCGTTGGACGCACTAGAGAGGAATGTAGAGTGCGTCGATGGGATGAAGTCGTCGTCGCCGCTCTGGAGAGTACGAGAAGTAAGAGGGTTGGGAGGTAAGAAGGGGAGTTCGAGGTTGGGTATCTCCGAGTCTACGCTATTCCATCGGCGGCTTGTGATATGGGTTACGCATTCTCTTGACGATAATCAGCCCTGGATGTCTTTGTAATCTTTAGTAAGGCATACCAGAGCGCTACCGCTTTGGATGCGCGAGTACATGCAGCACGAATCGGACTTTAAGGTGGCAAACGCAGAGAATCGGCCGTTACATATCTAAGGGAATGATTAAGCAGCCTTGGATATGCAAAATGATGGAGTTCCTCTACGATGTCCGTCTCGAGCTATACTAAGTGTTACGTGCTCATATCACAAAGGCCTTCACTCGTAGCAAGGCCTCTTCCTAGAATGCAGGTTATTATTACACCTACGATACTAGTAGCAGATTTTCTCGGCAAGTTCTATGAATATATAGATATCAAGGCTTACGGGTTCGAGGTAATCAATATCCACGAGGGGACAAACACAACAAAGCAGAACTCTGAAATGCAAAATAGGGGTAGTAGGCTTGACCGAGGAATTTGAAGATACAAGAACAAGGAAGGCCACGGTGTTCGAAATCCGACGACTCATCGTAGCGGCCTGGTCCTAGCCTAGAGACAATGCCTTCCTTCATATGCTAGACGCTTGCTCTAGCTAGTGTCCCTGTGAAGGCGGAGTCTAAATACTTACCTACACGGATAAACGACTGCCTTTAGAAACATCTCATCTTTATATCCCTTTAATAGCCTACCGAAGCTAAGTCAATAGTTTAAGAGCCCTCCCCCCTTCCTGAAATACAAGTATAGGAACTTTAACATTGACGAGAATGGGATCGAACATTTTCTTTTCATTCGTACTGGCGTTATCGTAGAGAGCACTCTCATTTATTTTCCAGCAGATGACATTTCCAAGCGCCGAGTAGCATCGCGAATCGCTGCACGCTGTCCGTTTCTACATGTATCGCTATGGCGGTAGCGAGCGAGGTATTGAATTCGTGCACATGTGGGCCACTCTTCCGCCAGTCTTCRCTAAACAGCACTTCCCTGAGATGGAAGATCAGTGTGTCGAGGTTGAGAAGAGCGTCAGTCTTACGGGCAGGCCGTGCTGATCTTCGCGGCACGGAGTATTCATCGCCAGAGCTTTGGACATTTGAATCATTCATCGGGATAATATATCCTCATTCATACCCATAATATCTCAAGACCTCGCTCTCTTCAGGATCGACGATTCTAAGCCTGCTAGAACCATTTCTACCGGCAGAGTGGCCTAGCAATTGGTCAAGACAGAAGTTCCGGGCACTGGTCTTGTTGATAATTTCTGATATCGACAGCTCCGTTCACCGCACCGAAGGTTTGAAACAATGTAGTGAGGTGTCTCGATTCCAAGATCTGTATCGAGCCTTCGAGACAGGCTATGAGGAGCTTCCAGGAATGTGCGACACAGCAATGCTTGGGGAGCTGGGTAGGACAGTCTGAATTAAAACGATCACGTTCTCGACACCAACCCTACGACGGTGGACAAGACTGAAGTTCACCATATCTACCGTCAATTCAACCAGGTCAAATTCTTGATCAAGTGTGAGGCTGTCTACCAGTGGGTCTTCGCCAGGTCATACAGGCTTCCTTGCTTCTGGGCTACTCGACAGATCCGGAGAACAACCTCACAGGATCCACAAGTCGGCGCCATTGAAAGGCTTCTAGATGTCTTGCAAGGGATTCCAGGCATGCCATTTGGCATATATGGCGAGAAGGGACGCCAAGCCTTTCCCATAGCCCACGGCAACGTCCTAATCAGATGGACATAGATGGTTGACAATCGTCTTGCACGACGTGGGGGGATCGAGCAATAGGCCCAAGAGCGAAAACTTGGTTATGGATCAATATCGGTGACGCTGCCGCATGTTAGTGAGTCAATCATCGAACATATCGAACGGGAGAACTTTTAGAGAGATGGTAAAAGGAGACAGTCTTGCATGGAAGTCTATGGCTTCAGACTCAATCACACATTTGCGGCTCTCGGGGCCTGTGGAGGACTGATATCGCATCCAGAGCTGTCGATATGAGTACCATCCATCGAGACGAGACACCCTCAGTGACGTCTCAAAGCCTTGTTCTCTATACAATCGACGACTCTGGAGCTACTAGAACATTTGCTAGCAGCAGAGTAGTCCGTCATTCAACGGAGAGGGCAATGGAGTGCGCTGTTTTGTCGTGGGTTTCTCATATCGACAGCTCTGATCGTATCTGCTGCAGTACACTGATGAGCAGGAGTGCGAAGAGGTGCGAAAAGGTCCCCTAATGCTCACGAGTGAAGAACCACCAATGTCCGCCAATGAATGGCAACATCGTCGAATGACTTGGAATGGCCTGCGGTATTCGTCGAGTGACGGCATCACCGTCAATAGAGCTTTGGATCTTCCTGCGAGCAAAGATGGTACTGTTACATCTCACCCTTGACAGCAACCAGATGATCCGCTGGATATGCGCAATCGACTCTGGGTATGGTCGCTACATCTACCGCCTGTGTCTATTAACAGCGATCAGCAAAGGGTATCTCCATGTGAACACGAGTTCAGACACTTCTAGCGAACTCTCCATTGCCAGAGTTGAGGGTGGTATCAGTGGGGAAAGATACAAGGTCATTGTGTCACCTGGAAGTCTGCGCCGCTTCCTACACCGCATATTCAATATGATCGCTCTGCTATCTCACGTTGCTCACCTAGAGCTCAATTTCTGATAGTTTCTGGCGCGACACAGCTCTCTGCGATAGACTTGACACTGGAGGTCTCATCGCCGGCATCCCGGCACACCACTCTACACGGCGCTTAGCATCCTCCGCGGCTTCCTTGGCATCTACAATTGCCTTCTCATCAGCAGCCTTGAGCGCATTTCTCTTGATAATGGTCTTGATGAGCGTGCGGATCTTAGTCTTCAGCTCGTCGCTCATAGCCATCACTCCAGAAACATCATCAGCCCAGATGCGGTTGTCGGCGCAGTTCTCGTTGACTTCCTTCGCGGACTTGTACTCCTCATGAGTCTTCTTTGCGAGTTCGGCAAGCGCTTGAGTCTCGAGTGGATCCCAAAGGTCGCGGGGCGCATCGAGGTGGTCGAACTCCTTGGGAAGTTCCATCTCGACGACACAATCTACCTTGCGGAAGTAGTCGTGAAAGGCATCAAGTGCTTTGCTGCGAATCTTCTCGCCGTCCTTGTTTTACTTGCTGTAGCCTTCCTTCTTTGGCTCTGCCTTGAGGTTGTCGCCGAACTTCGTCTTGCTCTTCTCTGCATCTGCATTGCTCTTGTCATCAGATTTGGCGTTAGTGGACTTCGCACCATTACCATCGGCGTTTTCTGTGGAGTGCTCGACAGCATTGTCTGCGGCGGGGTCGACGGTGGAGGGCTCATCATCAGACTTGAGCTCGGTGTTGTTGGACTTTGCAACGCTCTCGTCGTTGGACTGGGCACCAGCATTGTCTTCTTCAGATCCTGCTTCGAGCGCGCGAACATCAGACTCGGCGGCCGTAGCCTCGGCATTGATCTCACTTCAGTGATCAACCCAGCAAAACGCYCCTCCCTCATCAGTCCCATGAACGCCAAGATAGCTGTCCGCGCACGGGTGGCAAGGACACACACACGAGCGCTTGTCTTCAGGAAACCCATTCCACGGCTGTCGAGAGATTGGATTGTGAGGTCGATAATGCTGATGTTGCATTCAGTGCCGATTGCGCTGTCGATGGTGAGAATGCGAGGACGCACGCACGGGCGCTTGTCTTCAGTAAACCCATGTCACGGCTGTCGAGAGATTGAATTGTGAGATCGATAATGCCGATGTTGCATTCAGTACCGAGTGCGCTGTCGATGGTGAGAGTGCGAGGAAGCATTGCGGTGGTTCAACCCTGCGTGCGGAGCTGGGTGAAAGCAGAAGTGTACATCCGAAGCTGACGCTTGTATGGCACGAGTAGCGAGACCTCCTTCTCCACGTCCTCACCAAACTTGTCGTGAAGGGTGGTGCCCTTGATCAAGCTCATGATGGTGTAGAAGGCGGCATAGTTGCCTTTGGAGCCTGAGGCGGTCTGCCGCATGGAGTCTAACGGGACGTTCACCCACGTGAGCCACTCCTGTTGAGGTGTCAAGACGACTTCCTTCTCATGGCCGGGTATCGTACGGACCATGTCGTTCCACCATACTGGAAGCGGAAAAGTCTTGTCGGTCTTTGACTTGATCTTCTCCTCGTAGAAAATCTTGTTGGCAGGCTCCCAGAGGACCGAAGACATGCGCGATTGCTCTTGAAGCAAGATTGACGGGAAGTCAGCCATCTGAAGGCGCTCCATGAGAGACGTTCGCAGCTGTGCGCCAAACTCGTTCATGCCAGGGTGGTCTGAATTGAACGTCTTGAACACACCCATCACGACGGGACCGAGCTGCTCTGGGTYACCGTAGATGGCGGTGGAGACGATGCGGCTGGTCCAATTTCCGACTGCCTGGGCGATCATGAAGGATGCCTCGATGGCATTGAACGCATCATCGGACTCATGCCAGACATTGCGCTTCTTGTCGTGTGCCCAATGTTTGCGATTGTCGTCAGATGCGCACTTCGACAAACGCGGAGATCAACACATCGGCGTTGGCCAGCACCTCAGCTTGCGACGATATCATTAGTCAGGTGGATATAAGGCGGCCCTTCCTTCAGCCCTTGCGTGCATGTGTATATCGGTTGTATCGTCGACTGAGGTCGCAGCAACGGTTGCAGTATCGGCTGCGGGAGGCGCTGGTGCTGCCGGTGGGAGTCGCTCGTGCAGAGGATGCTCTGAAAGCTCCTTGAAGAATTTGGCGACGTACGCAAACATGTCGACCTTGGCGGGATATTCTGGGTGGTTCTTCGGACTGCCATCCGCATCGACGCCGTCGACAAACTGACACAGGTTCACGATACCCTTCTCGGCGTGGTCCATGATATGGGACTCCACTGCGTAGCGCGAGCGACCACGGCGCTTCTTCCGATCAGTCTCGCTTTGACCCAGCAACAGTGCGTTCAGAGCCGCCTCAGTAGCGTCCATCTCGAACGTCTTCTTCGCTGGCGATGTGCCCTTCTTCACAGCCTCCTCAGCTGCTAGCTGTCCGACTGTCAAGGCGTTAGCGTAGGTGCGGACGGGAATCACATGCGAGAACCTCGCGACGATGGCGTCCAAGAGCGTGTCGCAGACCGCGTTGCACTGGCTGGTGTCAAGGACGTAGTCACCACCTGTAAGAGTAGCAGTCAGATTGGCGCAGATGAGGAGAGTCTTGCCCGGCGGTGAGCATGCGCTTGTCGGCAATGACCAGTTGCTGAGTCTCATTCCACTTGAAGTTCGGAATGGAGGGAAACGGGTTGGCGAGAGCAGCCAAGGCCTTCTCACGGTTCTCCTTGGTCATCGACATGAATGGGTCGCTTGTGTCGCGCTTGGTGCTGTCATAAAGCAGGAGAGGAAGAAGACGAGCACCAGCGTTCTTGGGATCGTATGCCTTGGCGATGACATTGATCTGAGCCTTGTAAACGCTGTCGCTTGGTGAATCCTCGAGGCGGCAGCGGTATCGCTTGCCCATCTTCACTCCATGCTTGGAGTACCAACTCGCGGATGCGCGAGGACTCGAAATCGCGACCGTAGTCGTTGTCGATGGTGACGCCGGTGACTTTGATGCATGATTCTGCCTCGAGGCGTGGCCGTAGTCGGTGTGTTTGGTAGTGAGGTTGCATGATGATGGTGATGAAAGGAAAGGTGCCGCGTCACGAAAACTTAAAAAAGTTGCGTCAATGAGATCTCCACCACTAAAACAGTTAACATCCTTCGAGAGTCCCTTCAGAAGGCTGAGCTTCGATACGAATGGACGGAAATCCCGTTTTGGGCGAATGGTGAGCGGAGCGAAACCACAGCACATTGCGGTGATGTCCTGGTCCTCTTACCTTATACCCCGTCTGGGCTAGCGATCGGTCTCCTAGGTTCTGTACTTGGTATTTCACGCATCGGCAAGATCTGACTATGCATCTCAGTGTGCCACTATAGCATTGATGCGTTGAGAGCAACTCGCGTGGCCTGAGCTGTTCAGAATATCCGCGAGACGTGAAATTTTACACTCGACACTTATCTCTCATCTCATGGCGGTCGCAGGCATGCATCCTGGCGCAAGCATCACGCTTCGATGGGTTGTCTCCGCCATGCTAGCCACTGGAAGTCGAATGCCCTTTCCTTCCCTGCCCGTCGAGCATGTGCTCTTGTTCTCGTGCAGTTGAATCATATCCTTCCCAAGCTCTTCGATACCCTCATTCGAATTGATATGCCCGCCAGCGAGACTTTGAGTCTCATACGTGGCTTGAGAAGTAACTTTATGCGGCCGACGATGATATCGATATCGAAGACGATGGAGATGGATCAACTGGGCCTCGAATCGGCGTTGGCATGAAGTCGGAGTGAAGTCCGCGCCAAGCTTCGCCCTTTCTCACCTCACTCACATCACCTTTACAAGAATGCTGGCCGTATCAAAGATCAGAGGCTTCGAGAAGGCAAACGAAAGACGTCTCCATCTCTATCTCCGTGGACATATCTCACTTCTAGCCCGTTGACTCTCCCTCGAATGCCAGAGAGTTCATCACCGAAAAACGAACACAACACAGTCAAGGTAGAGTACGAGAGATATCACGAGGACGAATGAGGTGAGGAAAAGTGCGGAATCAGCTGGGCGTGACTTGCTATGCCCGATTCCGAGGTGACATGAGAACTCGTTGATAAAATCAGCGATCCCAATAGTTCTCTTTATTGCTTGAGCCGTCACTCTGCTAGGGTAGAGAACTCCATCAGTTCTTGGATCAGTGACTATGCCGAGAGCGAGCCGTTTGGAAATATCAGGATAACACAGAGAGTTCATTTTCCGGCAATGATCCTCATCTCGGCAGCTCTTGCTGAGCTTTCCATGCCAGTAGTCATATCTAGGAAGGTCACATGGCTTCTCTTCTCGGTATTGGGATTCGTCTCAGCAGAAAACTCCAGCTTGAAAGCCTCGGCACCTCCCAAAAAGAAAGAGATGTCACTCGACTAGTCCTCATAGTCGATCGCGGCCTTTAATGCACCAGGAATGATGCCGTGTTCATCAGACTAGCCACCACGACCGCGAATCGATGCAAAGTAGATGGTGACATGACCACGGTGATACACGTTGTTGCCATTTGTCATTGTGCTTGAAGATCTTGGACCTCAAGCGGATACCTGGTGCGAAGCCCGTACTCTCGAAAGCCAAAGAGAGATCAGGTTTGCCGTACTGTTGGAGCTCGGCTTGTGGGCGGGCCTACACGACTGGGAAAGTAGCCTGCAAGAGGTCGCCGAGGAAATGAAACCAATACACAAGCCTTGCCTGCCGAACGACTCCTCACACTGCGGTCTTCTTCGCAGCAGGGGATAGGAGGACAAGCTTCGTGTCACGATGGGGACGGTAGGTATCCGAATACCGCGATGTCACCCATTTCACACAAAGTGCGGATCTCCTCGAGGGATGGGATGATGCGGTCGTCGACGGGCCTCGCGATGATAACATCAAGGAGCTTGAAAAACTCGGTCTTGAGTTCCTCCTCAGCAGCGGCGGCGGCGGCGGCGGCTGAAATAGGTCTCAGCTGAGAGAAAAGCTTTCGCATTTCAAGTCGAATATGATGCTGCTAAGATTCTCCAAGTCAGCAGGGTCGAGACAGATCGCGGCGAGATGGAGACACCGTGGGGCGGCGTAGGGTGCTTTAGCACGTGCTCATAWTGCGTGAAAGCTGCAAGTCCCTGACATCAGCTTCCAAAGCCGAATGTTTGTCAGATGATAGATTTTGTCATGGGCAAATGCGCTGTTTCGTCCCATAATCTTCCGAGAATTGGGAAACGAAGTGAAGTCACTTAGCGTCAGACACAGGTCTTGCTCTTCGGCCCGCAGGTTGTATTACTGGAACCCTCCAGACTTCCATGGAGAGTGGTGATGAACCTCGGGGACATGAAATTTTGTGAGGGCGGTTATAGAGCATTTTCGCAGCTGCAATTACTACAGCGATTTCATCAACGTGAGTCTGAATGATACGTGACGAACGGGACGTGTTGGCTCCAGCAAGGTGAGATGATGTGCGTGTAGCGGTCTCACGCACCATAACATCAAGCCGCACGCTCAACGCTCACATCGAGCCTCTGCATCGCTCGATAGATCGGAGGTTTCTAGTGCCCATGACATTCCTCCTGGACGCCAGAGAGCCGGCATCACAAGCCGGGGATAGGACATTGGAAGAAAGTAATCTTTATTCGAGCGAATGTTGACCTTCTTAGGTAGAGGTTGCCGGCTGTTCCGAGCTGAGTAGTATCTGAAGAAGTCATAATGTTGGAATGTCGAGACGCGGTTATCCTTTCAACCAAGATTGCCAAGTTCGCTTCATGGCTGAACGCACAACACCCGATCAACTCGGATAGCAATGCAAACACTTGCAACGATCAAACTCGATGCTTCAAAAACATTATGAAAAGTGAGAGATGCAGTGATTTTTAACAGTTTTAATTTTCGATCATTGACTTCTATGTGTCCTGCGTTCCTTCGCCCGAACAATCGTTTCGTGTCATCCAAACCAGTATAATAAATCCGCACCAAAAGTAGATCATCGCACAACAGGCGAGACCAATGTAATATGTATATCACAAGAATTTAATTCCGTCCATCAGTCCCCTTTCCATTATCCTCATTAATGCTCCATTTAAAGAGCAAAGGCGRCAAAGGCACCGACAACAGCCATGAGGCCGGCAGCGGAGACGGCCGAGGCCGCACCGGTGTACTGAGGTGGTGCGGAGTAAGTGGGAGATGGGACGGTGGTGTTGGCAGCCGGTGGGGCGCTGTACTGAGGAGGAGAGATGGGGGAGACAGGTGTGTAAGCTGGCGCGCTCTCAATTGGCGCAGGTGGCGCGGGGTGAGAGACAGAGACGTAGACTGGAGGGGTTGGTCCAGGAATGTATGTGGAAACCGTCATGCTGGTGGAGACCTCAGTGGTGGTGACTGGAACGGTAACAGCTGGGTGAGACTCCGTAATAGTCATAATTGAGGTAGAGGCCTCGCACTCGTGGCAAGGAACAACGGAGGTGACAACCTTGGTCGTCTCGGGAGCGACAGGGAGGGTCTTGGTCAAAACATAGGTCATAGGGGTTTGAATTGTCTTCGTCTTGACGGATGTCAGGGTGGAGACGGTGGTGGAGATGACTGGGTAGCCAGAAGCCGTAGTCACTGTGACGGGGCACTCGGAAGTGTAAGTAGTAGTCTCGACAACAGTGGTAGGGTGGTACTGAAGAAAGGATTAGCTTCTTGTCATTCGGAATGGTAGTGAAATACTCACCACTGGGACAGTTGTGGTCTCGATGGGGCAGGTAACAGTAACGGTCTGGGGCTTGGTGACGGTCACAGTCTGGTATCCGTATGTGAGAGTAGTGGGCTCAGGGCAGTATGTGGTGATGACGGTAGAGGCCTTGGTTGTTGGGTGGTAAACCGGGATGGTAGCGTTCTTCGTGGAGTACACTGGGTGAGAGTACACAGGTGCGTGAGTGCTGTACACAGGCGCAGGGTGTGTGTACACAGGCGCCGGGTGGGATACGGTAGAGCTTCCATAGACAGGAGCGCTGTGAGAAGCGCTGCTGGAAGATCCATAGACAGGAGCGACAGGAGTAGAGCTCGAGTGGTAAGTTGGCACGCTGCTGGTGGTGTTGACAACAGGGTGGTAGACCGGTGGGGCAACGTAGGTAGGAGGAGTGGCGCCGTACGCAGGAGCGACAGCGGCCATGGCGGCAGAGGCGAAGCCAACGACAGCAGCGTTGCGCATCATGTTTGCGGTAGGGTTGAGGGGTGGAGGTTGAGGGTGGTGGGATTAGGTATTAGGTCGGTATTGAGCGATTGTGTGCGGATAACGAGTGTGTTGGAGAGAGATGTCGGGGTGGGACTGCTCGATGTATAAAAGCTGTTGAGGATGAGAAGCTGATTCGAGTGGCCGGATGGGCAGCAAGATATACCCATGTCGATTATCAGTTTACGAGGCCGCTCTGACGTTCCCAAGCAGAATAGTCCGTACCATGAGTCCATGCCGTCCCCCATCCAGGCGATTGAGCCGAGAAACGGTCCACATGCACCGTGCTCCGTCCAGTACGAATGCCACGTTGGAGATCCGATGCAAGGAGCAGGATAGCCAGTGGGGGATAGAGTTGACGAGGGTGTCTCGTATTGCCCGCTGTGGATGCATAAAACATGGGTCCGGAAAAAGCTTGAGCGGAGCTGGCATCATCGGGCAGCCCAAAGCGGAAGTGTAAATGGTAAGGTCCCTAGGGTTCTGACAGCTGACAGCGGTCGTGAGGTGACACACTTGCTGCAGTGCAGCCAACATCCTGGTCAGGAACAAAGAGATAAGCACGCTCACCGGCAGCCTCGAGCACAGTTTCCAATGGCCTCATCGTACACAATTTCCACCTCTATACAGCTACGAAGCTGCCATCGTCTTTCCACAACGTGCGACAAGAGTGTTGTCGAGCGGCCACATGTTGTGGCTTCGGTACCTGCACCGCGCTGCACCGCATGCAGTAAAGATCACCTCCACAAATAGTCTGACTTTACGCCGTTGTCTGGCAGCCGTTCGACTCGCGCCGACGCTCAACGCCCTACAGTACAAGTTGCAACGGCGGCCACGATAGGGTCATTGGTGTCCGTGCGATTGAAGCGCATCAGAGAAGCATCTTTTCGGACACGCTTGTTGTGCTATGATACGGCTTTGCTTTTGGAAAAAGAGCCTTTTACTCCCGGGGAAGCAGAGTCTGTCGCGTGCGGCCCCTGTTGGAATCCCTTCGTATTGACTCGGCTAGCGTTGGTTCCTACAGCGATAGCTGTGCAGTAAGGCGAACTTCCAAGGTTTACTACTCAAACGAACCGCCGATTCCCGCTCGAACGCATGCAGGAACACTTTCTGCGGGCCAGTCATCGAGCTGAAGAGCGTTTTCGTTGGATGGGAACTTTTCACCTCTTTTCCAACGGCACACCACGATTCAGATCCCGGGTTTCACCTTTACAATTCGTGCTCGTGGAAGCCCTTGTTGCTGAGCCGATGGCGCCATTGTTCACGTAGGTAGATCTACAATGTCCATGCTTGGCGCAGCGGAAAATCCTGCTCTTCTATCCAGACGAGGTTGGGCGCCCGCCACTCGCCGACTGGAGCGACGAGGGAGCTACTGTGCGTTGTAAGCGAGTCTCTCCTGGACTGCACGCACCGCAGGATCTTGCCCCAGCTGCGAAGCGATTGCCTATCTTGAACCCTCTTCACCGCGCGATCCTCATGACGACGGTTCATCATGAGCGTTGGGGAAACGGCAGGAACGATCGCACCGTACATGTCATCTTGCTGCGGCAGCACAACGGCCTTCCCCGTTCTTTCATCACAATTATATGAGTGGAAACGCGCAAAGTTGTTTGTTTATCCGCATGCCGGTAATCCGGATGACTTCGGGGAATGCCTGCTGTTGAGCATGAGCATGGACGATGACTGGCAGATGCACCCCGCGGAAGCTCCGCTCCGCTGTGGGTCGATAAACTCTCAACTCCCAAACAAACAACCATTCAAGGGAGAGTGCCCCCTTCCTTTGGCCGAGATTATTCGATGAACGATTGAAATTTTCAACTCGTTTTCTGTCGTTCCCCCGACTCCCGACGGCCATCCTGGTCGTGTCGTTGATGGCCCAGAAAAGCCTCAGCGTGATCCCACTCCACTGGTGACGGAAGTCGGCTGCCAGGGAACTTGGCAGTTCTTCCGAGCCAAGGCCGTAAGTGCGTGCATTCTTGCCAAAAAAAACTACATCCGGGCGGTCATCGGCCACCATCTTCTTGACCGTCGTATCCTCCACACACAAGGCTCTGTCGTAAAGGCCACAGCGTCGCATCGTACAGCGGCGAACGCCTCTCACTCGGCTATCTCCTTTCACCTTCACAACGGTGAGTGAAGAGTGGATAGGTAAAAGGGCCATTGCTCAGTACGAGCGCTAGCCAGAATCCTATCGAAGCGAACAGAACAAGGCGGAATGGCTCAGAATGATAACCGATGACGAGCTCAACGGAAATATCGAGGCCCTTGCCGTGCATACTGCAGTCTGCAGCACTGCAGCACTGCGGCTTTCTCCATCCTGTCTGATGTGAGACCTGTCAAGGATGGGACAACTGCCAATAACCAGATCTACAGGGTCTCTTCACATGCAGTGATAACGATGCCGTTTTCAGCGTCTTCGTTCGCCGAAATAAAACACAGCACGCTAAACGGCAGGCAGTTCCTAGTCCATCGACTGACCCCTCAAAAACGGCTCCACGACGATAGACAACACATTTGTTTTGATTTTCCATCATGCAGCCCCCAACCTCGTCGATATACTCCMAAGGATAAACTCACCGCTCACAGCAAGATCTACAAACAAATATACGGCTCGATATATATGCATGAATGTCTCTGGCAGACCATAGGGTTTGTTCTCTCCAGACTACTGCAGACTACAGTACATACAGTACGTCAGGGAGCGGTGAGACGGGCGCGATAATCTTTCACAACTAGAGAGCAGTACTAGCAGGGAGCAAGTCTCGGAGTTTTTGCATTAAGCTACATGCAACATTAGCCCGTGTGCTTGTCTAGAAGATGCTGGTGCTGATCCGGAGTGCTAGAGAGTAGAGATGAGACATTCTCGTACTTCTTGCCCGGCCCTGTCCTGCATGATGTCGTCGGGCAACAATGTACGACTGGGGAACATTGATCCGTCACGAGCCGTAATACATATGCCAGCATAGCGTTTGCTTGGGAGACAGCGGACTGCGATGCGACAATGTATCAATTCAAGCAGCAAATTTTACTCCCAAGGTTCAATTGATCAGGCGGAGAAGCTTCCTCAAATTACTTTCTCAAGATAGGTACCGACGTCTACACCAACGTCACTGCAATTTGTTGGTTCATACCCCGATGTTCTGCTGGAATCGACTGCAGGCAGAAAGCTATCGGTTACCGGGCGGCATAGTGAAGACGACGTCGTAGATCTGACCATAGGTCTCGTGGGGTACAGACTTGAGACCGATGCGCAGGCTCTCAACATCGAGGTCTGTATTGGATATCTTAMGAACAATGATGATCAAAGCCAGAATGTAGTGGTCGACGACAAATACAACCCACGGTATTTGGAGGGTGAGCACTAATATTTCTAAACCTTTCTCTCATTTGCCAAATGTGTAGAAGCATGCAGCGCTTGGTTTGACATTACAGGAGCAGCACGAAAATGATGAACAACCGCCGCTGATTCAAATATCAAATCAACCCGCATATGAGGATACAGCGGCGGCAAACTAGAAGAGGTAGGACTGCCCTTCCAGCAATCGATTTTTCAGTCTCCACCTTGGTGTGGTCATCGTTCTCTTTTGCTTGAATAATCGAACGTGGAACAAGCTGAAAAGAGGTGGAAACTACAACAGCTGTAGAAAGCGGCACTTTGCTCCCAAACTAACACAGATTACTTTTTGTATGCGTGTCTAAAACAGCTCAAAGCACAAAGGCCACATTACTACCGCAGCAGGAATTGCCACTACCCCAACCCCAACCCTAAGCTTTCCCGCAAAGGGCTTAAAAAGGAGGCAGGCATCACTTATGCAGCAGAAGACCTAGTAATCCATCTTCCCGTMTCAAATTAAGGACGCTCATCTCCCGCACTCAGCCGCATTTCGTTACACTTCTTCGAGACTCCATTTAATAGTCGGTAATTGCAGGGCCAGGTCTTCACCCATACATCTTGTCCGCGAGCTCCTCCCCGGTCCATTTTTCACAAACGCTCACAAAAGTCGATAATATCCCCTGGGCCTAGGCCCTCTCCAATAGCGACACCCAACCCAAGGTCGTCTATTAACATAGACTTCCTTAATCAGATCATAGTGTTCCTTCGGTAAGCTCCATGGCCAATATCCCACCTCCGACCAGTTGTCGGGGATACTGAACGAGCTACCGCCGCCATAGTAGTTCTGAGCGAATGCGGCACGAGTAGAGCGTGAGACGCCCAGGAGAGAGTGTTGGACTTGATCCTTTTTGCCGTGCGGCTTCCAGACAATGGTTCGGTTGCCGGGAGTAGCGGTGAAGACCTCGGTGAAGATCTTATCCCAGAGTTCCTGGGGAAGAGTGTCGAGACCATGGCGGATGGTGGCGACGTCGAGAGTTGGTTCGGGCATGATTTCTGGAGATGACAGTTGGACTTGGGTGTGCTTGTCGTAGGTAGTTGATTGTCGCAACGGCTCTCGGTGGTCATAACTCACAAAGATGCGCGCGGTATATTTGGAGGAGAGCTTCCAATTGTGTTGATGCAGTAAGGCTTTTCGCGCATTCGCTCTAATGGCGATGACACTGTCGTTATTGCCGGTGAAGGTACTTGTAGCTGTCGGCGATGATCTTTTCGCTTGCGAGACTGACCGATACCAAACAAGTAATTGTTTCTTCTAGTAAGTGGGTTCGGACCTCGAGTTGTGAAGATGTTAATTCGCAGGTAGTTTATATAGGAAGCGAAATGCCAGGAGCTGGCGCACAGACGCTTTGTCACATGTAAAAACTTCAACGCTAGTGTTCGCTACGGCTTACGAGCTTGCACATACTGATGTTAATCCGAATCCAGATAGTTACTCGAATACTTGTCGATTTCGAGTCATTCACGCTTTATTAGCTGATCGTCATCCCCATTCACACCGAGTGCCCATAATGGCTTTGGTCACTATCCGTCTCAGCTGATTTCTATCGTTACCGTGGAAATATGCTACTTCTCGGCTGAAACATTGCGCGGATAAAGGTAGGTAGAGACCTGGATTGCATAAGCATTATGTATATCTTACAGTTATGGGACATGCCCTCCTCTACACTAGGAAGAAGAGTGCCGAGAATAAGTAGACGCACCTCACGGAAAGCATGTCACAATTATGACACAGAGCTATGAAACGCAAGGCCATTATGATGTTGTCCGCACAAAGAAGGAGCGTTCACACCACACTGTTATTCCGGAGAAGAAAACCTTAAAGAGGCATTCGATGTCACGATGCATTCGATTTGTAGTAGCCAAAGTCGAGCATCAGATATTCTCCACCACAACTTCGCCTTCCAATCTCCGCTTCCACGTCTCATTTCGAACTCGAGCTTGTCATTCCGTCTCGCTAGCCTGCAAAAAGCCTTGTCCGTCGAACGACGAGTATCTTAAGCACAGCCTTTGCACTGCGCCATCAAACGCAGACCCAATGTATCGGGATATCTTCGTTCACATGGAACCTCATATGAGGCCTTGGAAACGCCTCCGTATCTTTGTAACACCCGGTCTTGTATTTGGGCCATGTCGTCTCGAGACCTTCCTCGATAAGTTTGAAACGGGCGACTAGAGGCGCCCTGTRCCAGTCGTAGCATTGCTCGTCGGGCGTACGGCCTCCAGGCATATCTTTAAGTCCAATGTCGATCAAAAATGTGTTGTACTTGCCGTAATAGGACTTGGCGTAATATGCGCAACTGGAGCGGTCGATATGCAAGAGTTTGGGGTCATAGCGGATGGCTTCGAGTCCCATCGTCTCGTCGGATTGCGAAGCATCTTCCTACTAAGAGTCCTTGGTTTAATCAAAGTGATTTGCAAGGCGTTGTTTAAACGAATCCCAATTGATTGTGATAATGCGCTCTGCAGGCTAAGCAGTAAAGACTACGATATGGATCTTGTCATACAGCTCTTGTGACAGTGTTTCAAGCCGCTAGCGAAGTTCATTAGTATCGATAGTGGAACCATTCGAGTTGGAAGTGATGGATTCCATATTAACGGGAATTCCGGCAGTAACTAGAGCTCTGCCTCCTTCTTAGACGCTCTTGTATATTCCTTCCGTGCATGTTGTGCCTACCCTTACTGACGTGACTACCCTACCTGCTAGGGGGTACCTACCCTTTGTATATCTTATATAGAGGTCTTTCTAGGGCAAGCTAAGCGTTCCGACCGTTACAGGAAGAAGGAACGTAGGCGGCAATCCAAGGTTCTAAGAAGGAGGTAGCTGGAGCTCAAGGTTTGCTAAGCTGCGGATGTTTTGAGGTGCTATAACGACGATAGCTTAAGCAGCGAATCACTCGAGCAGGTCCGAGTCGATGTCGCAAACGGACACGAGTGCTAGCGGTAAAAGACTCCCTCGAGAGTAGTATCACCGATGAGGAGCTTTTTCGTTGTAGTGATGAATGCAGCTTCGTCCGAGGCCGAAATTGGAGTGTTCAAGATTCGTGCACAGACCTGTCACATGCTTCCAAGAGAATGAACAGACTGCCTAGGTAGTCGCTCCCGTCCGAGGCCGAAATCGAAGTATCCAAGATTCGTGCACGGACCTGTCACATGCGGCCAAGAGAATGAACAGACTGACTAGGTAGTCGCTCCCTCCACTTCCTGGCCTTAAATCCGATGCTGGTGATTAACTACCACATCGGCTACTCGAGATCAAGTGGCTGGACGATATTCTTCGTTTCAAAAGGCTTCACTTACACTGCTAGTTGACATCTCCTACCCCTGAGCGCTCTGTTGGTCGTAAAGAGGGAGAGAATGGAATGGAACTGCTTCGACTTTTCAACATGTGGCAAGCGCAGATGTTCGAAGATGGAGAGGAATTGTTCGCGTACGTGACATGCTATGGAGAGGTAGTTCATTCAACGTGGCTCGTTTCCAACAATTACGATCCATGTGCTGAGATGCAACTCATGATATACTGGTAGCCGACAGCCTCGCCCTCGCTTTGCCTCATGCCAGTGTTCCGACTGCCGTCTACAGTATTCTCCTGTAGCTCTCCCTCCCTCTCGAGTCGCCCGAGATTCCTGTGATGTTGCCCGTATCCTCGTGCTCATGTACGAAGTGCGGCCTACCATCTTGACCCATGTACTAATTCGGCATCTCATTCCCATAGACCTTGCCATCGTACTGTAGGAACACATTTGCGGCGCACGCAGGTTCTATTCCGCACCTTGTGAAATTATCTCTGATCATAGCAATGGCGTACAAAGGGTCTGCGTGTTTCYTAATGCGTCGTACCAATAGAATCTTCGGGAGAAGCACACGGTGCGCATTCGGGAGCATTAGAAGCCAGCGCTCGATGTCGAGCGTACTCACGTACGACAACCGGGTTTCCAGGTCGTGAAAGACGAACGTGCTTCCATGACCGTAGTAGCTCTTGGCAAAGATCTCGCGGGATTCTTGAGAGATATGCAAGAGTTTGAGGTCGTTTTGGTTGCGTTCGCTTTTGCAGTTGGCTTCGACTGCATCGTAGTGGGCCTTGGTGAAATCTTCACGCCAATATGTGGCTAACGGGCAGTACACCCCTACAGGCGCAGTGAAGACAGCGGTGTAGATCTGGTCGTAGAGTTCTTGTGGAAGCGAATTGAGCCCAGAGCGGATGGCATCGACGCTCAGAGTAAGATCGGTCATGGCGGCGGTGGTGATGGGGTCCATTTCTGATGAGCTGACGGAGTCGATCGAGCGGGCGAGCTTCTGGATGATGACGATGCTGCTGCAGACACCGCTGAGCGCTGGTGTTGGGTCTTTCGGAGGAGACGGGGGTTCGGTGATGAAGTCTCGGACTTTGTTGATGTGGTGGATCAAGTTGTGTGGTGGATCAAGTTGTGTGTTGGATCAAGTTGATGTATTGWTTGGATCAAGTTGATGTGTTGGATCAAGTTGATGTGTTGGATCAAGTTATGTGGTGGATGAACTTGCTGACGTGGTTGCTGCGACGAACGCTGGCTGCTGCTGATGTCCCAGATAGCAGAGTTGTTGGCTAATCAATACCGACTCTGATCAAGAGGGATACCACACTGTGATGCACCGCGGGTCATGAGTTGACAACGATGATGTCTGTCAGTGTGCGACGATGGAAGGTCTGAGAATCAAATTCCAAGTCTGAGGCAAGTGAAGAAAAGCACAGACTACATTACCTACTACCTAGCAACACCTGCAAAACATACTCCACCGGCGAGCTGGTCAGGTATACTGGCTACTTCACTGCTGCTATCTTTTGAATACCTCCCGCACCCTCGACACTCCGACATGATGCAGAAGCAGCTGTCGAGGTCTCACCCAATCTGGAGACTGGAGAAAGCGCAAAATCGCAAAGGACAGACGACAAGAGGACAAGTTCTTGAGGAATAAGTCTTGTATTGAAAGTGGGAACATATCTCAATCGTACATTGGCAATGTTGGACTCAAAGAGAAAGGCCATCACAACAAGCTTTTCTAGCCCCTTTTCACGGTCTTGGTCCATCAAGGTGAGAGCAGCCGGCTCTAAGCGCTCGTACCAAAGTCATATTCAGGCTCGTCGATGTTGATGAGGTCAAGATTGAGGATTTGCTAATGAAGCTGCAGTGATCAAAGACAAACAGAAGTGAACAGCAAACCCAGGTTGCCCCAACTTACTTGACTGCCAATTCTGAATGGAGCATCAGCATCAGCATTCGCGGATCACATCACATCCGTCGTGGCTCCAATGCGCAGAATTCCATCGAAAAAAAACCACTGTCCAGCATCAGCATCAGCATCTTTCATCAATGCAGAGCAGAGCAGAGCAGATCATCCCATTCATCTATCTGATATTCTATTCCAACCTTTCCAAGCAAACGCTCCCCAAATATCCCTTTGTATCGCTGTCATAACTCACCAACTCACACCCACCCATCACTGCTCGACAACCCCAACGGGCATCTCCACCTGGCCAAACGCACTCGTCCCCAAACCAGTCCTACATTCTCCTCGCCAGTCCTGGGGGGTGAAACGATCGGCAACCTGCTTGAAAGCCTCGAGCGTACAGAAGCTCTCATCGCCCTCCAAATGCCTTCCCTCACCCTTACATCCCGGCAAAGTGACCACCTTGTCGTTGTACCGGATTCTCACAAACTTGCCTTGTAATCTCTCCCTCTGCTCTTGACTCATATCCTCCCACTTTGCTCTCGGATCGCTTGACCCTTTCTTTGCGAACCATCCCTTCTTGCCAGCAGTCGCACCCGTATCCTCCTTGCGAGCGAAGAGCTCGAAAGCAATGCTACTGGTAAAGTTGGGCCACTTGTCGCTCTTGGTTCGGAAGCCGCCCAGAGCGGTCAGGGTAGCAGCGATGGTGGTATCATGACATCCACTAAGACTCATCTTCCATTTCTCCTCTTCGTCCTTTGCAGTGACGTGCTCCACCATTCTTTGCGTAAGATCTCCTACCAACCCTCCAATGCCCAACTTCCTGTACTCGAGAGATTCTTCATACCCACCAAACCACTCTTCGACGCAAATCTTATCGATTGTGTCTCTGACTTGCTGTTCGTAGAACTCTGATGGGAGTCTCGTAGCGGGTCCGTGAGCGAGAGTGGCGTTGATGCTGTCCATGATTCCGCTCAATCGTGGGTGGCCATCAACTTTGACCTCGGGCGTTGCAGGAGGCATGTGTTTTCCCAATCTCTTATTCAACATCTTCATCTCCTCGCTACCATTCCACCTCTCCGCGGCACGATTCGCAAAGGCATGAGCGAGTTCTGCAAATCGAGGACAACCTCGTTCGTTGGGGAAGAGGGTCTCATCGGTGATGCTGCGTTGGATGATGGGTGTTGGAGGAAGAGCGGGAGAGCGGGAGGCCGGAGGATACAAGCCGACATACGTTTGTTGAACGGATTCAAGGGCACGTTGGATGGGAGTGGCACGGAGGTGGATAGTCGATTGCGTGGATTGGGAGAGAAATGGTGGGAGGAGGGCGAGTTGGTGAATGTAGAGGGTTCGGAGACGTTGACCTAAAGAGAGGGTGGTTTCCTACGTGAACACAATGATTAGGATTGATTGGGATATATGAATATTGATCGACCCACCCTCCCTCGATCTGTCAATTCACCGGGCTGGCATATAGCATCGACCTCTCCACCAGGACCGACAGCGAGATGTGGAGCGTCATTCTTTCCCAATGTCTCCAGCCGGCGTTGCCAGGAAAGAGTGTCGCATGCTCCGTCTGCTGCGAACACGGCACTCTTTAGCTCATTCGCTGCTCGACAATACGGCCAACTGCCATGAAGGCCCGAAGCTTGAAAACGAGCGGAAACGGGAGTTCGTTCGCCGTGTCGGAGGAGAATTTGGACTTGTTCGAGGCGGAGATGGGATGGGTACAGTCGGCTCAGTTCCTCTTCCGAGTAGGGCGGGCGGGGCGTCAGGGTCGTCATGTTTGAGTGGAAAGAACAGGAGGGAATGTGGGTTATCGAATCATTCTGGAATGCGATTGAAGGTTAGAATAACCAACACGTCAAGAGTCATGAGGTGGATTGGAGAAGTCGGTCTGCTGTTGGCGGGTCGGGATGTGGGGCGTGACGAGCAAGTCACCTTTCACATGCCGAATCTTGGGATCATTCACCAATGCTTGTGCTTCCAATTCTTTGAACGGAGATACTATAGGTCAACAGATGTCCAGCGACGAGGTGGCATGTTACAAGCGCTTACGAGCATTTCCCCGTTCTATTCCACAACGAGCTGTCCACATCTATACCACCGTGAAGAATGATCATTACTTGGACCGTCCAGAAAAGTTCGCAAATCACTCGTAGACTCCCCCACGCCTTTCACGAACCATCTCTCAGAGTGAGACATCAACTCAGGCCCGTGGCTCCCATCTGTCCTTCCGCCCAGCTGCTCGCCCGGAGAGATAGCGATTTGGCGTAGGAAGAGCCTCGGACAGCGACATCGGTCACAATTCTCTATTTGGAGGAAGATTCTCTTGCCAATCCCATAGGCAGGACTGCTGAGATGGAGGAAGTGAATTTTGGCATGTGAAGGCAACCTAGTCAGTGAAGGCATTGGAACTCGACGGGAGCTCCATTTCGGGAAGGTGCGGCGAGTTCTCGGGGATGCTTCCACACAGTTGGCTAGCTTCACGCAACAATAACTATTTCCATAGCAGCATGAGAGGGTGAGAGAGACATTCCTCCTGGAATCGAAGGAGATTGGGATTGGATGGCGAGTCCGTGGATTTGTGTGTCATGTCGGACGCGATTGCCGACTATCATTAAAGGWGCAAGAGGGGTATCGCAGCAGGCCGCTCGACGACAAGGCTTTGGCGCCGTGCAGGAAACACATGGACGCGATGAGACAATAGCAGGAAGAGGAGGGAATGGGAATGAGAACGGGAATGTGAATGGAAATGAGAGTSGAAATGGAAATGGGAGCGGAGGGGTGAGAGGAAGATATTCCAGAAGGGAGATTCCACCCGACTTGCTTCGTCCCGAGACGCTGTTGCACCAGTTGGAGGAGGAAAAGACGAGGGGTGGAGAGGCTCGTCGAGACCGAGTAGGCGTGAAGCTTTCCCCAAGTGGGAGGACATTGCAACGGCGACAACACCTCCTCCCGCCCGCTCTGATGCAGGTGACGGAAGCCTTCATCGCCCACTCCACCCCAGACAATCTCGCCCAAGCGTGGGAAATCCTGTCGACCAAGCTTGCGCCCAGCCTCCGCCAGATTCCCTTTCCTCCTCGTCGCATCTGGATGCGCACGCCGGCCGTGCAGCCCAAACTCCATGAATTCCGGACGCAGTGCACTAAAGAATGGCTGCGCGCTCTCCAACACGGCGCCCTTTCCACCCACTCCCTCCCCTCCCCCTATGAAATCGTTTTGTTGATCGAACAGCTGGGCTTCGGCAAACCCCTCTACTACCGTCCCACTCTTTGGGAAGTCGCGGCCGGCATCCACGACCTTCGCGTCATTCATCCCCATATCGACCTGCAGCCCGCCCTGGACGAACTGATGAAGTTGTGGAAGTTGTGCCACGTGGTCGCCATCAGCCGCACTCGCACCATGGACAAAGGGCAGCCGGTTCTCGAAATGCCCACCGACTGGTCATTCCTCCCTCCCTTGACCATCTTCGCCACCCCTTCCTTCGCCCATGACTTCCATTCCATCCTCAACACCTTGGTCCTCGTCGGCGGCAAGGAGAGTGATCTGGACCCGATCAAGCTGGACTATGCCAGTCCAGCATTGATCACGCTGGACTTGTTGAGGACGACGCCGTGTAAGATGGACGATGGGACGGTGGGGGTAWGTGCTGAACTACCCGACTACAGTCCATGGGTGAAGTTGATGGAGTCGTTGTTGCGCTCCTCTTCTCTACAAGTCATTCCGCCGTGTGTGGTCCACAGGATGTTCGATGTTGGCCAAGACTTGCGGGAACGGTATGAGAGGTTACTGAGGAGGGTCGGTGTGAAAATGGATGTGCTGGAAGATGCGAAGAGAAGGTCTGCCGATCGCAAGGAGCGAAAGGAGCGTGCCGCTGTTTCAAAACCAGCTGTCGAGGCCGTGGAGGCTCCCCCGACAACATCAACATCTGATCCAATCACCACATCCACACCTCTCCACACCTCTCAAAATGCCCCTCGAGATACACCACTAAATATATCCCAAGGTACACCGCAACACCCGGACGAACCACCTCCCCGGGAAGATGCTCCAGGGCCTACTCCTCACATCAAGTTCACAACACGTCCCGACAACCCTGTCGTCGAAGACTTCGCCCTCCGACAGATCATTCGTTTGGGACGTGCATTGGAGAAGAGTGATGTCCACCAAACAGAGTTCATCCGCAACAACATTGCATCATTCGCAGCTTCCAACAATCTCACCCCCACAGCTCTCCCAATCGAAGTGTACGAGCACCTCATGATGGTCCTCTTCGCATTGAAGCATCCAAAAAGCGCTGTTGATGTCTGGAAGAAGTTCATTCAAGACGGATATGTTCCCACAGTCAAGACTTATACCGTCTTGATGCAGGGAGCATCTCACGCTCATGACGTAACGTCCATGGAGAAATTCTGGCAGGCGATGCGGCAAAAACTCCAGCCGGACTCTCACGCGTGGTCTGCGAGGATCAATGGCCTGTTCAGAGCGAAGCTGCCCCAGAAAGGTCTTGCAGCTCTAAGCGAGATGGGAAAAGAGTGGTATACCGCCGCCCGCAAAGCAGAAGACCCTTCGGCAGGTCTTCCACCTTCTAAGAAGGCTAGTAAGGCGTCGCTTCCTTTGCCGCAACCTTCCCTCCCCTCTCTCCTCTTCAAATACCCCGACTCCATCAACGGAACTCCCCGTCCAGGACTAGTAGTAATGAACACCGCCATCGCTGCCCTGGCATCCTCCTACCACGACGCCGAGATACCCAAGGTCCTACACTGGGGCAGGACATTTCAAATCGAACCCGACCTCATCACATATAATGCCCTTCTCAACATCTGCATGCGCCATTCCCGCAGCACAGAAGCCCTCTCTCTCCTCTCCCGAATGCGAGAGAAAGGGATCGAAGCAGACAGCACGACTTGGACCGTCCTCCTTACGTCTCTGTTTCAATCCGGGTTCCTCGACGACCTAACGCATGAAGCTCAAGGCAAGAAGGTCATGGAATTCATCCGTTCCGTCGAACTAGACGGCCCCGCAGGAGAAGTACGGAGGAAGGGTGGGTTAGATGTCAAGGGCTACGCCCTCATCATTGACCGTCTCCTCAAAGTCCACGAAAACACAGCTTCCGCGGCCGAGGTATTGAGGTACATGGTCCACGAAGCGAAACTTCGCCCAACCGCACAAATCTACACCATCCTCATGACATCCTACTTCTTCCCTCCCAACAACTCCCTTCCGGATTGGTCCGCCATCGACACATTATGGACTCAAATCTCCACTCCCGATTCCAACGGTTTCACCCCCGGTCTCGACCCCATCTTCTTCGACCGCATGGTCGAGGGATATGCTTATCATCACGAAATTGTGGGCATGAAACCCGCGATGGACTTCTTGGCGCGGATGAGTGAGAGGGGCATGAAGCCTGGGTTCGGGACGCTAGAGGCTGTGGCGAGGATGTTGAGTGCGAGAGGGGAAGGGGAGATTTTGAAGAGGTTGGTGGGTGAGGTAAGGAAGCGCGTGGTGACTGGCGGCAGGGTTTGGCAGAGGCAGAGGGAATTTTGGGAGTTTGTGGCGAGTACGGGCGTTGTTGGATGGGATGAGGTGGATGAGTTGATAGGGAATGATCCTAGGGGGAAGAGGGGAGGGGACAGGTGGATGGATTGATGGGTTTGACTTTCCAATCATCTTCTCCCATCTCTTGCATCTAGTCCCATCTCGGTCGTCCATTCTGTCTCTCTCCCTATCTCCTAATCTCTCAGCAATACTAAGCAGCCTTTGAATATGCTGGTCTCTCAGAGGAGCGAATGATATATCATGTATCCAAAGACCGCCCCACCTCCCGAAAGGCGAATGAAACGGATCAGATGTCGTTCATTGACCTTTCCCTATGGATCAATCCATCTATTATACATTACCTTTAATGTTGTAAAGCCCCTCAAAGCCTTGATAACATCCTATATTCTTCAAAAGGCGAATTTCTCCCTATTTAAGCCGACTTGCGCTAGGACATTTTGTCAAGTGAATGACGATGTTTATGGTGTAGGGTTAGGGTTTGGGTAGTGTCGTTTGCTTCGACGTTGATGTTGGCGGTCCGGGGATGTTATATCGAGATTCAAAGGATGATTTCTGCCATGTTGTTTCGTGTGTAGCGTTGTTTGATGATGGATGGCTTGGTTGGTGGACATTTTGTTTCGGAATCATTGATTTAAGAGAATTCAGCGAGGTTGAGTCTTGTCAAAATATCAGACCGGTGCATTTCTCAACTTATCTGGTACACGTCAATCCAATCACTCCGCGAGACAGAAACCATCATAGTTACCAAGTTGAAAGCACCTTGATGTAATTCGATACATTCCGTTTATATTCCCTACAACCCATCCTGTCGATATACATATATACACCTACAGCCTCGCCCTCTCCCCCGGACCCAACCCAGCATCATCCACAATACCCCTTGCAATATTCCTCGCAATACCCATACAAGTGATCATAGGATTCACCCCACTAGCACTGGGGAAAACACTGGTGTCCGCAACATACAACCCGTCGGTACCCCAGATTCTCCCCTTGAAATCCACCGCCGAATTGGACTTTAACGTCCCCATGCGACAGGTTCCCATCTGGTGCGCGGAGAAGAATCCACAGTCCGGCGATGGCAATCCTCTCTTCTTCAATTTGTCAACCCACTGTCTGAAAGCCACGTCCGTGATCGAAGGCGCATCCACACCCGTTACGATGATGTTCGAAGCAGGGGATGAAGCGGGTCGCACAAAAGGCTCCACCCCCGGAATGGCRGCGTGGATCTCCCTCGCACCTTCAACATACATAATCTCTGCGAGTCCGATGATTCCAGCGAGGATGTGGGCTTTGTCGTAGTTGCTGGGAGTGTACGCAATCCTTGCGGAACCGTCCTGAGGGTCCGGATACACTCTTCCACCATACCGATCGCGAGCCAGAGAGATGTAGCCCGTCATTCTCCGCATCTTAATCGCAAACTCCTTGAACTCCAACCCACCCGTCCAAGGGAAGAGTGGGAGGAAAGAGGATGGCATCATGGTTGTCACTTCCAGCTTGGCTCCATATCCGGAATTGTCCATATTCTCGAATTCATTCACCACGGATGTGAGAATGGCTCCCTCCCAAGGTCGAACATCCTCATCCCACACCGCTGCGAGGAAGGACACGGGATGAAGATGGAGATGGCGTCCGATATGCTTATTCCGGAGACCAGACTTTTGCAACAACAAAGGCGTATAAACCGATCCTCCAGAGATGATGGTCCTCTTCGCCTTGATGATCACCTGCCGCTTGCGACGATCACTCCCGGCAACACCACCATGGCCATCCCGAGACGTCCACACACCCCTCACACCCGTCGCAGTCTTCTTATCCGCAGCATCAAACATAATCTCCTGCACGTCGAGACCCTCCATAAAGTTGGCTCCGGCTCGGGCGGCATCCGGAAGAAAAGTCACGACAGGTCCCTTCTTCGCACAAGTCCGACAGCCTCTTGTACAATATCCATCATTGTGGACCTCCCCTCCAGTATTCTGCGGAACAGGTTTAGCAGTCCATCCCAACTTCCTCGCACCCTCCATCAGCACAGTGTTAGCTTTGTTGTGCTCCACGTTCTTCAAGCCCACGCCCATCCTATCGCAAACAGCATCCAAGTCCGCCTGGAACGCGGCTCCTTCGAAATGTTCCAAGCCAAACTTTTCAGCCCACTCGCGTCGCACATAGCCCTGTGGCTGCAGCGAGGCGCTCCAGTTCACCGTCCCACCACCTCCCCACGTCTGGCCCGGAACGACTGTAATACTAGCATCATCACTCGCATGACCGCCGCCATTTCCAAAAAGAAGAACCGGTGCTTCCGCCTCACTCATGGGGAGATATTCGGGAGCCCAGTAGTAAGATTTCTCCACCACCAACACTTTCAATCCCGCTTCCGACAAGGTCTTGGCCACGACAGCGCCGCCACATCCGCTCCCTACAATAACGACATCCGTCTCGATGACCTCCACCTCCGCAGGAGCGGCGGGAGGAATCTGCACGAAGCGGAACTCAAACCCGGCTCCTGGAGGGGAAGCATTAAAAGCTACTTTGGGGTGGGAAAGTAAGGCAGGGAGAGCTGGGGATATTCTCAACCAGAATAGACGTGCCAAACCTGTCAGACTTCGATTGAGCGATCTCAACAGTGGGATCCGAGATGTCGCCCAGCCGAGAAGTACCTGCTCCCGGTCCCGGATTGGTAGGGCGTCTAGGGTTGTTGTGTAGCCCGTGAGGAGGAGAGCGCCAGCTCGTGTGCTGTGTTGACACTGTCAGATGGGCATCTTTCCAACACGCCAAGACACTCACTTCAATGCATTTAGAACAAACAACAACCCACCGCGCGAAGTCTCATTCATCGACTGCTCGACGAATCTGAAAATGTGTTGCTGGAATTCGGGCTCGGCTGWAGCGCTCTCGGCAAAGTAAGCCGCGACTTCCTCACCAGAAGCCGCATCCCCTGCAAGGTCATGCACGCGCTTGACGGAAGCGTTGTAGACGTGTGGGCGAACAGGGAGCTGTAAGAGGCGATTTCCTCCCACGCGGGAGATTGATGGCACGACTGTGTTGCATATCGCGGAGAGGATAGCCCATTGTGCGGGAGTTAGTGTTGAATCCGGGGGAGGCGGCAGCAAGGTTGGTGTCTGTTGGATGGACATCTCGAAGGAGTCGGTGGAAGATATAACCAGGGTGAACCTTGGCTGTGGGTATCGGACAGGTGCGTTATCATTCAGGAGTAACTCCTCGGAACCAGAGTTGTCTCGCCACGGTCATGCGTGAAGGGATGGATGGAGGTCGTGGCGTCTGTTGTGGTATTGACTTTGCAATCCTGTGATCAAGATGTCAATGTCACTGTCGATATCTCAACACGACCACGCGTATTCAACAGAAATAAGCGAAGCGATGGAATGGAAATTGGAGCCTTGGCTTGAAACAAGTCGCATTGCATTATATTGCTGACGATGATGATGTTGATGAAGATGCTTTTCCAGTTTAGCCCGCGTGCAGGAGACGAACGAGCCGAGGAACCTTTCGCGCCCGGAACCTCGTTTGCAGTGCCCGCTTTGCACATGTCAACTCGAAACACCCGACGCCATGCCTCGGACAGCCCAACATCACCTGTGGTTGTTGGTGCTGCAGTGGATGGATGAGTCGAGTTTCATATGGAGGAAAAAGGTGGGTTGGAATTGACTCGCCGTCTGTGTGAGGTTGGTTTGAGATGCGTCTCTTGAAGATTGGATGGGAGGGGACTTGCAGGCCTTCCAATCTTCCCTTGCCCTTCCCGTCTTCGTCAGCCCGCCCGTGGACACGGCATCTGTCGGTCAAGGGTCGGTGGAAAGTCGCTTGTCCGCTTTGGGCAGGCTGTCAAGATAAGAGCGGCGGATTTGATTGGCTGGCGCATTCTCGACGTTCCTCAACCATGGCGACCAGGATCCGATCCCTCGCACACATCGATGGATGAGAAGCTGCATTTGATGAAGGCGACGGGGATGCATGCGCACATCGTTGCTGCCCATCATCTATCAATATCTATCATCCTCGAGGTTGATGATGATGATGATGATGATGATGCTGAGATAGATGTACCGTACCTACCGTATGCATGCCCGTGGATGGACCAGACGATGGACGGTCGATACGATGGTGAGCGAGCGTTGGAGCTGGGGAGATCAGACCTTCGATCAGCCACCGGCAGTWGTCATCATTCCTCGATCGCCTTCCTTCGTGTCCTGCTCGTTTCCCATGTCGGCTCCATTTCTCGTTTGCATCCTCCTCGTCGCGGCCTGCCATTCGCTCCCGCCATCATAAGCGCCACGCCACCTGCAGGTTACTGCAGCACAGCGTCGCCGGCATGCGCGGCGCCGTTGTGACCTCGTCTCGCCTCTCACGCGCAGGACTACTGCTCCAAGCCTAGTTGAAAGTCGGTGATCCACCCTTGTTGAAAGTGCAGCGTGAAAGCTTGTCCGGCCGCCGGTCGACCAGGGTGGGTACGGGCAAAGGTCATCATTTGCTGGGCCCAGGGTCTTCGGTTGGCGCTCCAAAGCCTAAACTCGCCGTTATCTATCAAGTAGTATACTTGCTTCTCCCTCCGCTGCATCTGTCTGACCGCAATACCCAACAATGCGGCGCACCACTTCCATTCCTTTGCCGTGTCGAAGATAGCGAGTGCCGGGTCAGAGGTCCATCTGCCGCTATCTCTCCTCCAATCTTCCAATCCCCTCAATCCAATCGACCCCGACCATTCCCGCCAGCATTAGATCTGAGGATCGCTGTTGGATCTCGTCCCTTGCTGCCGCCCCTACACCGTCACTTGCGATCAATCTCAAATCCCAATTGCAAAAGTCGGGGGAAGCATCTCTTGAAATAGCCGTCCGCGTCGGCCATCTCAAATTCCCAAATCTCAAGACTCGATACCCAGTCTTGCTCTCGACAATTCCCGCTTTGTTCCGTTGCAAGCCACCCACCTCAAAACCAAACAAACATCCACCCGTCTCACTTCACTCTTGAATGTGCATGAGACGATTATGATGGCAACCACCTCCTTCGCTACGCAGGCCAATGCGCCCACCAACTACTACAAACTCCCTCAAGCGGGGCCCTCACCACCCGAGACCTACTCCCTCCACTCAAAGCACGCCTACAAGACATCCCACGTGGAGCAGCTGGGCTCTCAAACGCCCTCCCCCACGACCAACATCTCCCCCACCAGTATCTCTCCGATCAGCAACAGCTCCAACCACAAGCCACGGCAACTGCGACAGCCGCGACAACCCCTCTACACGCCTGCCGCATTGCGACCTGCGGAAAAGCTAGCACGCCCTACCGACATCCCAGGTCGCCCCCGTGCACCCGACACCCCACCTGCCAGCACCGAGAGCAGCTTCACCATGCACACCGACTCTCCCCATGCCATGGAATTCGCCACAGACTTCTTCCAACAACAGGGAGACTATCACGATGTGGACGCCATGAGCCGTGGTCTCAGTCGTGCTTCTAGCCATGTGATTGACGAGGAACTTGGGGACGTGACAAGTGCCCCCACCACCGCACATTGGAAGCCAGACGAGTCCGCCGTGGGATGCTACATTTGTAGCCAGTCATTCACATGGTTCTTCCGACGGCATCACTGTCGACGGTGCGGGAACCTAGTTTGTGATAACCATATCCGACACACRGTACCTTTGGATCAGAACGCCCGCTATCACCCAAATGGACACCCAAGCAAGGCTTGCAAGGCTTGCTGGGATGGCTGGAAGATTGTCAAGAAGCTGCACCACTCCCGTGCCAGCAGCATCGCCGAGAGCTCCAACAGCTCTCAAGGCACTGCCATGCCGATCCCCAATGCGCCCAACAAGAGGGTCGATAACCTCCGCATCGGCAGCATGGCACGATCTGAAGGTGGCATGGTCTGGTCGACATTCTAAACAACAACGCCCGCAACAGGGCTATTACGACGWGAGAGGAGAGTTTCACGGCCTGATATGCTTGGGGGGACCCTTTTGCAACTTTTGCTTACTTTCAACACTGCGTTTGAGCGATTCGTTTCGGCAAACCCGACTTTTTTGACATGTTAGCGTTATTAGCGATCTTCGCTGTGATACCCAAGAGGCCGCACAATAGATCGATTGATTGGGCGTGGATGGCGTTTGAAGATGCTTTTGATTGTATTATACGAGGAGGAGAGAATCGAGCAAATATGATATCCCACATACTGAAGATGAATTAATTATGGAAGAACACATAGAACATCCACTATCTGAAGACCGCAATCTTGAATGCTCGAACAGCATGTCGTCCACTCTGACTTTCCTCCCAGCCATCGTTCCTCCGAGTACCACCACCTTGAAGTGGTCTGACGACTTCCTACCCGATAGACGTTGAGGCCACACCGTTGACCGGGATCTCATCAAACCTTCGACACGAACGTTTGCTGGTAGCTCAGAAACTCTCGACCGGCAACAAGCGGCACAAGCAAAGAAAATCAAAATCATCTCAACTGGCTTCTCGTGATTGGGGAAGCTAGAAGGTCGGGAGTTCTGATCCGCGCCTTGGTAATCCCTGGATAAGATCGCGTTCTAGCTCGAATCGGAAAAAGAGTCCTCGGAAGTTCTAGACCGTGGGGGCGTGGAACGTTGTTGTCGACGACACGTCTTGATCCAAGACGCACGATTTTAGTCTGCTGGACGACGGCGGTGCTTGGGATGATGAGCGACAGGTCACAAGATGATGGCGAGTCGACGAAGGACGCAAAAAGCGCATGCACGCTTATTTAGGGTGTGGTTGTTGTTTGGGGAAAGTGCGGTCTTCGTTCATCGGCGACATTTTCATGCAGAAATGCAGGGCGTGCGCTCACATCATGCAGGCAGCATGGGTCATATTCCGCCGAATTTCCCCACAAGTTGAAATGAGGAGCAGCATCATCATGAGATGCTCATGCTCATGCTCACGCTTGTCGCCGTGGTCGTCGYCGTTGCTAGCGGAGCCACTGCCGATTTTTCGGGAGAAGGACCGAGCGGCACAAACGTTCCTACCAACTCTCTCCTGGCGAGGATACGCCGAGCCGGAAGCTTCGACGAGCGTTTCTGTTACCAAACCCACCGAGACTCTTCCATCCACTCCATCCCTTCAGCCACCGCTACCACTAATTCGACCGCAGATGGTGGAGTCAAGCCTCGTGGAGGAATATCGCGGCTTCTGGAACCATTCTTCGTGGCTTCTCTAGGGCTACTACATTGCTCGGAGGATGCAGCCTAGAAGAACATAGTCTGTTCTTCTAGCCTTGACCGGGAGATATATCACGCGGCTCATCTTGCTTATAGGGATCATGTGGTGGGGTCTTGACGACTGTCGCGTGTGAGACGAGACGTGTTGGGGCGAGGGACATTTCTCGGTGTGGAGCCATATCGTCAAGATCGCGGCCAGGGGATGAGCACTAACCGGCGATGGACACGGCGTTGTGTTCGTCATCGCTGGTGGCTATTGTCTTACGAGTGGACACCACGAGCGAACCTCTGTCGACGTCAACCCAGGCTGCTTCCGGCGATGGCCATGAGACTTGCGATCCACCAGGTYGCGATTCACGATCTGATGGTAAACATGATCTCTGGGCTGTCTTGCAGTCGATACCGCTCGTGCTTTCGCATCAACTTCATACATTGGGATGGAATCGACTTTTTCAATCACACTGTGCTGAAATGAAGCCTTCCCGGAGTCGAAGAATTCTCGTATACTGCGAGACTTCTTGATGCTACATGGGGCCCAGAGCCTGTATGACATATACAGCGACTCCAATGTCTCCGGACGACACTCGCTGGGTGCTTACACTCTCATGAGCTGTGGTGAATCACATTGAATGTGAGCTTACYAGAATCACGACGAGTATTTGAACGTTTGTCCGGAATGTAAGTCACATGTTGGGACATCATCTCACCTTCTTCCATGACTTCAGTACCGGCTTCGTTAGGTGTTTCTTGCAAATGTTTCTGACTCTACAACTCATGTCCTCTACTCCAGCGAGGCGCGTTTCAGGATCATTCTCTCTCACGTAAACGATGAATTATTTCGTTGCTTTGAGGTGTGAGAATTCTCAGTAACTACTTTCATTCACTTACAAGCATTTCCGATTTCTGACGATCCCCCTAAGCGGCACTTCACGAGTCTTCCCTCATTCAATGTGACTTCACGTTACCTGAGTAGCGAACGACGGCAACCTCATGCACTGAAGTTCAACACACCGTCAACATCCACATCCACCCAAACATCTCTCCATCTTCACTTCACCGACAATGCAAGCTCAACCACCACCCAAACCCACCAATGGTGCAGCAGCGGTTGAGAATCTCGGACGTCTCGGCGCCATCATCGAACAAGAACTGATCTACTGGGTGAGCTACCTCAGCACTCTCTCCAAAGACCATCAACACTACGAAACCATTTCAGCAGAGACCGTCACGCCGGAAAGCAGACGCAGAGCAATGCAACACATTCTCGAAACCCTCCCACTTCGCCACACAGCTTTGGCCAGTGCCTACAACGATGAGAGTATTGATCACCTTGAACTTCCAGCAGCATGTAGCGCTCTGCTTGAGCAGCTCAAGGACGAGGCTGGTGTGGTGGATCTAGGAGATTACTACGACTTCAAGCTGTTCAAGGGGAAGCGATTCCGGCAGGATGTGCTGGCGCAGGAGGCGGAGGTTAGTGAACTGGAGCAGGCTCGGCTCGGCGTGTTGCASGGCTTGATGGTGACGTATGAGTTGTTGAAGATCTTGGAGGGGGAGAATATGTTGCAGAGCAATGCGGTTCAGTTGTTGGTGGAGACTATGGATGCTGCTGGGTTGAGTGCCAATTCAGCAGTGGCGAGTGGTGGCAACGCGAAGTGAGGTTGGAAGGGAATGAGAATAAGTCCGCGTAGGATGATGATGGTCTCATGATGCTGACGCGGATTGAGGATCGAGTTTTGGGAGGGAGAAGGGACAAGTGAGCCAATGTTGTCTTCTTTTGTCGATCTGCTTGAGCAACTGTACTACCAGTACTGCTGCTGCTACTGCTGCTTTTCATGGTCTCCCACAAAGTGATGACAGTCCCAGTTAATGTACCGGTCTCGCTGCTTTGATATGTCGCGTGTGTTCTGTCATTTCCCTCGCAAGTGTCGTTAGTTGTAGACACCATTCCTTTCAYCGTATCCGTCCTGTCACCTARGCCTCGCGCGAGTGACTGAATCGTCTGAATTGCATTTGCTAAGGCTGTGTGAAAGTCACGTCGCCCAGCATCTCAATCTCATCACTCATCGTCATCATCTGCCTGCACGAATGGGTTTGCAATCTCCTCGCTGCCATCCAGTGGAGAAATGAGGACCAACAAAGTACCACGCACCACCAAAAGACCAAGTGAACGAGAGCTCGTGTTGCCCTCTTCATCTGAAAGAGTATTAGCTGGCTGCCTCATCACATGTGATGGAGCCACAAACCTCTAGTCATCTCCTTCACATTGTCCAGAACCAGATTCATGAGCTGATCATATCCTTTGAGCGTCCCAGTCACTGCAGAAGAAGTCAGTCATATACCCCAGATCATTGATTCAGCATTCGGACCTTCTCTGCCACCATTGAATTTGACGCTGATGTCCTTTTCCATGTACTTGGAGAGATCAAGGATGTTTTCCTTCTTTCTCTCGGCGCCAGCATTGCCTCCACCACGACCTCCTCGATCATTGCCACGGCCACCGCGGTCGCCTCGACCACGGCCACCWCTGAAATTTGCTCGTTCTGACATGTTGAACAGGATTGTGCTGGCACGAATTATTATTTCTCGTTTGACCATGAAGTGGAAGCATCGCGCTGGCCGGCTTAGTAATCACATTCGCGTCTTCCCGGCCAGCCAATCGAGTGCGGGGCCATGGTCTCCAGCAACCGATTTTGAACAGCCTTCCGACAGGGCGGCGGTGGCTTGCGCGTCCGACACTGCAGCAAAAGGCTGCCGTACATTACTGCCACCGGAACGGACGAGACGGTGTCAAAGTAGGTCGCTGTGCATGCTTCAGGCTCGTCGCAAGAGTCTTGGGCCCGTTCCGACGCGCCCGGCGGAGATCGAGAAATCGGCGGAGTAGGGCGGAGTGGTGTTGCCCGCCCCGGGATCCAAGCGTGGAGGCGCCCGCTCCCCTTTCCTCTCATCTCATCATCCCTTCCCTTCTCTTCCCTCTCCACCTTCATCACATCCTTCCCCATCAACACCCACGGGTGGCTAATGTGACAGCAATGGAATCCACACCGACCCCAACTCCGACGGATTCTACCACGACCACCGCTGCGGTCAAGCGGAAGAGGAGCCCCTCGGTCGGCGCACCATCTGCTGCAACGTCTGCGCCTGCCGCCAAATCAGCCAAGACAAGCAGCCAGATGAGCATTAATTACCTCGCCCGCCAGTCCGCCGAAGACCTTCCACTCATCACCAAAGACGACACGCTGCAAGGCCTGCTGCATCTGCTTTCCGCCTATGGCACCATCCTCGACCGCCACGAGTCTCTGGCGTCAAATCTGGGTGCCCGTCCTTTGGGTCCAATCCTCATCAAACGCTTCGAGCGGTGCTTCGAGTCTCCGCCAAAGGTCGTAGCCTCCCACCATAAGAATGCTAGCAGCAACTCCCCCGAAGACACAACTCAACAAATTACCTGGCTGGAAGTAATTGAGTTCGCCCGCTCGCACCCTGGTCAATTCACCCTGAGCACGTTCTCGGAAGGCAAACGCGTCTGTCAATTCTATTATCCGCAAAAGCAGCTACGAGTGCAGATCAGCGAAGAGGACTTCCTCTTCATAAACAGTGGACGATGCCAAGAATTGATACCACCCTTGCCGATTTGGGAGGACGAAGAGAAGGAGGTTGCGACTTGCGACGTGTTGGAAGCGAAGCTCAGGGAGCTCACCAACGCAGCGGACATGGTAGCGGCGCGCACAAGACAGCTCAGTCACCGTCTCAAGGGACGCCGAGCTGCCATACTCGAGAGACGCGCTGAAGGTGGCAGTGGCACGCCAGCGAAAGCAAATGCTATATTGACAAGCAATGCACCTCACACGGCAACCGCCGACTCTTCGAACGGATTCGTAGCTGTCAACACTGTCAGTGCTGCCGGTGCTGCCAGTGCCGCCACTCCTGGGAATTCCGCCGCCTCTGCTAACACCTTGACGAATGGCCGAACTGCCACGGGAGAGACGATTGAGCCGACTCGTGTTCTCGCTTCATCGGCTGCTGTTCGCAATGATTTGCTGCGCCATTTTGRGAGCTTGCCGCACAATCAAACACAGGGCAGGGTACAGCTGCGCCATATTGTAGACCATCACAGCCATACACAAAGGCACAGTGACTCCGCTCAACAAGGACAAGAGGGTACAGGATCCAACGCTTCGTCATTATCTCCCACACCATACAATCTGCTAGCGAACGAGACGCTGTCTTATTCGACTTCCAACTCCGCGGCACCAACTCGTACATTTCCGAGCAATTCTGCCGCATCACACAGACCTTCATCCAGCACTGGTGGCAATCCATACACCTCTGGACATGCGCCCTCGAAGCACAATTTCAGCCGTCCTCTTCCAGCTGCCCTCGAGAGCACTCAACCGTTTAGGCCACTCTGTCAAGCTCACATGGACGCACTTCCACGCGGCGATCGAGTTCTTCCGCCATGTGACAGGTGTCGCCGCCTTCGCATGGATTGCATCAAGAACCTGACATCGTGCGCGGGCTGCACGAGGAAACATGCGCGCTGTCATTGGCGCGAGGTGTCTCGCRACGAGCTAGGCGCTCTCGACCATCTCATGGATGCGGCCTACCCCGAATCGGGATACTCCCCGTCCCATACGAATGGCTACGCAAACGGCAACCCTGACATCGACGATGAAAGTGACGACGATGACGCCAATCCCTTGGAGGACTTAGAAGCCCYTGGAGATATTGAGGAACAGGAAAATCAAATCCGTGAGGATGAAGAAGGCTTGCGGAATGCGCGGGAGCTGGCCCGGCAGGGCTGGGAGGGCAGTAATACTGTTGAAAAGGGGGTTGAGGTAGTGAATGGGACCACCGAGCATTCAACAGCACATCAGGCTGGAGAGGAGGAGGCGGGAGGTAGAGCCGAGCCTGGAAAGCTGGTAGAGGAGATGCAATCGTCCACCATCGTTCCCAGCCATGACATCGTTCAGCAGGTAAATTCTGCCAAGGACGTGCCTCCAGAGCAAGATACTGCCAAGCCTATCCTTCAAGCCGGCTTCCAGGCAGTCAATGGCGCGATGCCTCAGCGCTCGCACGGTTCGGAGTAAACTCCATACAAACGCTCCAACGCGGGGTGGAAGGAAGTGGAGACAACCCATGAAGACGGCATTACAACCCTACATTTCTTGACGCAAGAACACCGTATGACAAGCGAAACGGCTGTAATACTGCAGGCATTATGATTTCGAGTCCGACATACCATGCAACCTGCCGATAGATTGCGCTTTTGCAGCTTTTAATGAAATGGACTCGCGGCAGTGGTTTTCCTTGTACCCTCATTCCTAACTGTTGATCGCATGTTTGATCACCATCGCAGCAAACGCTTGCACGCGACTCAGCGGGCAAGGTGTGGTCGATATGTTGTGGTCGGTTGCGTACTCAAAACTGATGGCGCAAAAGCAGGTAACCTGTCAAAGGGCTGAAAAGTCCCGAAGTCTATCGCCACATATCCACAACCACGGAATTGAAGACTTGCTCGTCGAATGAAACGGCACATCGGGCCGTGTGTGTGTTGGAATGCCATCCATTCTACCTGACTGGATGTACAGCATTCCTCTTGTGGAGTCGTTACTTTCAATCAGGCGCGGGAAACCTGTGCCTGGCGATCCGGAGATCGGGAGGTATCCACTTGAGAACATCTCGCTCTATCGTCCGTAATGGTGCATGTTACACAAATCGCGTCCAATCAGCACCCGAAAGGCCGTATGCGCTTGTTGAAACGACGTTGGCGAGTGAGGCTCGGAAGCACAGCATTTGAAGATCAGGAACACGCAAGGCTAGCGCTCGAGAGGACCAAAGCTACGTCTTGGGTGAATCTGTGGGGCTTCGATCATGAAGCATTTCGGAAGCTGCCTCGGGAAGCTGCATCGAACAGCAGGATACCTGCATCGATCACCGCGGACAGCCGCGTTGCGAACGATCATGCCACGCTGWAATGATCCCAGCAGCGCAGGTCACTCCGGACAGCATGTCATGAAATCGCTCGAAACTTCCTCGAGTCGACCCAAATGGTATATGATTTATACGGCCATTGATCGCTGAATGATACAGCATCAACAATGCACATGTTTGAGTGGAGCACCCGCTAACACTTGCAAGTGTCTGCTAATTTTCCGAATTTACAGCGCTACTCCCTGTCACGCATATGCTGTATAACTCACAGGCACTATACAACTCCAACAACCCGGTGTGGTTGTGGCGACAGACTTTCACAACCAACAACTAGCGCAAATGCCTCCACGAATTCGGCTCCAGACTCTAGTTGTGGGTCCAAGATTGACAACCTTTACAATTCAACAAGCGCGTGGTTGGCGCTCTGTGGCAGATCCAATCCAGGACCTGCGTCTGTACGCCACGACCCACCAGGCCCGAGAGTCCCCCAAGCGGAGAGTAGGGCTTCGAGTTATGCCTGGCATGCTTCCCGTTCTGCTGCGCAACGATGCAAGATGCGGCCGCGCTGCATATCGTATGGACGAGGACTACACTCTGCTGTGAAGGATCCAATCGCTGCTTGAACGCTCTATGAAACAAGTCCGTGCACATACCATAACAGCGGGGGCAGCACACCGCCTCAGTACGCAACAATGATCAGCCAGCAGGACATCGTTCACTGCAGTTGAGCAATTGTCGGATTGTGTCCCCTGTCAAACGTCAGGTGGTCTCGATACGGCCCTATGCGCCACCGATTGAAGGATGTACCTGCTGGAAGAAGGCCCAAATGGTAATGTCGGTACTGTCACATTCCTCAGGGAGGCGTTCCACCTCCAGTACAGTAGTACCCTGAGGTGACGGGCCGTAATGGTTGAGCTTGTACAAGATACTTGCCTGCAAGGCGAGCGGGTACGGTTCATGAGAAGTCGAGCTGCACGAGTACTTATTCTCAGCAAGGCCCCCTCCCTTCGTTGGCAATTATCATCCCATTCCAGCCCACTCATACACACTCTTGTAAAGTCTCGCTCACTAAGAAGTCGAGGCACCCCTTGCAGACCACAACAATCCAACTCAACCTTTGGAGTCTAGTCCCCGTTCGACGTTGGGCATTGTCGTACCTGGCATTCACCTTGATGAGGCCGGCCAGTGAGCTCTCCTCGCGGACCACCCACCAAAAGTCTCGCCCGAAGTCGAGGCTACACAAGCACCTACGTTCAGCCGGTGCAGCTTGTTTCACCTCGGTCAGTCCTCGAGCCTCTTGAATATCGCCCGCTATACCTCATGTCACGATGAAAAGCCACATACATCTCCATTCTAATAAACCTGCGACAACCTGACCTTCCCCTTTGTTGAAATCGTCATCTGCATCATCCGTCCACCCGACCAAGTGTGTTGCTGCCCACAGAATGCAATTGTCCACGTTTGAACGTTTGCTAACGTGATCGCCAGTCTCAAAGAAGATGTCCGTTGGCCCAACGCCAGCACGCGCTCGGGGTATGCCAGTCCCTGGAATTGACACCCAGGGCGCCTTTGGCAGCCACCAGTCGTCTCCGCATGGTCTCCCAACTGCATGGCCAATGACACCGCCTCAGTCTGTAATTGAATTGAGGAGGCCCTCATTAGCATACTCTTCTGTGTCTGATGCCTCCACGTCTGGACCATCATCGATTTGCGACTACTCGCAGCCGGCTACACCTGTACACTCCATRCATTCCAGCGATCATTTCGCCCACAACAGCTGGAACCAGGACGCGACTATGAGTGCCAACATGAGTGAGCAATGCTCTTTGGGCCAGCCGTCCCAAAGCATGTACAACGCAGCTCCTTTTCATGCCATGTCAGGAGTTGAGTTGACCGGCTTCTCGCCTACTCGACACCGGCTTGGCGATACGTTTAGTTCTCACAACCAGTCACCCATGCGTGACGCCTGGTCTCATGCTGGTCAGCCAGGACTCAACCTAGGCGCTGAAATAAAGAGCGAACTATTCCAGACCAAACATGATGATGCCTCGTCGATGTACGCCAACCCGGCATCCTCTGTCCAAAATCCCTCTCTGGAGCCGTCCTTGTTCCAGGAGTTCAACAACTTGACGTCAATGTTCCCTCCTGCCCAGGTTGTCATCCCATCCCAAGTGAATCCTCAAGAGGACTATCACATGGAGCAATTCAACGACTACGATACAAACGAGCGTGTTGTTGAAGAGTTCTCTCGGAGCTTTGACTCTTCAACGACAGGCTATAGTGGATGGGAGACCGTGGGCCCTCAGAGCCCCGACGCCGCATATTACGTTCCTTCAGAAGATGAAGACTACCTCATGGTCAAGGACGAATTTGAAGGATCTCCCGGATCTTTTCAATACCGCAGTCCACAGCGCGTCAATCGACGAGCCACAAGGAAGAGTCGGAAGACACTCGGTCCCTCTCACGTGCTGGCTGAGCATGATCGCCATGGTATCCTCGTTAGCTACGAGGGCACACCATGGAAGTACGATTCTGCGGGAAATGCCATCGCCAAACACACTGACGGCGCCAAGCCTCATTTGAGATGCAATTGGGTGGAAAAAGATGGGTCCAAATGCTCTGCCAAGTTCGTTCGCTCAGAACACCTCAAGCGTCACATGACGAAGCACTCCAAGGAGAAGCCATACCCCTGCCCATTAAACGGCTGCGAAAAGGCTATCAAGCGTCCAGATAACGCTGGTGATCACTTCCGGACTCACCTGAAGCCAGCAGCCAAGGGGAAACGGAACAAGGAGTGCACGCTTGAACAGCTGGCTGCTGCCATGCACGCGGATCCCTTGTGGGACGAGAAGAAGACGACGAAGATGCTGAACAATCTCTTCAAATGGTTTCATGAATTCACGCAGCAAGGAGAGGAGAAGAAGCGCCTTCAGACTTTCGATGAAGAGGCCAAAGCACAGGCAAAGCGCATGCAGCAATCTCGCCACATGCATTTCAAGTTGTGATTGGCGGTGCCGTATACGACAACAACAACAACAACAACAACAACGACACAGGATGACGACTACGAAAATTGGTAATGAGGGTGGGGCGGCTATGCGTGTTTGGAGGTAATCTCGTTCCGGTGGTATACCCCATGGGCAGGCACATTTGTTGGGTTACCAAAAGAATTGGCGTTTGTGGTTGGATCGACGTTGCAGTGACAACAGACTCTGTCAGAAAAGGTTTCCGGGCGGCTGGTTCTGATGCATTTCCCTATCGTATGTAACTCTATGTAGCATTGGCAGCAGGGTGGAGACGCTTTGTCGGCGTGAGTGAATATATTATCTTGTACATGACAACTGAGTCTGGAGTGGATTGATTTGTCAATTGTCACGTTTGTTTAATCCTCAAGGTTCTTTCGAGGATAGTAGGACGCAAGCTTCTCCTTGAACTACAAAGGATTATAGCGTCTGTTGCATGATTTTCTGGGTCAGGAAGTGATAGTGATACAAGGTGATATAATGTAGGTAGTTCCAGTGGCGACTTGCAGACTTGCGAGTGGGGCGAGCGGAGATGTCCAAACCTGTTTTCTCAACTTCAATGTGTCGACACGTGACGATCTTTCATGATTTCCATCGCCGCTTGTGAGGTGAATTGACAGCAGAAAGACAAGATACAAATCACAAGCAGAAGATAGGTAGGAAGCCGTCGAAAAGATGCTTCGGCCATGATACCTCTAGGCCGCTTGTAGAAAGGTGTAGCCAGAGGCCAGACCACCCGTCAAAACAGGGTTCGATATCGCACGTGCCTCGACCATCATTCCTCGTGGGCTCTCGCAAAGAAGTCCCCGGTGGTGTTTGTCCAACGTTTTACCAAACCTCGCTGTTGCCTCAACAAAGGCCAATCCGTGACCGAACGTACCTACACCCAGAAGAAGAATCTGCATCTTTCAGGCGACAACAACTGCCATCTCATCCCACAACTTTCACCACTCTGGCTAGCACGTCGACCTTTCAGCACGGCCAAGTGACCTACTTTAGGTAGTGCACCTCTCCGAGACATCGACTCTTTCCACTCGCAACCACACAGGCCTCTCATATACCACCCTGATGTCGCCATCCAAGGTGACATCGTCGGACACGTCCGGAATCATGAAGCAGCCTGCATCGCCCAGCTCGTTTCTTGGCATGAACAACCAGACGGCATCGCCTAAATGTACGTCAATCCATTTCCGATGATGCGAATCCACATCGACAACACTCTTGCAACCTTCACCTCCTCGCCGGCATGCCACGCCACCTTGATTTTCCGTCGTTCCGTGCATGGCCGTGACAAAGTTCACACTTCCTCCGACCTGAAACCTGTCCACCTTTTCAAACATAGACGCTCGTGCTGACAATGTTTCTCCTACAGCCGTCACAATTGCGCCACATGCAGAGACCATCTCGCCGCTTCTTCTTGGCAGACGCAAGAGTGTGGAGGAGCTGAACCTCACAAATGGCGAACTCAAGAAACCGCAGGTGAAGAATGCGAGAGATCGGAAGCTCTCTAGGAGATCCACTCTCACCAGCCCATCTCTGAGACCTATGCCAGCGTCCATGGATGGAGCGTACCAATCTCACGATGCTGACACGACCGAAGGTGACGAATTTGAGTCGCTTGTTGAGCAGGTTTCCAACTGGATCAAAGAGAAGAGGGCCAAGCGACACATGCGCAAAACTGGCCACCATTCACTCCATCTCCATCGCCATCGTGATAATGACAGTGAGCCAACGAGCCCAAAATCAAAGTCTCTTGATGATGCAGCGGAACCCAAGCAGAGGCGTGGCTCCAACGCATCGGACGAATCTGTTGACCTGGAGAATCTGGAGCGCATCGTCAAGCACACTCTCAGCTTGAGGCGTTCTTCCACTCGCAAGACACCCAGCTTGAAGCATAGGGGATCCGTCCGCAAACTGCTTAGAAAGCAGTCCAGCGCATCTGATACCGAATATCTCGATGGTGACGTGCTGGTTCCTTCATGTGATGCTATTCTTGACAACTCAAAGACATTGGCCTACACTGGAGGAGCGTCTGATATATCAGATGAATCGGATACGGAGGACCTTAAACGGACCCGCTCCTATCGTGACGGTGATGCATGGTCTCGCTTCAAGTTCGAAATCGTGCGCTTGTCCCACACACTTCGCCTCAAAGGTTGGCGAAAGGTGCCCATGGAGATGTCTGGGTCGATCGAAGTTCAACGCTTGAGTGGTGCATTGACGAATGCTGTGTACGTTGTGTCGCCTCCCGCGCACTTGCCACTCGAGAAGAAGGACAACGCAGGCAATGTCTCGTACAGCAAGCCGCCTCCAAAGCTGTTGCTTCGTATCTACGGCCCTCAGGTAAGTAATACCGAGACGTCGACTGCGATGTTTCTCGAAAAAGGGAGCTGTCCTGACATTCAATGTTCCTCCAGGTTGAGCATTTGATCGATCGAGAGTCGGAACTTGCCATCCTCCAACGTCTTGCTCGCAAGCGCATCGGACCTCGTTTACTCGGAACATTTGCCAATGGACGATTCGAGGAGTTCTTCCATGCAGAGACACTGACCCCAGAAGACCTCAGAGATCCAAGCACAAGCCGACAGATCGCTAAGAGGATGCGGGAGCTGCACGATGGGATCGAACTTCTTGATCAGGAGCGCAACGATGGCGCATTCGTCTGGCGCAACTGGGACAAGTGGCTTCAGCGCGTCGAACAGATTGTCACCTGGATGGATGCACAGGTCGCAACATTGCAACCGGGTGTCAAACCGACAGGGTCCAAAGCATGGATGCGGCGCGGTCTCATCTGTGGCGTGCCTTGGGAAACTTTCAAATCGGTCGTCGAACAGTACCGGAACTGGCTCAAGGCGCAATGTGGTGGCTCCAAGGAGCTTCGCGAGCAGCTGGTCTTCGCTCACAATGACACCCAGTACGGGAACATTCTCAGGCTGGTACCTGCAGGCGAGTCACCTTTGCTGCTGCCCGCCAACACGCACAAGCAGCTTGTGGTGATTGATTTTGAATACGCTAGCGCCAACACGCCAGGCCTGGAATTTGCAAACCACTTTACCGAGTGGTGCTACAWCTACCACGACAAGCGCAAGCCGTATGCGTTCAATGCGAACCGCTACCCCACGCCAGAGGAGCAAGAACGCTTCATCAGGGCATATGTCAGGCATCGGTCACAGTTCAACGCAGCTGACAACACACCACGAATGACACCAACCGTACCTGGTGCGGTACCATCGGACCTGAGCAGAACGGCAGCCGGACGATCCACAACTAGCATTTCGGATTTCATGCTCGACGCTCGAGCTCCTCAGACGCCAACATTCACGAGCCAAGAAGTGGCTGCTAAAGCAGCGGAAGACGCCGAAGTCAAGCATCTAATGCATGAGACCAGGATCTGGAGACTCGCCAACACAGCTCAATGGATTGCATGGGGTATCGTTCAGGCCAAAGTTCCGGGAATGCCAGAGTTTGACCCCGACTCGCCCATGTCCACAACGCCACTAACAGAGGCATCTGGCGACGTTGCACACGATGCATTTCAACAGAGTGGGCTGGCCGACCAGGAGACCGACGAGACCGCGGAGCAGGATGAGGAGTTTGATTATCTGGGTTATGCCCAGCATCGAGCCATGTTCTTTTGGGGCGATGCTTTGCAGCTTGGGTTGGTGAAGGCGGAGGATCTACCAGAGGATACCAGGGCTAAAGTCAAGAGTGTGGTATATTGAACAGCCCGAGTATCTGGGAGGTGGACCGGATATGGCATGGCATGGCAATCCGAATTTAGCATTCCGGTGATCTGATATCCATGTAGATTCATAGGAACCGTATTTCATCAAGAACCATTACAGCGTAATGAGGTGTAACGGGCGATGTCTGCGAAAAGATCATAGTGACAGCTCCAAGGCATCGGTCGTCGCATTGGGATTGTCGCAGTGGCAGTCGCAGGTATCGCATTGCCTGGTAGTGATGGCATCCAAGTGAGGCCGTTCATACACATCTAAGCCGTCAACATGCCCGTAAGAATAAAGTAGTTCAACATCAAAAGTTTGTTTGAAGTTGAATTCACACTGTACGGGTTTTTGAAATTGATGGGGAAGAATTGAAGCAAAACATGGAAGTTTCGGTGATCATGAAAGCCAAAGGTTTCGTGCATTACCGAGGTGCGTGAAATGAATCCCTACCCTCACACAAATGGCTCAACTGATTACCTCCGGTGATATAGTGCTTCGCTTATTAGACTAATTCGAATGTGCTGTAGGAGGAAGTGGACCCACCGCCGCTCCACGCATGCATTTGTTGCCAGGCGAGCGAGAGGGAGCTCCGGGCGAATTCTTATAATCGTCGGTTGGCGGAGAGCTACTACTTTCTCGGCTTGCCCTTTGGCTTGGGTTTCCCACCGGCCTTCTCCATGCCCTTTTTCGTCGCACTTTTGCTCTTCTTCCACTCCATACCTGCTTGGCGATCGTCTCTATCCTCCAACTTCTTCTTCTCCTTGTTACTCAACTTGCCCTTCTTTGGCTTTGGCTTCTCCTGCGCAGCCGGACCGTTCAACACCGCTCTCCCCTTATCCCGGCTCGCCTCCTTATCCTTTTCGCTCTCAAACCATGTCTTTCTCGGCCTTGCCTTGATCTCATCAGCATACTTGACGATGTTGTCGGCCTTTGTGAGATCCCTATCCACTTGCTGCAGGACCTTCTCCTCCTTTTCCTCGCGAAGTACATCCTCTACATCTTCTGCCAAGCTCTCGACTTTTTTGTGCCACTCATCCACGTCTGAAGGATCAACCGTTCTTTGGCGAATCTGAGCACCCTGAGCTTTACCAGACTTGACAGCTGCTTTGACGACCTTACGATCTGGCTCGGCTGCAAGAGTACACGACCGTCCAGTTCGTCCAGCACGAGCCGTACGACCGACACGATGAAGGTAGATTTCGTGACTCTGTGGTGCCTCGTAGTTGATGACTGTCTCGATTCCCTTGATATCTAGACCACGAGAAGCGAGATCCGTTGCGAGTAGGTAAGAAGCCTTGCCAGTCCGGAACGCCTCAACGGCGCTGATACGTTGCTCTTGAGACATGGATCCGTGCATTTCAGCTGCATTGAGTCCACATAGCGCAAAGATGACGCGTACGCGATGGGCCTCCTTCTTCTGTCGGAAGAAGATGATGACGCGATCCGTGTAGACCGATTTGCAAAGGTACATGAGGTACGCGAGACGCTTTGCTTCTCGACCCGGTCGTAGACGAACAAACTCCTRAACCAGTCCGGATACGGTCTGCTTTTGTGCATCGACCATGAGACGAACGGGACGTTGTAGACCAACACGAATGAGATCGTCGACCTTCGAGGTCATGGTAGCGGAGAAAAGCATGGTTTGTCGAGATTTAGGAATCTTGTTGAGGATCTCGTTCAATTCGTCCGCGAAMCCCTCCTCAAGCATACGATCTGCTTCGTCGAGGAYTAAGATCTCAACGGTGGAAACTGTGAAAGACGCAGAGTTGCGCTCAAGATCGATGAAACGACCTGGAGTCGCAATGACAATGTCGGGACGAAGTTTCAGCTGCTTCTCCTGTTCACGGGAGTTGAGTCCTCCAATGGCCTGGCCGAATGTAATGTCGGTGAATTTGGCAAGCTTCGTAGCCACTGMAAAACATTGGAGTGCCAACTCGCGCGTTGGCATAAGAATCACCACTCGAGTGGTGGGAGTGCGTTTTGGGCGGAATAAGAGGCGCTCCAGCATGGGGATGAGGAAAGCCGCTGTTTTACCAGATCCGGTGACAGCTCCTCCTACCAAGTCTTTCCCCTCCAAAGCCACAGGAATGGTCTTTGCTTGAATCGGGGTAGGTGTATTAAATCCCACGGCCGCAAGACCTTTGAGGATCGGACGGGAAAGGTTCATGGCGTGGAAAGCGGTTGCCGCTGGGGCAGAGCTTTTCGAGTCGGCGACGAAGAACGCATTGCGCTTCTCGGCCTCTACCTTGTCCTCGCTATCCTCTGACCTGTCATCATCTGCAACCATATCGTCCGGATGAGGTACCTGGACCTTAACTTCGTCGTCATCGTCGCCATCATGGTCCGCCCCATCCTTGGCCTGGATATCAATTGCCGTGACGAATTCCTCCTCGCTGCCATCGTCTTCACCATAGTCTGCAGCCATGCCCTCATCTTCTCCGTCATCCTCAGATTCTGATTCGCTCTCCGACACGACCTCTTTTTGCTGTTTAGACTTCCTCCGCGCAACAATAGCTTCGATGCTCCCTGGTTGGGATTCCAACGCTCCACCATTCAACGCCCAATTGTCCAAGTCTTCCAGCGCAGCAGCACCGCCCTCCCTTTCAAACTCGAACTCTGAATCTAGATCCTCGTCTTTATCCTCGCGCTGCTTTTTCACTGCGCTTTGGTCCTTCCCTTCACGCTTTCGTTTCTTCCCTTGTGGAGCAGCCACTTTGGCTGTGGCCTCCTCCTCTTCGAACTCCTCGTCCGACACATCTGCGTCTGAAAGTGTGGTGATTAGGTCGTCGACAGCCATGTTGGTAACAAATGGCCAAGAGTCGATGTTGTGCTGCGAGATCAGCAGCTCAAAAAGTTGCTTGCCGGGGGAGAAAAAAGTTCTGGCTGACTAATCTGCTTCAATAAATGAGATTGAGTTCTATGACCAGCTCCACCGAGCGTCAACTTGCTCAGCTCGGAAGACAGGTCCCCGCAGTGACACGAGCCAAAAGCGTCGAGAGTCTGATCAAATCAATTGTTCAGGACCTTTTTCCTTACACAAAAATGCACCTGCTCGATACATCACAGCATACCTAGTTCTTCCAGTTCGGCGTGCGGTCCGAACGGGCCGAGCCTTTCTCGCCGACGTGGATGCATGGACGCTGATCATGATCTTCCCCCGCGACATTCAGACATCACCAGCATCCAAGGGTATAATTCCATCTACAGACACTACGCGCCCACACGATCACGATGGCCACCGCGGCTGTGGCCCGCCCAAGTAATGCGATCTCTGCTGGCTCCAATACGATGCGTACCCGTCGCGACGCTCCTCGACTCTCCATCAAGCGCGGACTGGACACCAACGGCGATGGCGGACCCGCGAGAAAGAAGCGCTTCGTCGAGCCATATGTACGCACACGCCAACACTATCTCAAAAAGTTTGCGAGAAAACCGGTATCTATGGTGGTGCACCTGCACCAGTCGCACTTTAAAATCGAAGGACAGGAGGGTTCCTTTCCCAACGACTCGCCAATGCGCGTCTTCCTCGAACATTTGCGCCGGGAAACCGTACCGCATGAGATGATGGACGTATTGCTGGGGAGTCACACGCCCTTCTACGATGGATGTCTCATTGTTGAGGTGCACAACCACCGCAACCCCAACGGCAAAAACCGCGCCCGTCGTCAGGACACTGCCGGCGACAATGCCACTAACTCGATGCACAAGTACACCAACTACATCACCCCCTCACCACTGGCACCGTATCCCAAAAAGGCTGCTGAGCAACATGATTCCGCGGAACCTGAAGATGCCGATACATCCAACAATGACAGACAACGGAATACCGAACAGGGCGGCCCTAAAATCGCGACTCTCGTTCTGCAGCCCACCGATTTGTCGCGCCATGCGGAAATGCTCATCCTTGCCAGCACGCCGGCTTCCGCAATGAAGGTAAACAGGAGAAGTGCCGACACACCTACCAATGCGCAGCCACCAACGCCGCACTTGTCCGTCCCGGCGACTCCGCTTATTGCTGCGGGTCGCGGATCCCCGGGCCAGGAGGGAAAGATGTGTCTGGAGGCTGAGGATCTGTATCAATTTCAAGCTGAAGTTCTGCTTTCGACGGAACCGCCGCTTCTGTTGGAGACTGGCTACACTGGCCATGAAGCTCTGGACGCACTCGCGCACCCTCTGCACAGCGCCTTGCCGCCATCGCCCAAGACTCGTAAGAGAACCACTGCTGAACTGGCCGCAGATGATGCCCAAGCAGCAGAGGCCGAGAGGAGGATGCTCATTATGGACGAGCGCATTAAACCATCTGCACGCTCCGGTGCTGGCGTTAATTCTGGCGACAATGGAGCTGCGGCCGCATCGCTTGGATTTACTCGCTTCAAGACTATCGCGATGGTTCGTGAGAAGCAAGAGGAGATCGAGCGGCACAAGAAGGAAGAGGAGGCGCAGGCAGCAGTCCAGCGAAGACAACAAGAGGAAGCTAGCCAGGCATCACAACGAGCGGAGGCTGCGAGAAATGAGCAACAGAGGAAGATTATGACACAGCGCGCGCTTCACGCACGAGAGCAAGCGCGAAATCACCAACAACAGGCCCAGGCACAGATTCTAGCTCAACAGCAGAACCACGGCCACCCTGGCTCTAACGGCATGATGATCAATCCAAACTTCCAACAAACTCAGATGATGGCTCAGGCGAGTCCAGCGCCGAGAAATCATACTCCCATGCAGTCCTCTCCAATGGTCCAGCACAACGGTGTACCATTAGCACGCACTTCAAGCCAACAGGCAGGAAGCCCGCCGAGACCAACATCCGCGGTGCCAAATGCAAACCTGATGGCCCAACAGCTCAGTCAACAGCAGCACGGCAGTCGAATCGCTACACCAAATGTGCAGCATGGCACCCCGAACATGGGAAATGTATTGCCCGGCAGGCAGATGTCGCAAACACCACGTATGCCGCATGGCAGCCCCGCACCGGGCACCCCAGCTGCTGCTCCCAATATGCAGATGCAAACTCCTGGACAGACTGGCATGACGCCGGAACAAATGGCCATGTTTCAGCAAGCTCAGCGCCAAATGGCAATGCAAGGTCAAGCTGGCTCTCCAGCCCAGGTCGCCAACATGACCCCTGAGCAGATACAGAACATTCGACAGCAGCATCATCAGCGAGCACAAGCAATGCAGATGCAGGCTGCCCAACAACAACATCCCCACGATCCAAGATTTGCGGCTGCGGTAGCTCAGCGGCAGGCCATGATGCTACAGCAATCACAGAATCAAGCCTTGAGGCAGCGCATGCTAGCTCAGCAGAATGGAATGGGTCAAGGCCAGCAGCACCCTAATATGGGGCAGGGAGGATCTCCACAGGTCGGACGGCCCAACATGAGTGCTCACGGTCATCCCCAAGCCCAGCACGGCGGTGACATGAACGGAAACGCCGGGCAGCATCAGCAGCAGCAACAGCCGCAGCTCACGCACGAGCAACAGCTTGCTCGTAATCAAGCGATCCGCGTTGCTCAAGCTCAGGTCGCACAGCTCGGCCAACAATACAACGGCATCCACAACATACCACAGAACATTGCACAGAGTCTTCCCCCAATTTCGCAGATGATGCTGCGCCAACAGCAACACCGCCAGCAAGCGCAGCGCACACAAGCCATGGCAATCAAAGCCCAGCAARCACAAAATGGTGGCCAGCAGGTGGCGGGAAACTCTGCTGCAAACCCAGAATATATGGCGTCGCTTCGAGAGAATCAACAACTACTAGCTATGCATCAGTCTCAGGGTGGAATTRGCATGGGAGGGCAGTTTGGCAGAGGACAGCAGGGTGGCAATGATCATCTAAGCCAACAAATGCTGGCGATGCAACAGACATTACAGAGGAACCAGAACATGCAGTAATGTACTTGGGGGTCGGAAGTCGGACAGCAATCATTCTGATGACCCAACATGCGAAAATCTCTCGTTTCGCATGGGTGTTATGACACGCTTGCCTGTAGGCTCGCGCGTCAATGTATAAGATCTTCTTACCCGGAACCAGGCCGGAGAAGCTACAATCGATATCACTGTTCTGTCATTTTCACGACGATCTTACCCTTGGCCCTGCCTGTCTTCAACCTACGAAAAGCATCGGGCGCCTTTTCGAATGGAAGCTGTGCATCGATGATGGCCTTAACCTTGCCCGAGGACATCCAATCACCGATTTGAGCAAGTTCCTCTGGGTTTGAGACCATGCCAAAGACGACATGCTTCCTATGCGACCCACCCAAGAAGCGTGGTAAGAGCATCCTCTTCGTGAGATCGGACGCGGACTTCCACGAGACTGCGGCTCCAACTGTGACGTAGACTGCTCCTGATCTGGTGTAATCGGCACATTTCCAGAAGAGGTTCTCATCTGCGCCGACATTGTCCACGACGTGGTCGTATCTGCAGGAAAAGCGATCAGCGGTCAGCTTGGATCTGGTGGAGTTTGTGAGGGCTTCTGTATGACATACAATCTACCGCTGGATATCAGAGCTTCAACAACGTTATGCCTCTTGTAGTCAATAACTTCGTCCGCTCCAAGCGTCTTGCAGAGCTCGACGTTTTCTGTGGAGCACGTCACCGTGACGTGACATCCTATCGCTTTCGCAATCTGTATTCCGAAGCACCCAGTCCCACCACTGCCACCGTTGATGAAAATGCTGCTCCCATCCTTCACGTACGGACTGATGGACTGATAGGCAGTAAGCCCTACTACGGCTACGGATGCGCCATGTGCTGGAGAAACGTCTTTGGGCAGTGGTGTGACACTGTCCTGCTTGGCGATCGCATACTCCGCCAGTGCACCTCCTGTAATACCTGTGCCAGCCCGACCGAACACAAGTTGTCCAGGCTCAAGTGGTGATCCTGAAGCGGGCACCACAATCCGACCTGCAAAGTCTCCAACTKGGATAGCAGGCTTAGAGAGAAACAATCGGGTGAACAGAGGTATTTCGGCGACCTTGTAATCGACCGGGTTGACTGAGGCAGCGAGGACTTGGACGAGATGTTGATCTTGCTTCGCCTGGGGAAGTGGTGCAGAAGAACTGAGCTTTAGATTATTCTCCAAGCCGCCTGCCGTGGAACTGAACTGCCAGGCACGCATAGCCGACGGGATGGATTGTGTGAACATCTTTGAGTATTTCTGTTCCACTTTGACTGGCTACGAGAAGGTCAGTTTGAGGTGGAGATAGGTCAGCGAGAACCATATACGAAGAGAAGATGGCTGCGGAATATCAGATGAAGGGTAAGGGCATCGCAAGTGAGTAGATGGAAATCACTGATTGCAGAGATGTTGTCTCATGCTGCAAACCAATGCTGGCCTCGCCCCTGGCATCCTGCAACCTCCACGCTTGAGGGCAGAGTGTATTGGTATCACAACCCAGACAAATTTGATCGCCGTACAAATCATCGCACATTCCTCAACGCCTGAATCTTTAACTTACACAGTTCTAGGCGTCTCAAAGTGATCCGGACGTAGCCAGAAGAGATGTTTTGAAGAGCGCTTGGCAGGCGATGCAGGTGACAAATTCAGAGACTTCGTCCTAGTCCAGATGTCATCGACGCCTTTTGTTTGTGCGGTGGCTATATCTTGGCTGTCAGGGCGATGATAAAGTCCAGGAATCGTAGCCACGATTGAGGCTATGGTGCTTTGTGATGAGGACGTTGATACTCGGATCCGATGAATTCGATGATGCAGGGCAGGCCGACGAATGAGGTTAGCTCGGGGCGTCTGTCCACAACATCGCGTGAACGCGCGAACAGATAGCATTTCCATTTCGTCTGATTCAAGTGAGGTCATCCTCTAGTGCATCGATACATCCGCATGAAATGGGTTGGGAGCGCGCTACGCCGAGGCCCGTGGGGCTTCACATTCCGTCACGAAGCGTGTAGAAAATGCCCAATGTAAGGAATAGTTATGGCCGAGCTCTCACATGCTGYTGAACAAAGGCCATAAGCTTCGCGGGAGCCAGTAGGAAGGAGGCGAAGAGTTCCAGGGCTTTCTTCTTGCCGTTTGGCGAGCCGGTAAGGAACAGCCATGGTAGGTACCTACCTTAGTGTGAGTAAAATCCCTTCCCAATGATTCTCGGTCGTTCGAAGGTCTTGCTATAGTCAGAGGCGGCCCTCACGTCATACCATGAGCTGTGCTTCGGGGGTTAGGTAGCCGCCATGGCTCGCGTGGAAGTAATATATACTCGCGAGAGACGCGTCGCAGGAAGATGCTTCCAGTGGCACTCCTTTGGATGATATTGAAGACATGCGCTAAAACATGCGCTCTAGGCAATCACCCTGGACTCGAGAAATCACTGTCACCCTAGAGTCTAATTAGCAAATCGCCGCGCTTCGATTCCCCAATCAATCCCGCCCGCGCTTCAAAAGACAGATCGCCGCTCCTCACTCAACAAACACACAAGCAAGTCCTCACACGGCCGAACATCAACAACTCACATTAGCAAGACCATGGCACCTATTCGTGAAGCGCACGGGCGGCGACACGCGAAGACAATGACCCCATCTCTCCGGAAGGCTCTTGCTTTGCATCGGCCCGAAAATGTCGACTCAGAGACTGTTACTTTGGCGGAACTATCACCTCAGCTGACATTTGTGAGCACTGCATCCGCCTCGCTGCGCTCGTCGCTGACCTACATACAGGTAGATGCACCGAACAAGGCTACTAAAGTATTTGCCGTGACCGAACTTCTGGAAGGAATATTGCTGCAGCTGGCACGAAAAGATGTTCTTCTTTGCCAGCGCGTGAATCGCACATGGCAAGATACCGTGACAGGCTCGATCAAGCTGYAGCGTTTTCTCTTCAAGACAGCCGAAAAGGATCTTGGAGTTGTGGCACTCATGGCGCGTCTACCACAGTCAGAGGAAATGCAAGTGACGAAACACGTCCTGCGCGATGATTTGGAGCTGCAAGATTCGCAAACGAGGTGCCAACTCGTTGTTCCTAACCCTCTTCTCTTCTTCAACACCGATCTTCACAACCGTGGCGCATTCTTGAGACCTCCGAGTATCTCTTATGCGGATCTGCTTGCCCACAGCCAGCTACCTTATCATAACATTACCCTGCTGGAGGGTCTGTTTAGCGGTACGCAGTCTGACTCAGTCTGTCTGGAAATGTTTTTGACCCAGCCGCCGGTCTATGAGGTCAGTGTCGAGCTCAACATACCGAAATGTGTGCATTGCCAGGGGAAGGAAACGTGCTGCTTCGCTCTGTCCAAAGTCAAGAACTCGAAAGGTTTGCGAGTGAGAGATATTTTTGCGGCGGCACGTTCGTTCCACTTTCGCCGCCCTCGTCGAGAGGGTGATGAAGACGAGGATGTCACTAGCATTTCCATTGCATTCCAGGCAGTTGCGCATGGCACCCAGAACGGCATTCTGCTTGTGACTGCAGAGGACATGCGGTTGGCAAAGGCAGAGGCGTACGAGCCAAGACCTGAGATTGCAGACCTCGCAGGAGTAGCACCACAAGATGGTTAGTAAGTTCAGATGTCTTCGTAAATATTATCGGATGAAATGGAAAGTTCAAGTGTGTCTTGTTGCCTCCTACCTGCCTTCTCCAGTAGCTTCCATCTGCGAAGCTGGTTTCGGTCCTTGCAATACATGAACAAGAACAAGAACAACAACAACTCCCATTCACCTACGAAGCTGACGACGTTCTCCCTGCTCTTCACTCATCCCAGGATACCCTGCTATCATACCGACATTTTTCATTTCCTCCTCAATCGCCGCCCACGTTATTTATTGCGTCGCAGCATCGACACCATCTCCAACATGGCCAGCGCCACTACCGCACCCCCTACTGCACCTCCTACCGCACCCCCTACTGCACCTCCTACCGCACCTCCTACCGCACCTCCTACCGCACCTCCTACCGCGGTTCGCACCGCAGAGATCTCCGACCATCACAGTGTATTCGACAGAACCAGGCACAAAATCAAGTGCACTGGAGTTGGTATCGTCGCCAAGATTGCCGCCGTACGCTCACACAACTGTCACCGCCCCTACTCGCCTTCATGCGCTGAACTCTCATACAGTAGTATGCAAAGATGAAAGCCAAAGCCGAGCTCAGGGCAGCCAAGCGAAAGGCTGAACAGAGCGTCGCACATATCTGATGGCAATGTAGGTGGGCCGTTCATTGATGGCTATTACAAGGCTTGACAGTGTAATTCCAGATGGTTACAACCAGATTAGGCCTGAGTGAAGGGATTCGCCTGGGATACAGTTTCCCGTTCTGGCAATGCTTTCGACACGCTATACCCGGAAGCGTTCCACCACGCTGATTTTCGGCCTCAAAGCTCCATGACAGAGGCCGTATTTTGCTGAGAAATGCTTGGAAGATGCGCTGGAGCGGGTATGTCGTACACAGTGGCATAAGCGAAGGGGACAAATGGAGCTATATGCAAAGCATTCCATCGATCTCGCACCAGTCCAGGACTTGACCACGGCAGCTCCTGTCTGAAGATCAGCAAGAAACACATCCGAACAGCACTACACTCAGGCATTAGAGACTGCTATAATGACACTCTACGCATGATATTGGTGGTAGAGCACGAGATCATGACAAAATCGCCAGACTCGTTGTGATCGTTACCCGCTGCTTTTGATCCGAGCACACGCTACAATCATGGCAGATCCTACCTAGGTGTTGTTGAATCCAATCCTACTCTGCTCAAGCCATACAAACCACCGATTTGCCCGCTCAGTGGTCGTCGGCATCCTCGGTGAACTTCTTGTAGCCGGCCGCGTCCATGAGACTAGAAACCTCCTCTGGTGCGCTGACCTTGATCTTGGCCAACCATCCGTCCGCTTCGGGGCTCTTGTTGATCGTGCTAGGCTTCTCCTCCAACACACTGTTCGCCTCTGTGATGACACCGCTGATGGGCGACATAATGTCGGAAGCAGACTTGACGGATTCCACCGCACCAATCGAGCTTCCTGCGGTCACCTCGAGGTCTACTGTTGGCAGCTCGACGAAGACGACGTCGCCAAGGGCTTTTGCAGCGTATTCGGAGATTCCAATGGTGGCTGTAGGTGGATCGAGTTGTCAGTACGTTGAAAGACGGCGTGACAAACATAGGTGAATGTGTACCAGTAGAGCCATCCTCAGCCAGCTCAACCCACTCATGGTCCTCGGTGTAGCGCTTCTCCCATGCTGTGAATCATCAGCGACGTAGATGCAATGCGACCACGAGGTATGGATATCCCACCTTTGGCGCTTGCGGTGAAGCTCCGCGCGCTGAACGCCGGCTTCTGAGCTCGCAGACGCAGGTATTGTGGGCGACTGCACTTTGTGATTGAGCGAGTGAATGCGCGGCCTGCGAGAAGAGATGCCATGGTTACTTTGTGCAGGGAGAAGAGTGCTGGGAAGAGAAAAGTAAATCACATCCCGCGAAGATAGGTCTTCCATGGCTACTATCGGCCTCTATCGATCGGCCTCCGATCCAGCCGCCGGCGGTCAGAAGTCCTGACACGGTCAAAACGCTTTACTTAGYTGTCTCGCGTCGAAGAACCATTTCGAGGCAAAACACATCATGTTGTACGAACTCATAGGCGTGGTAGGTATTGATTCATCCAATGAGCACAGTCTCTAGAACTGATCGGCTACTCCACAGGTCCGCCCAGGCCGCAGCGTCAACGAAATCRAAGAGTCCGTCTGCTGTCCATCCATCGCCATCAGCATCTAACGACCATCTGCAGAATCACCAAGACCACCGGCAACATCGTTCTGTCCGCAGGAGGAGTGGTGCGCGGCATCACCAATTGGGGAACATTCATGCTTCCCAAGCCAGCGCGAAAGCAGGGAGCCACATATCGCGAAGGTCACTACTTCATCCTCCGATTCGACTCGAGCGCAAAGACCCAGCACACTGTGAGAAGAACACTGGGCTTGGATCCCAGAATGATCCGGTACAGCGTGGTCCAGATGGGGAGCAAGCTCCAGGATATCAAGGATGTTGGAGGCAAGGCAGACTGGCCCGGCGTTCCCAGCACCTGAGTGTGTGTGAATGTGGTCATTGTGGAAAGCAAAGGATTCAAAATCGGAGTTGTTTGTTTTAAAGGTAGCATGGGACGACGGTATCAGGGCGTACGGCTTTCCTTTCAGACGGCGGTCTATGTATGATATGGGACAGCTTGAACGACCAGGAGGCCCGCTTGTCACGATGTTGCCAAAGCGCGTAACAAGATGCCGTGAGCATTCAGCAAAGCGGAGGAGGCGTTTCGCGCATATGACCCGGTGGGCAAGCTGAGCCTACATCGGAAAGTTCTCATCGACTGCAAGCACTACAACCATGAGCTGGAGGCGAGATTCAATAGGAGGCGTCAAACAGTTCGGCAGCTCGATTGCTGCGCCCGAGCACGTCCTCACGTAACGGTTGGTGGAAGATGGCTCTGGTACGCTGATTTCCGCATTCCTGACCCGACGACCGAGAGCTCACTGCGAGGGCAAACAAGAGTATAGACGCACAAAAGACACCTTCTCTACGCCAGTGCCAGTACCAGAGTGAAAAATCCGAGAGGCAAGTGATGTACGAGTTCCTGAATGAATCGAGGATATGTCAGCGTGATCGGGCATGGGGTACCGTCAATGGCTTTTCTTCATACGCCCGGCTACGGCAAGTTCATGCTAAGATCCCTTCGAGGCGTAGATCGGCCAGACATTTGACTAGAGTACGCTCTGATGAGCTATCGCAGTACACAATCAATATGCACTTCACAAACGTTGACTCGTGGTGAGTATTTGTAACGTGCATGTAAGGCGAATAATGTCTGCAAGCGGACTGCGCTCCGCCTATGAAATAGCCTTTAGGGAGCAAAGATCCGAGCGATTTTCATGTGACACCTTTGACAGCCAACATGCAGTGGGACATTATACATCCCTAGGATCATGTCGTCTATTGTCTCTGATCTCGCGTGGGCTTTCCCAAGCAGGATGTTGCCATTTCAGCCGAAAGCGGGTCGATCTGGGGTTGTATGCTTGTTCGCAAGGCTTGGAACACAGCTAGTCAAACAAACATCCTCGAGGCAGCGGAGCGTATGAAACAGCAACCTGCCACGCAGGCAATGGAGCAAATACCAGCGCAGGCTTCAAACAACAACATGCGCGCGGACAGGAATGCGGTTCGRTCCGAAAGCCGTTTGCGTAAATGGGAGCCGGATTCTCACAGCATCTTGGCAGCGCAGCCTTTGTGCAAGGCTGACGGGGCTGGACTCGAAGTCCCCATCGGACCGGACTAGTACCAGCAACGGCGCGTGCGGCGTGCGTGTGGCCTCCCAGTGCATCCTGCCTGTCGCGTGCGCTATCGTGCAGTTTTTGCTTGAAGGAACCTAGGAAAACCTCGTCGACTCGCACTTCCTAGCTGGCTTGCATTCCTACGCCTACTCAAGACCCAGCCGCCCGGAACGTGCTGATCGGTTGCGGAATCTTGAAGAGCGCCTGATTTCCACTTGGTGAAACGACAGGGCTTGCACAACAGCGCATAGCAAAGGAACAGCAAAAGCGGGAGGATACGTCGTGTGCGACTCGAGAGCAGCCAGACATTGTTCGGTACGGAGTGCTACATTCGCGGGAACCTGCAGAACAATTCATCCAAGTCGCACGTGGCCATCCTTCGAGGGCATAGTCGCTACTACCGTCGAGTAATAAGACACTGGTCCGCCACACATGGTGCAGAGCATTTGCGCGCTATCATACATTGAACATTGGGAAGGTTGTCTCGCGCCGATTGGGTGTTCTAGAGGGCTGAGACGTACAAGGGCTATCACCCACTACATGCGCATCGATGAAAGACACAAGAGATGAGACAGCGAGCTCCACCGTAGGCCTTCATGGACAAAAGCCGGCTGTTCAGGTAATATGTCTCGGCTCCGGGGGAGGACCTTCGGAAGAGAATGTCACCGGATTCCTCGTGCGCTCCATCGGTAGCGATTGGGCCAAGGGATCATTGCTTGCCGTCGACGCTGGCTCACATCTGGCGCCCATAACACGCATGCTGGAACGAGACTTTCCAACGATCAGTAGAGATCGACGAAGACAAGAATCAAATGGCAACCTTGCTCCAGGAGTCAATGCAAGCAGAACATTACACCGACGGCCACTTTCACCTCAGACGGATGGCGACGAGTCTCCCCAATTGGAACCAATTGTTCTTACTTCAGGACCGTTTGCAGGACTCAAGTTCCCAAATGAGTCGGCTCGTGCAAATGCACTTCATGTGTTGCGAACTTACATATCCACCTATTTGATCACGCACCCTCATTTGGACCATATTTCTGGGTTTGTCACCAATACAGCAGCCTTCCATGCCACATCCCGACCGAAGACTCTAGCTGCGTTGCCGAGCACAGTCGATGCGATCAAACAACACATCTTTAACGACGTAATATGGCCGAACCTGAGTGATGAAGACGGTGGAGTTGGGTTCGTAACCTTTCAGCGTCTCAAGGAAGGCGGCGACGTGATGGTTGGCGAAGGGGAAGGAAGAGGGTATATCGAAGTTTGTGATGGACTTGCTGCCAGGGCATTCAAGGTCTCTCATGGATGCTGCACCAAAAGTCCGCCAAGCCACCAACATCGCGGGAGCACGACCAGTCTTGCGCTGTCCGACACGCAGCCACCTTACAGTAGCTCAGTTCTGGGTACATCGCAAGATGTGACGTCCTCCCACATGTCCCGATCACTATCCATCTCGCAGCTGCAGCTACATTCCAACCCGGGGACGCCAGGGCTAGGCCCARGGTCAAACTTTCATCCGAACCATGCTTCGCCGCACGTGCAATCCAACTCAGTTGAAGGTGGATGTATTGTTGATAGTACTGCGTACTTTCTTCGCGACGAGAATACCCAACGAGAGGTCTTGATCTTCGGGGACGTTGAGCCCGACTCTTTGTCGTTGTGTCCGAGAACGTACATTGTGTGGCAGGAAGCTGCGCGGAAAGTTTCATACGACATCCTCGGAGGTATCTTCATCGAGTGCAGCTACGATGACAGTCAGGCAGATGCGGTGCTTTTTGGGCACCTGAACCCGAAGCATCTGATCGCTGAGCTGCAAAATCTTGCAAATCTAGTCACCGAGGCCAGAGCATCCCGACTGGCGGAGCAGGGAACGAAGAAACGGAAGCGTTCTGGACCCAATGGTATCGAAAACTTCGCCCGAAGTGCAGGGTCTGAGGGGAGCCATAAGCGGAGCCGGAGCATTGTACACCAATCGACACTGTTTGAGAACACACGGAGACACAGCGCATCGGACGACCACGGGGCCCCAGATCTCACCTGTTCGGCCCCTTCAGGTGACCCTTCTACCGACCGTTACGAACTCCATACAGCTAGCGACAGCAATCACAGTCTAGATGCCATGTCGCCGCGGTCAGTGACCATACCGCGCAGTAGCGGCATTACCAGCAGCGCACCCACCGCCAGCAGCAACAGCAGCGACCTGCCACTCAGTGGTATCACGGTAGTCATCATTCATGTCAAGGACACACTAACGGACGGGCCGCATGTAAGCGAGAGCATCCTGATGCAGTTGCAGGACCACGAGGCACGATTACGGGAGCACGGCCAAGGATTGGGGTGTGAGTTTGTAATTGCCCAGAGCGGCGAGAGCTACTGGTTTTAATGACACTTGAGGATGTCTGAACGAGGAATTTTTTGAGCATGGTGAAGTCTGAGATTCGCAAGGTTGATGGCATTTACTGAGGATAGGAATGTTGGTCATGAATTATGCATTGGTAGGCGCGTAACTTTCCGCAGTTGTGAAGGTCAATGTTTATCCCTCAAGAAGAGGTATTATCCTGTTGCTCCTTGGAGTCGGCGCCGTTGCATTGCATACGCGTTCCATGTGTGTCTGTGTGTGTGTGTATGGTGTAGGTCTTACTGTTCTCCCGATGTGCTAGCTCCCGCAGTCTACTCCTGTACATGTAGACTGCATGATGGAGAGTCGGTCAGCGGCAGATGTGCGAACAGGGGTACTTTTACGAAGTACGGAGAGATGGAGACTGCGAGGACGATAAGCCAGACTAGCATTTTATGAATCCGAGTGGAGAGAGTTAGTCGTGGGAAAGCGTATGCGCGCCTCCTGACACAACCGACAACCTCCACCTCCGCTCGTATCTTCATCCCATCCGCCGTCTTTGTGGCACGCATATCTTGTATCGCCTTGCTGTTCTTGTGAAGTTATTTGCACCTGTGCGTACTTTGGATTGCCGCATTCCACCCATTCCAGCCGAGATAGACACGTCGGACTCCGCTTCTCTGCGACGTCGACCCAACTACAGTAATGTCGCTGTGAGCGCCACACAGAGCCCGCGAGGGACACCCTTTTCTCCCAGGTACGTTCACACCGGCCGTCTGACTCCTTCTCGCGCTGTGCACACCGCATCGCCTCCGACGCGCCGCATTACCGACTCGCTGCTGCCGCCGCCGTCGTCCCGATCGCATCGCTGCAGCAATAGGGGCCTCGCTCTTGCTCCGCTCTGCTCTCTGCTCTCCTCAACTCCACATCCGCAACTTCACCCATTGCACGCCCTTTCCGCGCTACATGCCATCGCCAGCAAGGCATAGATCGGTACACTGACTGCTGGCCGGCTCAGACTGCATGATTACCACCCCGCACCACTCGAACACCCCCATTGTCCGCCCGCCCGCCCGCAACCAAAAACGCTCTGCAACACGGGTGGCCCAATGGCTGAGGTACTGCCGCTGCCTATGACACCTTCCAGCACCATCACGATGCTACACTCCCGCCCGTCCTCCTCCGACGCCTTCCAGGGCTCTTCCCAACAGTTCTCGCAGTCACCGCGGCTAGTGAACTCGTCCCACAGCACCCAGGGCAGCATGTACAAYGGGCAGAACACTCCATACCGCGGCACTTCGGCCGCTCCTGTGCAGCCATATGCATTCAACTCGACGCCGAATCTGCGAAAGGACACGCGGACGTCCTCGGCGCCCCCGGCAGCCCACGCTGCTCTGCACAAGCACGCACACACACAATCTGCTTCGGCGTCATCCACAACGTCCTCGGATGTATCTTCACAGCCATCGGCCAAGGATGATAGCGTCATGGGTTCGCAGAATGGCTCGCTCATCAATCTATCTTCGGCAATCCCGGACTTGTCGCTCACATCCTTTGACTCTCAAGCGAAACCTTCCCCTGACAGATATCGCCGTCCGGCACAGAGGCGTAATGAGTCCGCAAATACGACGCCAAAGGCATCGCAGCAATCAATCGCAACACTGCCTCTGGTGGACTCGACGACCGTGGCACAGCGGCCCACAAGCCCAACCCTGGACAGGCAAGAAAGCGTCGACGACATGGCTCTGACCAAATCTGCCAACTCGGCGGCGAAGCGATATCGACGTAGAAGCCTAAACGTGGCCACCCTGGAGACCTCGAATACGCAAGCCTCTATGGGCGCCCAAGGCGGCCAACGGCCCAGCTCTGGACACGGATCATCTACGGCGTCAACAATACGGCCTGTATCTTTCCACACACGTTCAGGCAGTGATGACAGCCAGAAGTCGCACCGACAGAAGGATTCTCATGAGAATGTCAAACCTGCAACAGGACTTCGCCCAGAGCAGAAGGGAGGCGTTCAAATTCCGCCTCGCACTTCTTCGGAAGCCAACATACGAATCAAAGCACCTTCACCGCTGTCCAACATGAGTGTCGATGCCGATACAACGACATCCGCGGCGGGGCCGCCCAGTAAGCCCAGGACGTACGCTGCGGTGGCTCAAGCTGCGGTGCCCTCGGCATCAGCTGCCGCACAGCATTTGGCTGCCGTGTCGGACAAGGACCTTAATAAAGGAATGAAGTCACGTCTACGTCGTGCTTTCTCTTTCGGGAGCGCACAAGAGTTACGGAGAGGCGCCGCAGAGAACAGCAATGTGGCCGCTCAACAGGCACAAAACGCAAGGGAGCAACAGCAAGCACAGATTGATGACGAGCTAGACGCCGAGCAGCAAGAGATCGCGAGGAGACAGGAGGAGGCCGGAATCGGTGCGGGCATCTATTCGGGGCAGGGTGGATTTACTGGATCTACGGACAACCTCTCCATCTCGTCGACCGCTTCTTCGGCTTCGATGATGTTACGCAAGATGGGTCGAGGAGCGAAAAAGAGCGCTAGAAGCATCAAGGGGCTCTTCCGACCAAAGTCTGTCATTGGCGTACCCGCAGCGGATGGCCCTGTCCACACACAGGCCGGCGCCATTGTGCAACCCAGTGTAGCACAGGTGTCGATGGTGACCGTGGAAGCCGAGAGGCAAAAAGTCAACGTCAATGAACACCCGACCGACAAGCACGGCATCACTGGTTTCCCGAAGCTGGAGCGTAACTCAATTGACGCAGCGAACGGGATGGCCGCCCACGGCCAGGGCCAAAGGGCATCCGGAGATGACTCCACTTCTTCTCGACGCAGCGTCGTCGGCAGCGACAAGGATCGCGCTGACATTCTTGCCGCTGTCAAAAAGGGCATCCTCAAACGTTCGGGTACCGGCTCACCGAGCGGCTCGCCAGTAATCAGGCCGCGCGACGCGGCTTCTGAGAGCCCAGCACCCAGCATGCCTAGCACACCAAAAGATGTCCAGGGTCGTTCGGAGTCGCTGAAGAATGTGAATGGCGACTACTTTGGGCCTCGATTGGCTGCTTCGCTTGCAAAGAGCATGCCAAACACTCCAAACGGCTCGCGATCCATATCATTCAGCCCACGGATCCAGTTCCATGATGCTTGGTCGAGCACCGAGTATGATCGCCGCGGCGAGATTGCGACGTGCAATCGCCTGACGCCAATGCTCGCGCAGCAGATCAAGGAAGAACTCAACACGTTCAAAATGGTACGGCCTGATCGACCTACACTACTAGATGTAAATGCTAACAAACTCCCAGGAGATGGAAGTGCATGAAATGAGCAAGCCTCACACACATTTTTTTTGACGACGTTGCTTTTCCACTAGAACAGCCGGACACGAGTACGAACGCGCATGTAGCGAGACCCACCTTCCTGCTGTCACGCAGCATTTCATTCAGGCTTCAAACGCGTAGGACATCTTCTAATTCGAAATGGGCATTCTGGCGTCCAAGGGGGGCTGGACAGCCCGAGCAGGCGCATCGATGGATGGAGTGCATTTTGGACGGCTCTCTTATCTCACTACCGTGGCCTTTGTTTTATTGTCTCACCTGGATTAGCGATTGCAAAGAAAGTCATGGATGGCAGTCATGGGCAGCATATGTTTTTGTCGAGAGTCACCACACGCAAACGACACAATTTCTTCTCCCATCTCTCCCAGTTGATGAACCCTGAGGTGAGGCTTGCACTTTGCTTGCAAGGAGCATTCGAAATGCCTGTTTGAAGTCGAGAAGGTTACGTCCGGTAACTCAAAAGTGTGCATGCATACATGTCCCTTGCCGTGTCTTCCACTGCATGGTGTGGCTTGCGCATTGGCTGCATTCGCTGGAACACACATTTCGTGTCGCACGGAGCGGGGCCTCGAGCTTCTTGTCACATGATCGACAAGTGTCCCGCAGGGGGTGCAACGTCGGTTCCTAAGGTACATATGAACTTCATTGCCTTCCCGAGTATCCACGCCAAATGCCAGTATATCAGGCTCGCAGCGACAATTCCAGAGGGCGTACGAAAGGGCGCATCAAGAAACATTCTTATTCCATCCGTCTCATCAAATCCTCCCAGCGACGACTGTCGAGCTTGTAACGATGATGGTCAAGATTCCGGCTGATTACTCGATGCATCATAATCCGCCCTTTTTGGTACGGTCTGCAAGATGTTCAGGCGTTCCGTGGGCCCGCGAAATCTCAGCCGGCGGTCATACAGCGCCTTCACATATCGATGGGAGTTGTCAACATTAAGGAGCGAAACGAGCGCAATTTTCTCGATAACATTGCTAAGCTGCTGTCCTCTAGGCATCTTATCTACCCTCGAGACTTCCCCGAGCCCCAAGACGCCGACCGAGCCCCAGCTGTAGGCATATTGTCTATCCCTCCGTGTTGAAGCTTGCGGCGCTGAACATAATAGCATAAGACGCTTGCCGCTGGGCAGGGGCGGTGACTGCCCCTGCCGCTTGCGCATGCCTTACCTTAGGGGCTCCTATCCCTTTCTATCGGTCTCGCCGGCGGGGTTCCCGGTATCCTGCAGTAAAGGTAGTGTATATGTATACTGGACCCTACGACTATGCGTAAGACTGGGTTGCCGTCTTCGGGCTCGGGGAAGTCTCGAGGCTCATCTACCTTCGAATGCGTCGAGACGATGCAGAAACCGAGTTCCAAACGAGCAGAAGTAGGAGTACGGGAAGAACACGGGCTACGGCATGTTTTGGCGTTTGCCTATGGACATTGCGAAATATCCGGTTCGCAGTCACTGCTGACATGTGAGCCAAAGGCCGTCCGCTGTGGACAACCGGTGGCTCGTGGGAAGAGTCATCCATCGACCCGTCCTGGATGCGACTCACCACACCGTGCTTCTTAGACACATTCTTTCTTGTCGAAGCGATGCGTTCGGAAACCTTTTCGACGTTCTAGCTGGATTGAAATTCCCCAACTTGCTAGCAACTGTTCGGCCTTGGATCGAAAGAAAGACAGCTGACGTTGGCGAAGCTCGATATGCTCCCCKATATTTGAAAAGTAATTCTACCCACGAGGCTGGTCTCGGAGGCTCTCGAGTTGGCTGCCGTGTCAGGATAGTTACCTCGAGAATCACTTATGGGCTTCTGCTTCGCTGGGCGATGTCCAAACCAACAGCTCTGTTGACGCTATATCGGTCTGGAGGCCACACGGATTGGTGATGATGGGCTCGGAGCGGACATCCCGCACCTGCATGCGTATGACTCTTCCCAAGGCAGAACTATCGGTTGGGTTGGGGCCAACAGCACAGATCAACGGAAGAGACCCGATCAGCACTTCATCAAGACTTTGCGAGAATCCGATTTCGAGTCGGGATCATCATCTGGCACGTTCAAGTGGCCAGACAACCTGGGCTGCCAGCCTGACACTCTGACGGTAAGGCCAACTTTTCGGCTATGCGAGCAGGTTGTTGGCAGTCATCCTTGTTCAATCCCTTGTTGGCGAGTCCAACACTGCCGGCCATCTGCCGGTGATGACGGAGAGAGGTAAATGTCAACAATAAATAGAATCGGGCTGAAACGCGCACAATCTTGTGATTAGAAGTTATCTCACAGGCCAGTACGGCAAACTCTCACGCCCCAAAAAAGCAGTGTGGCGCTTATCGACGTTGAAGCAAAGCCTGCAAGCCTGCTGCAGGTCTCCAGGTGATGAGCCACTGCAGCAGTAAGGAACGGGTGAACACGTTGTACAGCATGTCGACCGCTTGCTTGGGATTAAGGTATTATACTGCACGTCCAAGCCATGCTGCCTTCCTCATTATTATGTGCATCAAACATCATCTTCGAGCCAGCGAAGATGCTAGAACGTTTCCCCATCCCATCAGCCGTTCCCCTTTCGTCGTCTTCCCATCATTTGCTGACGTTGTTCCGTTCCTTCATAACCGTCCCGCAAGTAGAGCCGCCCGTTGGTATCATTGGGAAGAGAATAAACACACAACCCCAAAATGTTGCCACAGCTCCGTCTAATGTAATCCGTCATRCATGCAAATATGCCCATTAACACGCAGGCGATTGGGCGATAAAGAGCCTACTAGGTGTCTYCCAATAAGAATTTCACCGACCTCGTGTCGTAGCAGATGCGGCCGAGTCCTCTCCCGTCGTGGCGTTTTCCGGATCCRGTTGAGCAAGGCAGCGTAGGAGCACTGCAGAAGTGGTCAGCTCGTCATCTCTGAACACGACAGGGCAGGCAAGACTTACGGTCCATGATCTCCTCTTCGGCGACGCCCATCTGGTAGTCGACCAGCCCATGCTTCTCGACACTGTCACAGAGTCGAACAAGTTCCCTCGAGAGATGCTCCAAGATCTGCGCGCTCATGATCGATCGCGGCTCGCGAACTGGTTGGGCAGTACGAAGCCACTCCTGGGCCATGTCGAACTGAGTCTGCAGGGTTACCAACCAGGCTCGGTTGAACTCGTCCCAGAGCCGGATCCGATCGTCGTGGAGGTTGTCATCGTCTCGAGTAAGGCCTTGCACTACAAATTAGTCAAGAAATCGACTTGTGAAAAAGGCAATGGTTCATGCTCACCCAGCGCTTCTGCGTTTCCAATCAGGTAGTGCGAAGCTTCCATCAAGAGACTGCCGACTTCGCGCAGCGCTCCTCCTCGGACTTGAGAAAAGATGGAGCGCATCTGAGCCTGATAGGTGCTGAATGCTTGATCTGCAGACTGATTCGATGCTGACGCGAATTGCGAGTAGCTCGCATAGGATTGCTGGCTGGGGTCTACCATGGTACTGCCGTATGTCTGCGAGGATGTTGGTGCGTATGCAGACTGCTGATATTGCGACGGCAAGTGCGGCGCCGCCAATTCGGGCGCAGTCGCACCTGTCGGCATTGACTGGCCTGCAAGGTAGTATTGCGACTGTGGAACCCCGAATTGGGACGCCAATGTCTCACTCGCAGTACCTGGTCGCTGGGRGTAGCGCGAGACCTGATCGTATGGCGTTTGCGTCGTCTGCTGAGATTGCTGGCCCAGGCTGTACAGCGCGCTCGCGCCGCCGTATTGTGAGTATTGTGAGCTCTCCTGTGGTCGCGGCACGTCTGGACTCTGCTGCATCTCGGCCGCGTACTGCATGGATTGCGCGGACGCGCTTCCAGTTGCTCCGTACTGCGGGGTGCCTTGCGCGAAACCATAGACTTGCGCATCGCCGGAGGACCTCCCAGTTGAAGGCACAGTGGGGGGCGATTGATGGACGTAGGATGACTGTCGAAAGCGCTCAACGGTACCAGGAGTTGAGTATTGACCCGAGGGCTGGGAGGGTGCTCCCTGGGACTGTGTCTGCTGCTGCGCTGCGTATGTGTTCTGCGCATACTGGCGTCGCGATGGGTCATTATATTCCATCACAGGGTCAAGTGCAATCGGCCGCTCGTGAAAATCGAACCCTTTCTGCGACGCCAATGGCGAGAAAGGCGGTGATGCATAGACAGTCGCCAGCTTTTCGGTGGGWACTCAGTGTAGGGAAGTGCAAGCCAGTGTGAATGAGCGCGAAATGTGTAGTGACCACGGGAAGCCCAAGAGCCGACGCGGAAGGGTATACGAGTCGATTTTACTTGTTGTGGGCAGACCGCGTCTAAAATGTTGGTCGTGGTTGGAGCTGGCAAGGCGAGCGGGTTCGATGTTGTGACCTTGGCCGGAAGCCTGTTCCTGGCGATGCCCAAGAGTTCACTAGGGTGTCAAATTGGGAGGCTGAGCACTGTTGGCACCCGCGTTGGCCAGAGTTGGAAAGTAGTATGATAAAGCGAGCGGTGCCTTCCAGTTGCTAGGCTGCTGATGATGCTCGGACGAAATCGAAAGGAAGGCGAAGCTGCAGGAAATGAACGACTGCAGGCAATCTGCTGAAATGGAAGCGAAACAAGATGCAAATCAGAGCAGAATTAGCACTCCACAAGAATGGCAGTGCGCACGTAACAGACTAGTTTCGCAACACAGAACTGCCGGAGTAAATTCGAATATTGTCGAGAGTGGACCTGGTCGTAGTTTGAACCGATTAAGCCTCTTCGTCTCTCTTGAGTCGCCGGTATGAGACGCTGACAAGGAAGTGACGCGGTCAAGAATTCGGAAACGTGAGGTGTGAAACTGGGAGGCCAAAGACTAGAAGCTGCCAAATTAGTAAGGGATCGCATTAATGCTCGCTCGTAGGAACGGAAACGAGGCTACGTGAGCGCGTGGACGTGGAATTTGATGGAAGGTGAGTAGATTGGTAGATGTTCAGCTTGGCGATGCCGGGCTGAGGAGGAGGACTCCAGCTACGTACCGTGCTACGATCCAGACAGCAAAAAGGCAAGCGAGACACTGAGAGTCGTAGAGTAGCCGGATAGACTAAGTGGTGACATTGTTACTTGCATGGAAAGTGATGAAGGCGGTTGGCCGGATCGCCCACCGTTTGTGGCAGCCCAACCTTCAAGAGTCAGGGATCATAACGCAAGAGAGGCGCAGGATATAGTGCACCGCAGTGCTAGCGATTGGTCACCTTCAGAGGTGTTCGAGCAAACCAAGCCAAATGGGTCTCTGCGGACTCTGCTTTTAGAGTACCGGCGGATCTGTTTGAAGAACCAGACTACTCTTATTGAGCTGTTTTGCACTCGCCTGAAGCATTGCGGACCTGGGACAAACGTCCTGCTGAAGCGATTTGTGTATCTCAACACGCGATTCGTAGCCCGTCTTGTACAATGCCCATCGTTTGAAGCGTTGCAGCGGAAGCAATTTTCATCATATTGTGGACCATGCAAATATCGTGCGAAGACGATGTCCTCTGCCCGCTGCCCGCTGCACGCCAACTGGGCGCCGTAGAGAGTTTGGCGTGGCGGTTGTACCTGCATGGGAGCTTGGATGCATCGTCGTTTGTTCCTTATGCCATGATCCCAGTAGCGAACTATCCGACTGGTGGCATAGCATCCGGATTACGGATCACGTCCGGCGATGGCCAACCGCCACCATCGCGTCCGCCAGCCGTCAGTCATCTGATCTCCAGATCCGTCCAGGTCCGGAAGGGGTGGCCCGGTGCCAGGTGTGAAGGATTTGTGGTGAACACTGACGTCCCTGAGCAAGGGATCAATGTGAAGTCGGCCTTTGGACCGATCCGATCTGAAACCGCGCGAAACTGTTGGCTCATCTTGGCTTCGCGTGCATACAAGTCATACACGTGCAGAAAGCGCCACCTTAACAGACTGACAAGCGCAATAATACTCGAGGCACCCGGCGCTCATCGCTGCGGCATGTTTCATCTTGCCCTGAGTTGTTTCCGTGGTCTCGGGATGTGCAAACCATCAAACGAACATGTCACGATCTAGCGGCATCTGGATCGCCTACTCTCGGTAAGGCAATCGGTCAGTGCTGATCACAGTCTGCAGGTGCAGCCTTGCCTCTTGGGTAGCGAGCACCTATGCTTAGCGAGGCCACCAAGTGCTATCGAAATAACCTGGCCAGTAAAAGACCGATTCGGATCCCTGTGGTTGCCCAATGCCTTGCCCAATTTTTGCAGCCGCGGGGACTGTCGCCATTATACCTGCACACAGGGTAATCGGGTGTTCAGTCCAAACCACAGTTCCAGAAACCCGGTTGCAGCCCCGTGGTTGACAAGCCCGAACCCTCACGGCAGTCATCATCATCATCATCAAACAGCTGCAGTACGTGGCGTGAGTCGCCCGTGTCGATGTCAATTCGGAGCTCGTGTTGTAGCAGCGCTCCTAGCCGAGTCGGGTTCGGTAAGGTATAATACATGTAATAATGATCATTTGACCATGTTCGAACACTTCTATACGGGATGGCGTGCATAGGAGGGACATCAGCGCTATACGAGTCGTGCATGTTACCTGTTGAATGTTCAACCCGAACTTGACACTGCTCAAGGCCGTACTTGTGCGAGAAGACGCAGCGGACCGCTCATGCAGCGACATGCCCCTGCAGAAGTCCAAACCCGAAGCATCGGATCACAATTTCGAGAAATCATTCGCTGAAAACGAGCACAGTCTTGTGTTGGTATATCGTTATCACAGGCGTGTTCAGTTCTATAGACCAAGTAGGTCATACAGTCTCCCTCATTTCTTCACGGCAAAGCCGCGCTGGTTATATTGCAAACAGGCTTTTGGCATCTCTTGGCATCGTTGATGATGCTTGGTCTTGGGTATCATGTCACGCGACAAAACATTTGTTGTTGAAAGTTGTTGAAACGGCGCAGTAGGCTCGATCATGCGATCACTTGGCCGAGTAGGTCTGCTTGGGCGATGGGTATCTATACAAGTAAGCTTTTGGTCTTCCAGACGAGAAGAGGGACACGGCAGAGTGACTTACGAAGGTCCAAGTTCGCGCAAGCTCAGCGCAGCCAGCCACGAGCCCATGTCGACGGACGTCTCGATGCTCTCGCCCTTGACAACACCAGCAAAGAACCCGCCTGCGAAGGCATCGCCGGCGCCGTTTGTGTCGTTGATTTCACTCTTATCGATCGCGTGAACAGGGAAAGTCTTGACCTGGTCCTCACCCTGCACGGCAATGATAGTGGGGTCAGTTCCTTGCGTGATAATCGCGACACGCTTGCKCTGCTTGTTCTCCTTTGGCAAGTTGGCGAGATGCTTGGCGATTTCAGAGATGTCGTGTGTTTTGAGGTCATGCGAGTCGGAGTAAGAGATGGCCTCTGTCTCGTTGCCGATGATGTAATCMCAGTAAGGTGAGGTCTGGTCGACCTGGTCCTTGAAGAATTGCGGGATAAACGGGGCAGATAGGGAGAAGATGAATGGCTAACAACCAAGACATTAGCACTGGCATTCACAAGAAATCGATGTAGACGACCGACCTTGTTCGCTCTCGCAGCTTCCTCGGCAAGAGCCATAGCAGCCGGTACGCAGACGGTCAAATGGTAACCACCCACGAAGTAGGCCTTGGCCTTTTCGACAATGCCCCAGTTCTCCTTCAAGTGTTCAATCTTGTAGCAATTCGCCGCGGCGAGATCGGTGCACATGCTGCGGTCATGTCCCGTGATGATAACTCCGCAGCGGCCAGTGGGCTGCTCTGGGTCTTGGAGGTAGCGGACGGCCAGACCAGCCTCCTTGTTCGCCTTTTGGAGCGTCTCGGCGTACTTGTCGTTGCCAACGCATCCAAAGTAGACGACAGAGTTGGGTGGTAGAATGTACTGKAGTTCAACATATCAGCTTGTGACTCTCTCCGAGCTGGTTCAGAATGAGCGGCAACACACCTGTGCACCTCTGGCGGTGTTCTGGGCGGCACCACCAGCGATGAGCTTCGCATCACGGTTCTGGATAAGCTCCTCGTACAGCGATGCATGCTTCTCCTCGGCCAGAATGGCATCGTTGGCCTTTAGGCCATACTTCTCAAGCAAAGCAGCATCTCTGACGCCATTGTCAGTGTCAAACATTCCATCGGCAATGAGACTTTCAGCAGTGTTTGGCTGCCATTGAGACTCACCCTTTTCCCTGAATATCAAGGAGCGGGTTCTCCAGACAGAGAAGATCGTAGCTGTGGTCGGCAGACATGTTTTTGGCTGTGTAAGAGTAATGTTTGATGCTGTGATGTTAACGTTGAGGATAGATGGGAAGTTCAAGTCCATTCCATTTCCTCACCCCACCATCTACCCCCGCTGACGAAATCGAAGCAGCTCGGGAGATTCACTTATCCTTTCGGTGCCTTTCGGTCTCGCAAGGCCTTGGTCGCGGACGAAGAGTTTACTCCGAATGGGCCCTGTACCAATGTCAACCTCCATAGCGATTCGTTCTACAACAATCTGGTGGAAATGTTGAAGACGTGGAAGATTTCTCAGCTCTCTTGATTTACCTGAAGCTGATCCACCCCTAAAACACAGCAACTCAGAAGAGTGGGGCGTTCACATTCCGCAATGCCAACTACCCTCGCACACAAATTGCACTTAATAAAGTAGCTTCACAGCATTCGCCATGACAAGTTACATCCCAGCAACTGATTCAATAGCCCAGAGCATTTGACGTCGATTGAAAACGAATTCCATTACCCCAACCCTTACCCTAGCACCAGCTTTCCCACTTTCTGGGGCTGGAAAGGAGCCAGAGCTATCGGCGAGTTGGATGGTATACAGCCTTATCCGGCACGCGAAGCAAACAATGAACATTTCGGTTTAACCGTTTATAAAAACCAATACCTTCTGCGCTGTCTGCCATGCTCCCAGGGTATAGAACTCCGTAATGCGCGAATGCAACGCCGTCGTACACGCTAAACGAAAATCACAGCACAATCAGATCCCGACTGGTGAAGTCAGGTGGCGGAGCGTAGAATTGCGCACGCCCATTAGCATCTAATGTGGCGCCCTCGTTGCTCATCCAGATGTGGGTCTTCTCTTGCCTGACACCATTATTAGTATCCTCGACCACAACCGTGCTCATCTTCCCAGCTCTCTTGATCTCGTCGTCGCTAACGCCGAGCGGGTCGCGTGGAATCCAAACCACAGGACGTGTGGCGCGAAGTGCTTCTGGCTGAAAAGCACTACGCACGGCCAACTGTCGCTCATCTGGTGTCAGGTCTTCCAGCTCATCCGCATAATTGGCGAACAAGTCGTCTCCAAGGTCATGCTGTGCTTCATTGTTGTGATGTAAGCCGTGCTTGCCCTCCGCTTCGGCCTTGGCCCACTGCTCGTCTCGGATGACGGCGTCGTCTTCGAGTGTGATGGGTAGGTACCGAAACAATGGCTCAAATACCACGTTCAATTGCCATTGGTAAAGAACAGTCGCAATCAATACAATAATCATGATAATGGCCTGCGGAAGGCACTCAAACTGTTTTCCTGGGATGGAGACGGCAAAGAAGAGGCCGATGAGACAAATCTCCATGATGTAAATCCCGGTGAACATTTGGTTGAGAGCCACTGGAAACAGCTCCCCGCCTGTGTCATTGAGGTTTCGGTGAACGAACAGAATGTTGTATCGATATACCACGGAGAAGAGGCCAAAGATCAGCAGCATGAAAACCACAATAAGTGGAGCTGTGATCGAATAGATTATGCCAATCGTCGCAAAGTTGGTGAAGAGGGGGAAGAACGATCCCCAAGTAATGGTGTTGGGGTCGGTCTGTCGTTTGAACTTGTCGCGTGGTGTGGAGTCAAGGAGTGGCGCCAAGATGAACACTGATAATAGCCCTGCAGGTTGCAATAGGTTGCTGGCCGAGTTGTTCAATGCTTGCACCGTCAAGTAGGAGAAGTAGTAGTTGGCGGCCGGCGGGATACTTGTGGCAAGACTCTGGAATATCCTGCTGGGATTTGATGCAAGCTGCCGGCCAAATGGAACAAACCCGGAAGACAGTGTGACCACGAAGAAGACCTGAATGAACAGGAAAGCGAAGAACCAAGTCTGAACGCCTTTCTCCTTCGCGCTGCCTGTGGCGACGCCCTGTCGATGGATTAAAGCCCGGAAAATGATCGGAATAAGCAAAAGAATCAAGATCAGGATGAGCTGGGGCAGCAGACCTTGGATCCCGTTCTTGACCTTTGCCGGGAGCCTGTCCAACCAGCCCAGCCATGGGACAATCTTTGCCAATGTAGAGACGTTACTGAGCAGACCAGTGAACGTGACCGGGACGGCATACAGAATGATGAGCGCGGCGCAGGTGACGAGAGTGACGCTGGTCCTGATGTAGCGCTCCCACCAAGTCATCGAAAGATTCTCCCAGATCACATCGTTAGGGCTTATCTCAACAATGCGCGGGGTCATGGCCGATGGGAGATGGTGGATCAGAGACTGGCAGMACATGTGAGCAGCAGCCTGGTTGTTGAATTGGATAAAGGCCGAGTTCATGAGTGGGTACTTTTCAGCGTTGGTCTGATCCGTTTCAATTTCAAGATTGAGCCGCGCCAGCTCGCGGCGTTGCCAGTATATCTTGTCCACTTTCTTCCCGATCAAAGGAAGGCTCGGGAGCCAGCTGAAGATGGGGAGACGCATGGTCTCTCGATCGGCAGGACTGATGAAGCGGCGCCACTCTGCATCCTCGTCGTCGTCCAGATCCTCGCCATAATCTTTGTTGAAAGCTCGGGGATAGTCTTTTCTGTCTTCTTGGTTTTTCTTATCCCTCTTCTTCTCCTCCTTGCGGGGAATGAAAGGGAATTCATCCTCGTTCTCCGCAACGTGCGGCTGAGGAGAAGGGAGGAAGAGCGAGTCATCGTGGCCCAGAATCTGGCGGACCTTGGAATAGCCTTTTTGGAAATGCGGTTCCTCAATTCCCATCTGGAACCGGGGCTTGGACTCTCTAGATGCCCCGCCCGACAATTCCCCATCAGTGATACCATCAAGACCACCTGCTCCAGGATGCTGAGTATTTTGCGGTTTGGATATATCCTCCATTCCATGCGTCGTTTCGACCTGAGCTCCGGAGCTAATGCCACCTTCGGACTGTTGCTTTGTGTTAAGTTTGCGACCTTCCTTCTTCGCAAGCTTCTTCTCCTTCGCATAGCACTGCTTAATCAAAGCCGTCTGGGCATTTTCCAAGCTCTTAACAATAATGCCGCGGTCTTTGACTTTCTCGGCCAACTCGGAGTAGTCGCGGTTGATCCAGACGGTATGAATGCCTCCGGGAAGAACATCGAACAGGCCGTATAGCGCTGGGAGACTCTGCCATTTTGGCGGGATGCCAGATACGAGCACGGTAGTTGCAGAGGCTCGCAATCTGTGCTGTGGACTGGTCAAGTATGTTTGTCGAATGCGCACGTAACCAGAGAGTTCAGTGAACATGAGATACAGGACCCATGCGATGAAGAGGACAGCACAGACGAGATGAACCCATAGTCGATTGGCCTTGGTGGCGGGAACATTGGAGAAGGACTGCCGGTAGAGACCATCTTGGTCACCTCCGGCGGTGGTGTTGATTGGCAGTAAGATCGGCAAGATCAAGGTTGCCGCCGGAAGAAAGATCTTGAGCTGGACCCGGAGATAGCGGAGGAAGAAATAAGCATCAAGACCGCATTTCTCGATCAATGTACGACTGGAAGTAGTCCATAGGGGAATGAGCCAGCCGAACGGGCCTCCAGGAGGAACGGGAAGACGCTCGCGCTCAGAGACCTGTGCATGTTACAGTCAGTGGATTTCTCGCTTCGAATGTGACCGGAAGTGATCATACCGCGTGCGACTTGGGGCTATAAATGCGGGTATAGTGCGTCCTCACGAGGATGAAGAGGAGAACCTGAGCACCCAGAGTGGCCGAAGCAACAGTGAGAGCAGAAGCGAGACCTCCAGAGGCCGAGTTCGTCGCCGTAGGGCAGTAAAGCACCCGATCCCAGAAACCGGTCTGTGTGCAGTTCCCAGGCACATCCATGTTGCTTTATCTGTGTCGCATGATGTTGGCAAGCAAGTTATGCGCGATAGAGTACAGAACAGAAGGTGTAAACATCACGGGCTACATAGGACAGAAGGCACAGAAGCGCACGGTATGTCATAGTTCGGCGACAAACGTGAAACAGGTTACAGCCGCTTATTTAGACGATAAACCACCAAGATGCCAGGATCTAATTCCGACGTTCATTGGTTCATTCAACGGCGCCTCTACAGTGCACAGATGCATCTTTGTATAAGCGAGCGTTTGCAACAGCTGTTGCAGTATCCCTTATGCGGGCTCTCTGCCCTCTCAGTTCTGGAGGGGGTTTTGTAAAGGTGACAGTGTTGCGACTACATCCATGCACGGCAGTCCATCATGCACCCGAACCTGCATGAACGCATGGCAGATGTCGTCGTCTGGGAATATCCTTGTGCGAGATTAGTCGAAGTGTTCGCACGGCCCTGTGCATGATTGACCGATGGTGAAGTACAACCTCGATCTTAGTAATAATAGGGCCACACCGCCTAGGTATGATCGATCCTCGTGCGAGATTGCTTCTACTGCCGATATGCATCGTGATCGAATTCAACAGGAAACATCCCCGTGGACAACACGTCTGCATGAACGTAGATGCAAACGCCCATGCCTCGACAGGCAAACACACCACAGCCATCATCATCAATGACGATCTCCGGCCTGCCTTCTTCCTCACTGAGAATATCGATCCATCTTTCACCAGGTCTGCCAGCTGCCATTTTCTTGATAGTCCACTTATCCGCCGAGCCAATACTCATGACCACCGCGCACCCGGGTCTGTCATGCGTGCCAGCGCGTGTCCAGCCGATGCATGACATGCTATCGAGGTAATCTCTCTGAGCGCCATACGCAAACAGCTTCCGCACTAGCATCAAAGATGGCAGAATAGACCTCGTCATGTTGGTAAGGCTCTGGCAGGGCACTTRACAAGCTGGGCCCTGAGACTTGTCGCCCAGCGTGCCGTACACGTCTCCCCAAAAGACGCTCGGATGGCCTTCTTGTCTCAATAGGATAAATGCATAGAATAGTGACTTGATGGTCGATCCCATGGGAGTATAGCTAGATTGTCCAGGCTGAGTGTCGTGGTTGGTTACAAATGTCACAGCCTGCCTAGGACGCAATGTAACCAGAGCTTGCTTGCCAGACTCACCGGGTCCAGGAAGTAAGGTCCGCAGATCTGCATTCTTGCTCCCTTTGCGCACATCCTCGGAAACCCGCGAGAAACTGTACAGCAACGGCGTATCGAAAGCATGAGCAAGGACAGCTGAGCCGGGAGGAGTGACAGCATCGATCCAGTCAAGTAAACCTTGGGCTTTGGATGACCAAAACTCCCCCACGATGAATACGTCTTTGTTGTGTCGACGTACGCTGCTGTTCTGAACGGTCGCGATCCATTCGCGAATGAAGTTTCGTGGAATGTGCTGCGCTGCGTCCAGCCGGAATCCACAAACACCTATGTCGTGCACCATCCACTGTCCCCAATTGAGAACGTCACGGCGGACCTCAGGATGCGCGTAGTATACATTCGAGAACATCAGGTAGTCGTAATTGCCATGTAACTTGTCGACGTCTTCAGCCCATCCTTTGCCCGGCCTTCTGGCAGCTAGCTTTCGTTCGGAAGGATCCTGTAGGGCGTTCGAGACTGCTTCCTTTGCAAACCTGGCCAGTCTGTTGAAGCCTAGTGTAGACTTGCTGGGGATAGGGAGTTGTTCCTGGTTGGGCTTGGGATATGTCRCAGGGTCGTCAATAATCTTGTAGATTGCGTTCCGTTGCATCCTTTGACACCAGTCTGTGCCACTAAAATGTTCGGCCGTCCACTTCATGGAGGAATACTTCATACCGTCCCGTTCACGTCCTGGAAAGTCATATCGCAGCCAAGCTTCAATCTTGCGGGGAGCACATGTTTCGACTCTGCGATCTGTTGTACTGTTAGCCACGCTCCCCAGATATGCGTATATCAACTGGCACACCTCCTTGATCGACCTCCACAGCCCAGCACTCATCCGTCCTGTCACCAGCCGTTTTGTGGTTCAACACAGTGTCCCATACCACGTCCACTCCGACCTCTCCAGCAACCCTCACGAGCTCATCCAACTCTTCTTTCGAACCCCATTTTGTACTTCTCGTCCACTTTTGATCGAATTCACCTGGCAGGGGTTAGCCCAGGAGCCACCTCTCTCTCATCTGGCATATCCAATGCCATACCCAGATCCCACAGGTCGTAGCAGTCGTAACCATTCCCTTGCGGTGCATTGGCTTTGCAGCCTGGCGGAACCCAGATTGAACTCACACCCAGCTCTTTCCACTTGGGTACAAGTCTAGCTAGGCGGCTCCAATGCGAATTTTCCGAGCGTGTCTCGTGGGGTGGAGGGGGTTGCGAGGCTGTGTGCCATTCAAATGCTTGGAAGAAGAGCGTGTTCTCCGGCGTTGCTGCAGATTCGCCAGACATGATGCTGCTGTTGAGGGTCTACGGCGATGAGAACAGTGAAAACGCAGCAACCTACCGTCGCAAGACGCCAGGTCAATCGCACCGCGCTGGGCGCCAGGATGATGTGGATTACACAGCGTCACACCGGAGATCAAGCGGCTGTGCACACCTGGAGCAAGTCTGTCCCCACATTGTCGTTGGATGGGTGAATGGAGGTGTTGGAATGTGGATGATGTTCGCAAGACGTGGCAATTGAGTTTGGCAAACCAAAGCATCTGGGCAATTCTTATAGCTGGGCTTGTTTGGTTTCAATCTCCGCTACTCATTGTAGGATTTGAAAGACATCAGATGATCATAACGCCGAATTCTGCATACTGTACAGCAAAGATGCACCTCTAATCGTCTACCAGCCAGAACCAGGTCTCATCACGGCCGAATAGGAAGAAGTGCCTCCCCCTTCACCTGTCCATACCACCTTGCTTTTCCGACACACCAAAGCTCACAACCTCATCATCTTGACGTATTAATCCGCTTACTTGGCGATCTCAACACCGCCGGTGGCTCCAATTGCCCTACAAGTGTGTTAGCGTGAATTAAAGATCATGGGTGCTGCAATACGTACTTCTTGATATCACCGTAGATGGCGAATTGACCAGCGGTCAGAGTACCGACCATGAAAAGACGGGCACCAATACCGCTGTAAGAACCACGAAGACCAAGCTCCTTGGCGATCTTGATCAGACGGCTGGTGGTGCCCTCACCTGGAAGACCCTTGCTCTTGTTGATCTTCGAAAGCATGGTATCGGCGGGCTGGGAGACGATGGCAGCGGCGAAACCGGCGATGAGACCAGAGCCGAGGTTGACAACGGTCTGCATTCCGTTGCTGGTGTTGGCCTTGTCGAAGAACTTCTGGTATGCGAGCTCAGACACCTTCTCGTATACGACGAACTTTGCCATGGTGTATGGGACCCTAGAGTATGTTAGAACGCGTCTTAACCCAAGCTTGTAAAGATCTGGCAAACATACTGCTTGAACAGGATTGGGCCGAATCCAGAGTAGAAAGCACCAACACCCTCAGTCTTCAAGATTTTGCTGAAACCAGAGACGAGACCAGTGGCAAAACCAGCCTCAGACACGAGACGAATACGGGTGGCCTCGAGCGGGCAGAGGGCAATATCGGCGATGAACTCGGCGCAGGCGGACGAAGCGAGGTAGACGGCGGTGCGGTTGTTGGAGGCGTTCTCGTAACCGATCAAGTTGATCGACTGTTGCTTGAAGAACTCATATCCACCGAACTTGAGCGCACCCTGGAGGAAGTAACCAGCGAAGGTTGGGCCAGCACCGGTCAGGAGAGCACCGGCACCCTCCTTGGCGATGACCTGGCGGAAACCGCCAATCAGGCCGCGGTTGTAGGTRGCAGGATCGAGCTGGATTCGTGTCTTGACGCTGGAATGAAAAGTGTTATTAGCATGATGTTCCCGGTAGTAGCTTCAATGGCTCTCGACAGGTTGCGCACCGCAGTGCAGTGGTTGTCCTCTTGCGCCCTCTCGCTCTTGTGGTAWTCATCGCCGGCAACACTTACACATCAACTGGAGTGAGGCCACCGTGGGTGACGGAGCAGCAGACAGCGCCGGCAAAAGCGAATCGCGAGTAAAGGGCGAGGCCGGACAGCTTCTCGGGGGTGGCAGCTTCAATGTTCTGCTTGACGGCATCCAGCTTGGAGCTGCCGGTGGAGGTGGGTGGTGCTTGGCTCATTGCGACGGCGGAAAAATACTCGTGAAGAGTGGTGTGGTATTATGGCCGGCGTTCCGGAGGTGGTGCTGTAGTGCTAGCAAAGGGAGTTGAAAGCGGAGTAGTATAGGAAGTCGTTGCTATTTTTCTTTGCTTTGTTGGGAAGGCTCGGAGGAGACCGGGGCGTGCCAGTGTTTAGCCGCCGATTGGTGCGAAGGCTATCGCGGATGCAGGCCGCGGGTTGACGTTATTGTGGGACCGGGCGCCTTCATTTACTTCTCACCTCACCTCTCGCGTATTCCAAGATCCCTTCTTGGAAATATCTGCGAAACAGCTCCGAGTAACTATAGTCGTGCGGCTCAGCCACGGAGCACCGCTTCTGCAAAGATGAACAATACACCGGGTCGGGATAAATGAGTCTGCGGAATCCAACAACGGATTCATCAGAACATTTTCTCTGAAGCAGAGTACGACTCGAGCAAGGAAGATTCTGAAACGATGYACCAGACTGTCGCAGAGAGCGCCAAACCTTCGATGATAGACCACAGTGGCAGGTATCTCTGGGGTCACACAGCACGCATGGCGCTCCAGGAGACCGACACCATGCTGGCGAAGTGGACTTCTTAAGCCCGTTTCGGTCAATGGTTAGAGCGCACGTAACCTCGCAAACCGGTCGCAAGAACATCCGGGAAAGGCTAGGGAATATCTACAACCCGCAAACCAATGTGAGCCATGTCTTGAGAGGCTCACAGCGACCTCCATTCTTCCACGAGGCTACGAGACGACCATTTGGCTGGGTCATATTCCAGCGAGTCTGATGAGATGGTGGGCGTCTTACTCAGGAGTTCACGCAGCAAATAGTGCACCGCAGCGTCTGCTTCACTGTAAGTCATTTGTCGTCGCTTGTTGGGACTGTCCTTTCGTTCTTTCATCCGTTCCTCGGTATAGGGAGCAACCATTTCTCAATCATGCAACACCCATTTCTTGCAGCACCTCCCCACCGGAGATGCTTTGTAGGCTGTCTCGGCAGATTGGTGCATTCGCAACACCATGCAAGCAGTCCGCCCTGTGTATGTTTCCTTCATGCAGTACATTCACTCACCTGCAAYCGTTGGACGTTCAGCCTAGACCTAGTTGGATGCGGATCACGTGAGGCCGTCTCCAAGGCAACCGGATCTGGCAAGAGCTGCGAGCCGCGCGTGATGCGCAGTGAATAGCACAAGCGCTGCGCCTCACTCATGATCACACTTCTCGCACCTTCTGCAAGCAGCCCTTCGCGACATCTCGACCTCATCTGGTCACCTCCACCACAACGTTTCACTGCAACAGCATTGAACTCGAACTGCCCTCGAAGTTCAACACCATTTCACGCGACCTTCAACGCGCAGCATGAGCGACCGCAGCATGAACGGCGGCAGCGTATCGAAGCGCAAGGAGTCGTCATCCTACCGCAGCCCTACAAGCAAACACTCTCGGAAGCGCGCGAGGACGACCAACGGCTTCGTCAATACACCTCGGAATGTTGAGAGTGACGGCGAGAGTGACGGCGGCAACACTGTCAAAGTCGCCGCGAAGCCTGCGAATGCCTTGACCGTCGTCCGCAAGAGATGTGAGTGCAGTCCGACCTCGAGACATTGATATACTGACATTTTCAGATGAGCAAGAACGGCTGGAGCACGCGCGCACCGTTGAAGAGCTGAACGCAAAGCTTGAAGCAAGCGAGCGCAAGACGGCTGAGTATCGTACCAAGTACAAGCATGGCATGAAGGATAATGTGGAGAAGAACACCGCATCGGCCGATAAGCGTRTTGCGGATACTGAGAAGAAGATCAAAGATTTGAGACAGAAGCACAAGGAGGACATTGTCGCCATCCGGGAGGAACTCGTCCTGGCTGCCAAGGATGAAGTCAAGCCAACTGCGCGGAAGACCAACTCTGCTGAACAGGCTTACGAAGATGCCGATACCGCGCTGAAGCACTTGAACGCTTTGGATCCCGAGCAGCACAAGAGCCTCGTCGAAGATCAGCGTGTGTGTATCAAATTAGTGGCGCAGCTGGACAGGGCCCACGTCACGATCGCCAGATTACAGGAGGGAACGGTCCTGACCCAGAACGAGGCTACCAAGGAKTGTGCCGAAGCTATGGAAATGCTCGAGACAGATCTCAGAAATGCTGCGGAGGACATGCGCACGAACTCTACCCTTTCTAACCAGAAGAAGACGCTGGTAAGTACAGTCCGCAGAATGTGTGGGCTACGCGCGTGCCTCGGTGCTCACACAAAGCTACGAAATGCCAAAGATCTCTACTAACGCTCCGTTCTCCACCCAGACGAAGAAGGTGCTTGTGGCGCTGAAGGAAGCCGAGCCGGTGTTCATGGCTCACGCTCAGTTGAACCAGGCTAAGGCCAAGGCTAAGCCCGAAACCCCGAAGCTGACGACGCCTGTCATCGACAGCTCCGTACTCATGCGGAAGAACAACCAGCTCCAGGCAACGGTCAATGATCTTCAGTTCAAGCTGAAAGATGTTCGTGGCAAGCTTGAGGAGGAAGTTCAGATGCGTCAGAAAGCGGAGGCAGTTGCAGAGGGAGAATCCAAGGAGGGTGGGGAGGCTTCCACGATCGGCGAGTAGTGGCAATTGAGCGTTCAAGGTGTGATCTGTCGCTGGTGTCTTCGGCCATGACACCGATCGCATGAGTGGTGGTGAAGGCTGCGGGAGCATCCTCCTTGACACTTACGAGCCATCCATTTGCTTTTCTGCGAAGCCGGGAGGTGGATATTTTACGAGGGTTTATGAGGCACATGGCGTTTGCGTGATTTGTTTGCGGGCAACAGACGAGTATCGATCCTGTTGGGTATCAACCCACCTCAAGGACGGGCAATGAACGTCGCTTATGCATTACGGTAAAAGTTCATCCGAATGGATCTCCTATCAGCCCATCTTCGACACTGTGTCTGTTTTGTTTGTGAACAATTGCGTAACGGCTTGATGTTGAAGATAGAAGACGATGGTCTCGAGAACGACAGTGGGTAGAGTAGTTGCTGTGCTCCCGCATCATGGGCGGTATGTCTAGACGCACTGTGACTGCCAAGATATTCACATGAAAGAGCCAATTGGCTCCACGACCTGCCCCCGCAATATCGTCAGTCGTCTTCCGTCATTGCGCATGTAAGATACCGCTTCAAGACCACTGACACTCAGGAATCGCTAAGGGCCGCCATAATAGTCACGCATCATCATGCGCAATAATCTCTGCTCTCAACTTTCCCATTCATGCTTGACTACCAAACCCACCACCTCAGCCCAGGCATACACCCTCCATTCCTAACCCTAACAAGCCCCTTCCTTGGACAAATACTCCTACTCTCCTCCACACTCCCCCTCGTCCTCGACAAATCGCAATGCGAAGGCTGCGTAACCAGAGTAAGTTGCCCCACCTTCGACTTCGCAACACACATCGCTTTAACCTCCTCCATCGACAAGACTCTCCATCCTCGCTCCACCGAAAGAAATTCCTCCCAGATCAGAACATCTGAATACCAAAGCCCACTGCATTCGAGCCTGACTTGTCGACTGGAATTGAAAAATGTTGGTTCTCGAAATATGGATCCATGACGAGGTCCTTGTTGTTTGCGAGTTTCGAGCTCTGCGTACATTGCCATGACATAGATGCTATTACGTATCTCGCCTGGAAGACGGAAGAGGAACGATTGTGCGTTTTGGAGCTGAATGATTCGTTGGCGGAAGGTTTCTATTTCGTTTTTGATGATTTCGAGATCCTTGTAGGACATGGTGTCGAGCACATCGACGTTGCCTGTGGAGCGTTTCTCCATTTTGAGATTTGTTGTATGGTCTGACAGGTAAGGCAAAGGAAGTTGTTGTATTAAAACGACTGGTTGTATCGATGTTCATCAAGGTGGTCTTTCAAGGTGCCTTTCTAATTCGATCGGGCCATCAATGTTGCGACTTTGCGCTGTGCCGACGTCTAAATCACGCGAGGCGGTTCTATAGACCTTCGATTTGCAGGTCTGTGGAGAGTGATTGAATGGGACCTGCGCAAAGCGCGGTAATATTGTACTGAGATATGTAGCTCAGCTCCCCCTGCAGCTCGCGTGGAGAACGATGCGTTGGCTGCTATTCTTGGATCATTGCAAGCCAAGGCGCCCCGCCCAGTGATACCATCGCAGCATGCTTCCAATGAATACATGTCTCTACTATGAGTTCGTCTCCAATCCCTCAAGCAATGCGTGATATTCAGCTTACTGTGCCTTCATGCGCTGCCACAAGGCGCGGCTTGCCCCACGCACTCAACACTAGAAGCGGAGCTTGGGAGTATATGCTGCGAGTACATCAACACCCGTCTTGAAACCAACAAACACGTCGATGACCCTCACGAGCAAGACAGAAAGTTTCTAGCCTTTGCTCAGCTCAAGCACGGCCTGACCCAATCGTTCCCTCACACACTCATCCTTCTTTGCTGTGGGGAGTCCGCATACTCTTGCACTGCTGCCATTGGGATCTTGCTTGGCACAGCGTTTGATGGCAGTCTTTGAGCACGCACGTGATCGACGTAGGTTCTCGGGGGCCGCAAGCGATCTGACGACATCATTTGCGCGATTCCACTTGGTTGGATTGAAGCTTGAGAATAGTGAGATACGCCGGTAGCCGCAGTTTTGAGCGTATCATAGGACGTGCTTCCAGTTCTGTCGCTCTCGCCAAGCTCAGTTTTGAACGGATGGTAGTCTGTTTCCGTGGTTCGGTCAACGATAGCATTCTTCGAGCGCTCTGCTAGCGCCGAAACAGTCTTTGCGATGGGTGTGGTAGATGATAGGGAGCTGTTGCGGTAGAGTCTTCTGCATCGTTTTGTGAGCGACCGAGGACGAGGTAGGGCAAAGTGGCTACGCCGACGAATGCCAACACCATTTCCACAGGGATGGCGCTGAGGCTTCAACCTGGCGATCACCACCACAATTCTCTCGACAGTGGCGTTCTTTGTAGTCTTGCGATCCCGCTTGCTGGACGGGGGGCTCTTTGGCAACGACAGACCATTCAGTTGAATGATCAGATCGGGAGCCCCAGGGGGTAAGGTCGTCTTATCAGCTCGATCCTGCACGCCGCTTTGTGCCGGATTGCTCCAAGGCGCTGGTGTGTCTGGCTTCGTCCACATCGTTGTCGTAGCGGCGAATGGATTTGGAATCGCAATCACGGCAGGTCTCGCAGGTCGAGGAGAAATTTCTCGGGTAGTGTTCATGTCCTCTCGCATGCAAACCCTCTTCGTACTCCGATGAATACGATGGTTGGATTCGCTGTCAGACGAAGATTCCGATGGCGACGGAGAAGCACGAGGCGTTTGACCGAGGACGTTGAGAGTTTTGAGTGCAGCACCCAAATTTCGTAGATTCCTGGTTGTAAGCTGCGATTGAATTGAAGGTAGACTGCAATGCCATTGCTCGGATGTTTGGAAAGAAACAGTGGGTGATTGGAGTTCCACAGTCTTTACGGACTCGAGTGCTGTTATTGCCATGATGGTTGGTGGTCGTAATGATGTGGAATGTGTAGCAGAGACGATTGATAGAGTAGAGCGTGTCAAAAAGTATGCTGAACAGCTGATCACAAGCCGATGATGCGGAACTAGCCAATACCCTACCTGTGGGGCGATACAAACGATACCTACATTCGCTGGCACGGAGCATGACCCATGAATATATAGCCGGAAGGCGATCGTCCAGCAACTGCTCAAAGGCTTGGTCTGTGTTGCATCTGGCTTGCCGCCAGCGAGACAATCACCAGTGAGTGGCGTTGGAGGTCTGGAATTCCGAGAGCGCTGCAGATACCCGTCAAACTCACTCTGGTGGGCCGGGATTAGCAAACGGGCGTACTTTCCTCCTCAGCTTTGACGGTCCCCAGCGGTGCGCAACTGCTACCTGCCTCAGTGGGCAACATGCCGTCGCAAGTGAACCTCGGCCGAAGGGGATCCTCAAGCCTCGCGTGGACTCACTCYATGGAGAGGAAAGCGCCGGCAGAAGACGAATGAACCATGTTCAAGAGCTGAAATTTACCGCTGTGCCTCCGCAGACGGGCGATGGGTGCGCAGCGTGACCTCGTCTGCTGAGGTGGGCGGCCTATCCTGAGACGGGTTCAAGCCGAATCCTATTCCTCCGATCAATCAACATCAGCCAGCGCTGACATCGACGCCAACGGGCTATTCTCCTTGGAATGGAGACCGGGTGGGCGCAGGGGAGGAGATGACGACGAGACAGCTGAGACTTGCGGACGATGCAGGTCGACAGGGGTGTTTTGAATCTGATCTTTGATCGTGCTTGCCCGCCCTGCTGACTGATGCACCAAGGCACGCTTTCCTTCGCTTCTTCCCGTACCCCTTCCCGCACTGCCGATCCATGACATTTCTGGCGCCAGCTCCTTTGAGAAAGAGCGGCCACCTGTCTGCACTTCAACAACCACGCAACGTTCACACTTGTCCATTTCTTTCTGATCCCGCACATAACATCCCTTGGGCGAATTCATGGTCTGAACCTCTGGTCTCTGGCTTCCTCATTCGGATTGAACTGGCCTGGCAGAGTAGCCCACTGACGAGTTTCCTTCTGTTGCTCTTACCCACGTCGCGGCCATGTCCAACGAATATAACTACGATGCCGACGCGCAATTCTTCCCATTCTTCGTGCTCACCGTCACCTCACTGGTCACATTACCCCTGACCTACTCACTGCTCCGCAAGCCCGCCGACGCGTCCAAGCTGGCAAAGGCTGGCCACATCGATTCGAGCTTTCGCCCCGAAAATGCAGACATTATAGACACGCAGCGCGCCAAGCAGAAGCGCAAGGAGCGGCGGCTGAAGCGTACGCTGATTGCTGGCGCGGGATGGATGGTAATGGCTTACATGTGTTACCTCATGTACGTGACCGTACGCACCGCGCCACAGATCTGGAATCCGTATGACATCCTTGAAGTCGGAATGTCGGCTTCTGAGAAAGAGATCAAGTCTCGTTACAGGAAGTTGTCGACAACGATGCATCCGGACAAGCGTCAGCCAAACGAGGCGCTCAATGAGACTGCAGAGGCCATCAACGATGCGTGGGTGGAAATCGTCAAGGCCTACAAGGCATTGACGGACGAGGACGTGCGCAGAAACTTCATCGAATATGGCAATCCCGACGGAAAACAGAGTACAAGTTTCGGCATTGCGCTCCCGCAGTTCCTCATTGCTGGTGGTAGCGGCAAGTACGTCCTGGCGATCTATGGTCTGCTACTTGGAATTGGTCTCCCTTGGCTGGTCGGAAAGTGGTGGTATGGGATGCAAAGTATGACTCGGGAGCGAGTACTGGTCACCACGGCAGGCAACATGTTCAAGGAGTATAACGACCGCATGGACGGCGGAGATGTTGCAGCAGCGGTGGCCAGCGCAGCGGAGTTCAAGGACATCTTGCACGGAACAAAAGCAGACAGCGGTCTAGGCAAGGTAGAGAAAAAGCTATACTCTTCCACGGAGAGCAGTGCCGTCATGTTGGCCAAGGACAGGAAGAAGATTCAGGATCTTGAAGACCCTGTCCGTCGGAAAACACTTGCTTTGCTGTGGGCGTATCTTACCCGGCTCGATCTCGAAGACAAAACACTGGAAGCGGAAAAGTACGAACTCGCACCTACAGCACTTCAACTGGAAGAAGCATTCGTGGCAATCTGTTTGGCATATGGCTTCTCAGCGCCGGTCTTAGCTTCCTACCACTTGAGTCAGAGTTTGATCCAAGCTCTACCACCTACGCCCGTTGGACGTGCGCCTCTCTTACAACTTCCGCACTTTACACCCAGCATCATCCGCAGCATCGAATCATCTGCGAGTAGCAGCAAGGAACACATGACCATTCAATCCTTCATGGCGCTGCCATCGGAGCAGCGTCAAGCCCTTGCCCAAGCGGCTGGYTTGACCAGGGACCGACTGAAAGCAGCCGAAGGCGTCGCTCTTCAACTGCCATACCTCAAGGTGGAACGAGCGTTTTTCAAAGTGCAGGGCGAAAAGTACCTAACACCGTCGTCCCTCGTCCAGTATGTTGTCAAAGCACGCTTTATCCCACCAGGAACACCGGCAGCCAGCATCCCACCAGTGAACGAGAAAGACTTGCTAGACATTGATCCCGCCGAAGGTGACCTGAAGGCACAGAAAGTTGAGCAAGAGCAGCACAATGTTCCGCTTGCACACGCACCGTACTTCGCGCGAGACCGTGCGCCTCGATGGCACATCTTCCTCGCCGACAACCGCCAGGGCAAGATTGCCGTGCCTCCTTTCACTTTCTCTAGTTTCGACAAGAAGCCTTTCGMCAGCGAAGGCAAGCCCACTTTCAATGTCGTGACCCTTAAGATGCAATTTGCTGCGCCGCCACAGGCCGGAGAGTACAAGTTCCAGATGAACCTGGTTTGCGACAGTTATGTCGGATTCGATCACAAGCAGGATGCCGTCATGACCGTGGACGATGCCAGCAAAGCGGTCGAGGTGGGAGATGACGATGACATCTCAGAGCCCGATGAAGGTATGTACAACTCCTGTGACAATTGCAATGATTACTCGGCGGCAGAAGCTTACACATGTACCCAGACTCTATCGCAGGCCAGATGGCAGCTCTCCAAGGCAAGCCCGTTAGCGACGGCACTCAACCAGCTCGCCGCAATGCCAAACTTCGCGAGAAGCTTGACGCCGAGGAGAGCGACTACGAAAGCAACACTGATGAGGATGAAGACGAAGAGAGCGAGACGGACACAGATACCGAYTCCGAGGCGGAGGGAGCTGCCAAGCCAAAGGGCTGGTGGTAGCTAACTGCAAAAGCTGTAATCATGTCAGACACGAACGACTAATAGTCAGATGCTATCCACAAGCAGCGGCTATCGCTGCACTCGATGACTATACCCGGAAGTTCTCCGTAGCACAAAAATATGGGAAGCTGCTTCGATTCTAGCCCAACATGCCTCACAATTCATTTCGCTTGCGAGGAGCGGGTACCACCACGTCTAATCTGCCGCCAATCTTGACCCGAACCGGACCCCACGAAACATCCTCCTTGGTGTGTCCAGAGTCGTAAAGCATCGAGACGCGAGCAATGTCCCCTTCGGACAACTTGGTGCTCTTTAGATCGCCGTTGACTCCACCTCCCATCCAAACGGGCGCGCCAACGCTACCACCTGGACCGCGTCTGAAGAGCACGTACTTTTTGCCAGCTTTATCTATGCTCATCAAGTCGGCGTCGTACATCATGATACTCTCGAAGTCGAATCTGTCGGACTTAACCATGTTGTTCACGATAGCTTGGCTCTCCACGGTGTCCATGTGCTGGGCGTCTCCGCGGATGTACTCGAGGACGGCGGGGAAGAACTTTGAAGCGTATAGTTCGTGGTTGCAACTGTGATTAGATTAGCAAAGGTCAGTATGTCCCAGCCATTATTGGTAGAAGAAGATGGCGCGCGAAGTGGAGTTGAACGTACATTCGAGACATTTTCTCCTTCATTGATAACTCTTCTCCATGGTCATCGTCATCAAACCAGCCTTCTTCATCGATATCAGCTTTCTCGTAAGCTTGTTCGTAACCTTTCAAATTCTTGCATTTGAAATAAATGTATTCATTACGATCTGGCCGCTGATGTTCATGCTGTAAACCCATGACGTGACCTGAGTTGGGGTTAGCAATGGATTTTGGCTGGTCCCTATACAAGCGACATACCCCATTCATGACCCATATCTCGCTCTGCTTCCTCGAATTGACCCCAGCTGTACTGAGGCGCATATGAACAGAATTTCACTAAGAGATGTTAGCCCCCAAAGATCATGCCGAACCAAAATCGTTTAGACATACTGTAATGTCGGTGAGGTATAATCGGCTGGCCTTTCGGAGCATATCTGTAACCAACAGTCGAAGCAGTATAGCACTCTGGACCATGGTTCCATTCATCATTGCCGTCGATCGTCTCATCTGATATCATCAACGCGTCCTTGGCTACACCTAAACCCGAGCAAATACACATGTTCTTGTCGCGACAAGTGGGCTCGACGGTGATTGCGAGGGATGAGACGAGTGTTGCTTGAGACCATGCAGCGATGGATCGATCGACCACGGCCTGGAGGTTCTTCGCCGACCGCTTGTCTTTGAAGCAGTACCGAATTGGCTGCACGACTTTTGGCGAGCTGCATGTCACGGGCCAGGGGTAGTAGTATGGAGAGAGGTAGCTTTGGTCGGCTCCTGGTGCTGGAAGTGTCTTTACTCCGTACCAGCGTTTCAGGAGCTCGTGACCAGGGTGTGCCGTTATTGAGTTGTTCGTGAAGTCTTGGGGGAATTGGAACGAGTCATGTTGATATCGTCTGTGCAATGAACATGACTGTGCGGAGCAGATCAGAGATACCAACAGTAAGGCCACAGCAGAAAGCATCAAGTTGCCGTCGAACTGGGTTGTTTGTGGTAGTGAATGGCTGTTGATGTTGTATCACTCAAGCCTGAGAGGAGATGATGTTGTTAAGAGAATGGCCAATGTAATTGAAAAGTACTGACTGATATAGAGAGAGAAGTGGATACCACCCAGAGTCTTAAAACGTGAACGCTTGTGCGATATGCTCGCCACATGAACGATGAAGTGAAGCCGTGAGGGAGACTGGCATTCTCACTATAGCAACAGCAAGTGACTCAAAGAAAAAGCAGGCATGTGCCCCTGAAATACTCCAAGTCAAGCGGGATGAATGCAAATCGCACGAGATTGATATCAAGTAGTCGGTGCGTGGCAGCAACCGCTGGAAATCACGAAGCAYGTGTCGACACAATTCCCATGGTATCTTGAAATGTACTGGTGATGTACGAGCGAAGGTCCGAACGATGTAGCACGGTATCCCGTCAAATGGCACATGGAGGATGGTGGGGACATTGAAGTACCGATAGGATCATCGTGTGATAAGTAGGCCAGGTAGCGTCGAACACTTGTCGCCAGGACCAGAGATTTTTCATATTTCAGATGAATGAGCATATCTTGTTCGCTGGTTTGCATTCTCGGACATGGTTTGTGCCAGTTCGAAAATGGCCGACGTTAGATGGGAAAAGGGAATGAACACGAGCACTGTAGGGCACCAGCGCTCTGCAGATGTCCAGCTCTTAGACCTCCGTCTGGATCAGCGATWCATTCCCGTCAACGAAGGTGATCAGCATGATGATGTTGATGCTGTCCAAACGCAAAATCATAAATAGAAGCGGAAGAAAGATGTACCGTCGCCTAGCCCACAATAATTCGTGGCGGAGGCTGGTTAGCGTCCAGGGTCTCCAAAGTCTCACCGGGCCTCGTATCCATGCTGTTGCCCAGCTTGATGACAATGATTACGCCCAGCGCTGGTCGCGCTTCTTCGCGTGAGTTGGGAGATATTCAACAACGACTCTTACCGTCGCCGACTTGATTGAGCTCGATCCGTCCCAGCGAATTCCCGCCCGCTTTCCGAAGACCTGTCGAAACCTCGCTTTGTGGGGGTACCATAGACCACGGAAGACGACAGCATATGCCCCATCTACCGTGAAGCTGCTGCAGTGAAAGAGGACAGGAAAGAGAAGGGTTGCGAATCAGCGGAAACCAATTAGGTGGAGGCGTGAACTTCCGCGACACTGGACGCGCTTCGACGGCTCCGGGTGCCTGGCCGCCCGAGAGCGCAAGTCTATGAACCAGCCGGCCCTTCAACCGCTRCCGATACGAGACATGATCATGTTGCGTGGTATTGGAAGGTCGGCGCCTCGATATCGTGGTTCGCGATACTTGGAGGGTAACTACATGAGAGCTGTCATGAACAATTCCAAAAGCTGATGCAGGCCCCAGCTTCCTAATGCTGCCGGCGACATTTGAAAATGTCGATGAACTTCGAGTCGCAAAGGCCGTTGTCGTCATATTCGCAATCGCTCTACTTGCAGCAGGCTTCTCCTTCACCGGACTGATTTGCTTCGCTGTGAAAAACCGGGAATTCCAGACCGAGTCTATATTCTTCCCAGCATTGGTGTCCTGTATTATCGGTCTCCTGACAATCCTATATGATTTTCTCGTCTTCACGCGGTATCATTGGAATACCGCAGCTTTGATCACTACCGTTGTAGCAGCTGTTGGCAGTATTGTATACGGCTCGCTCCTCTTCTTGACGCAGCGCAAGATTGGAGGCAGGAGAGGCAGCACAGCCCGGAAGAGCTCACCGCAGCGAGGGGGCACGTCCATTAGCCTGGTCCCCCTGAACCACAAAGATAGCGAAACCACCCTGGATCCCAACTATTACAACAACTACAACCGAAACATGTTTCCGGCAGCGCATACACCATCACCACACTCAGCTCAAAGCGGTGGCTACGATCCTCACTCCGTCACCGAGGAGGAGATGCAACGACAGCAAATGTTGATGCTCCTCCTCCAAAATCAGCCGCCAGCAGCATCTCCCAATCCAACGCAGAGCAGCAGCACCTTTCATATTGACTGGCAAGGTCGAGAGGATGAGGAACCGCCATCACAGGGGTATTATGGCCCACAGCGGTCTGCGTTTCCCCAGACTGCCTACCCAGGTCCAGGTGGCGAGGCACGTCCCTGGGATGGTATCTTCAGGGCACCTCCTAGAGTATCAATGTCAACCCATGAACGTCCGAGGAGTCAGGAACACCGAGATGCCAGGCGTCAGGAAATTGAGAGGGGATAGAGACTTCCAGACAGATTTCCGACTCYGCATTGTACTTTATTTATCATGGATATCCACGCTGTCAGCTGAACGTCTAGTCACGATATGAACTGCATGGATATACACGATATTCAACTTTTGTAATTCATTGTAACATACCATCCAGAAGATCATGGCAATTCCGCTCACATTCCCTCGTTAGCCAAGCGATGCACGACTGGCACCGAGCTCGGTGGCACACTGCCATATTCGCAAATGACCATGCGAATGTATTCCGCTGGCGTGACATCGTACATCAGATTCAATATCTGCAGATTGGGGATATCCTTCCAATCGTGCAAAGTCTTGACATTCGGCTCGACGTCTTCCTCAACTTTCTTGCCTCCCTTTGCGCCAGGCTCTTCAATCGCTGGTTGTGGTTCCTTCTTGCCTTCTCCCAGGAGGAGCTCCTCAGAGGGTGCAACTTCGTTGAGCACGATGCTGTCGAGCGCCACTTTCCCGCTGAACTTGACGGACTCGCAGCATACTATGACTGGGACATCGGCCTTGCTCGCAGCCATGGCGACGGATGCTGTTCCAATGCGCGACATCAATCGGCCGTTGGACAGCATAGAATGTGCGCCGAGGAAGACGAGGGAGGCATCTTGGACCGCGTGCGCGACTCCCGAGAACGGAACGTACTCGACTTGTAGACCTGCTTTCATAAGACTCGCGGCAAGGTTCTTGCCCTCGAACAGTGGCCTCGAATCCACCACCAAGACTCGAAATTGTGTCCCGCTCGCGTGGGCTTGCAGAATGGTCTTCTCCACAATCGCGCTCTTTGCATAGGTCAGCACAACGCTGCCGTTTTTGATCATCGCAGATGCGGAGACAGCAATAGCCTGGTCTGTGACGATGATGCGCTCCTGGACGAACTTGTCGATGTGATCACAGAGGTAGTCCTTGGCTTCCTGCTCACCAGTGCTCGGATCAATCTCCACGATGAGCTTCTTCAGCCAGCGGATAGCGTTACCCATGGACTCGGAGATCGGGCGACATGATTTGAGGAAGTCGATCTGAGGGGAGAGAAWGTAGGGGTTCATGTGTCGCGCCAGGGATGTTCCGGCTGGAGTGGTGTATGACTGAATGGCTTCCTTGAATGCCTGCAACATGGCCACGCAGCGGGCACTACTGCCGCAGATCTCGTAACTGGAGAGCTGAAATCCCAGAGCGAGGACAGCAGGATGAACGTCTTTGGAAACGCCGTCGATGTTGTGGCGACGTGACTGCGAGTAAAGGTGGCTGAACAGCTCGACCTGCTTGTTCTCCTGTTTCTTGACAGGCGCCAATTTGGGATCTACCGCTGCTGCATGAGTCGACTGCGATGCTCGCCGCCCGCGAACCGGCATTGTGGTAGACTGTCCCGCCCTGCTCGCATCCACTTGTCTCGCACCGCTCTTTTGCGGCGCCTTGTCCGTAGGCGCCTTGGGCGCGCGGCTGGCCTCGCCGCTCGTACTTGCTGCCGAAACCTCAACTGTTGACGGCCCGCCCTTTTGTTCGACTGCCGCTGCTCTCCGCGCCKCCTTCTCCGCGGCTTTTCTCTTCTTCAATTCCGCTCCACTGAGTTTCTCCTCGCCCGCTGCGGACGCTGCTTCTTTTGGTGGCTCCGACATGGCAACACCAACGGTCCTTTCACTTCGGGAAATCCTTGGTAACTTTGTGCTTCTTCGGGGATTCCGCGCGGGAATCGTCTGTTTCAGCGGACTCGGGATCGAGAAGTCTGTGTTGCGCAGATTCGTGTGGCTGCGCTTGAGGGCTTCATGTTTCTTTACAGACCAAAAGCCATTTTGGCACTCTTGATAAATTGAGAATGCTGGAGCGCAAGGCCAATCATGTCTTGTGGAAGATTCAATCGAGAGATGATGTGAAAGGTAAAGTGAATGCTCAAGTGGGGGTTCGACGCGTCGATCATCAAAAAGTTGAAGAAGTCGGAGCCGTACGAGTAATGCTTATGCTTATGACTCTATTTTTTTTAATTGAGACGAAGGATGACAGCACGTCAGAAGGTAAGCACGGCAGACTGCTATTTGGAAGCAATGAAAGGTGCAAGTAGTTTATGATGTGCACTAATATAAGAGTGCTGAAATGCTTTCAAAATTGTTCAACACTCGCTTCAACGCAGAGCCCCTCGATAGCATGACGATGCCACGCCATGCCATCATCCAATGCCAACGCCCACGCAAATTGATCCCCATTTTATGACTCGTAGATGGCATGCCAGAACATCTAGATCGCGCAACTCCGGCAAGCAGCAAATAATGTGAACTTTCATCAACTCCTGCCCACGGGTATCCATCCATTTCTTCCTAAATCCATACTCCTGTTCACTCTCCCTCCCGGCGTGAGAGGCACATTCACTCGACCAGCTCGACTGGACTCATCTTCACTGCTGTCACCATCATCATCGTATTCGTTGCCAAGCCGAGCAAAGTAATCAGCCATGCCGCTTGTCGGGCTTGCAATGCTCTCATACTCTGGCGGTGGCGTGATGAGTGGAGGTGGAGGCTCCTGTTCGGACCATGGCGGCGGGTTGAAACTCGGCGCCCTCAACAAGTGAATTGGCCTTTCGCGCTCCTGCGGTTGCACTCCACGGTTGATGTGGTTGGCGGCATGGATCGTGGGCGGGCGAGCTATGCCGGGAGAAGGAACGGCAGGCGTCGAGGTCCCACTGCTAGCTACGGATGAAGATGTCGTGCCAAAGGATGAAAGAGTGGGTACGAATCCTGGAGGCGAGTTCCGTCGAAGGGCGGCACCAGGACAGCCGCATTCGTAAAGACTGGCGCCCTGCGGTGTCGCTTCTGGCGAAGTGTACGCCGGTAGCGAGATGTTGGCCTGTGTTGCGCGGCAGGAAAGGATGTGGAATGGCGAGTCGATGGAAATTTCAAAGTGGCGGCGCTTGGTCGGGTCATTTGCATCAGGTTTCGACAACCGCATTACAATCTTGATCCAGTGATGCACCTGAATATTTTGATAGGTCGTGTCGAAGTGTAGTCGGTGCGAACGCTGCCTTTCCTCCTTCATTGTTTGACAGCTAGGAAGCTGGACATTGAACTCCATTTCGGTTGGGCCAATGTTCTCGTCGCCCGTCAGGTTTCCCAGCAGATTAGAACTGTCGGCCGCAGTGTAAGATTCACCTGCTGCTGCCTGGGCACGTTGATCGTACGGAACACCGCCACCAGAGGTAACTCGCATTGTACTACCGGGAAATGTGCTCTGCGGCGGTTGATCCGCGCGTTTCTCGAATAATTGAACCTTCCTAGTAGGCTCCATGCGATGTACCTTTTTGCCGGCGCAAAAATATTCAATATTCTCGGTGACCAGGACCTTGATTCGATGGCATTGCACCTTTGCAAGCGGCGTAAGCTTGAATGCTATCGGAACCTGTGAGCCCAGGGGAAAGCTCTTTCCAGAAATCACGATGTCGTAGTGCAGCTGGTCTTCCCAATTTCTACTGATAGCAATCGGCTCGACTTGTTCGAGCGAGCTCTCGCCTGGAGCACGAATGAGGGTGACGGTCTTGCTCCCCAGAAGATTCGCTCGAAAGGCTCCTGCTCGTTCAACGGTGGCTTCCAGTTCGTACTTTACAGAACCAAGCTCAACATCAATGCTCTCCGGTAACCTGCTGTCTAGAGCATATTCAAAATTGTATACATAATCTCCAGGCAAGAAAGTTCGGTATCCTTTCGATGCAACTGTGGAACCTGGCGGTACGTCTCCCTTTCCAAAACTGCGAGACTGATTGATCGAGAGAGCCAGCTTTTTCGTCTCCTTTGCGCTCAAGTTGGCGCTGGATCCGTGGTTTGATGATCTGCCCAGAGGGTCGAATCTGCTAGACGTCGGCTCCTGACCGAAAAGTTGCACGTGATCAGCACCGCTGCCCTTCTCAGCGCCTTCAAACTGTGCATTGAAAAATGGCCAGGTGTGTGCCATGATTGTGTCTTTCTCCTCAAACTCAGTCTTTCTCGGCGGAATTCCCTCGGGCCATTTGGTGACCGCCGTCCCCTTGAACTTGAGCGATACAGTTTTGATCTTCGCAGCTTTCTGCACACGTATGTGTAGTGCTCCGCGTAGCATTGCAGTATTTCCCGGCGCGTGGTCAGGATTCTCGAATCCCTGTAGGAAAAGCACGGGCTCTGCCAGATGTATTGCCACACTCACACCATTTCCAGAGACAATGGGCTTCTCATCGTCCAAGTTCAGATTCGGAATAACGCTTGCTTCCACGGGAACGGTGTCATGCCGTGAATTCCCGCTCATCGATGAGTGTTGCGATGCAAGACTTGGGCCCCGTAGATCGCTGTTCAGCCTGGGTCTCTGGAGATGGGCGGCATTGAGTGGCCCGGAAATCATTGAATGCCGGTTGCTCGACCGCATGATGTTTGCTGCCRCCTCTGCTTCTGCCTCCGCACCGCCTTCAGCCGACTGTGATTGAGAACGGGTTGCCGGTGCCCAGGACCTCCTCTTGCTCTGAGTGTCACTCGGTGCCGTCAGCGAAGTATCGGACGGATTGCTGCTCGGTGGAGCTATAACCGAGCGGAGGAATCTCTTTGCGTTTTCCCGTGAGAGCGCCAGCTTGACGCTATATGGCCGCAGTTGCGGCTCCTTGTAGAGGGGAAAGATGAGCTTCTCTGGTGGCTCGGTTCTAGGATCAACAGATTTGATGCAAATCCGTCCTGGACCCACGCGTCGCGGCCTGAAGAGTCTTTGCGATTTGTCGGATTGGTTCTGCTGGCTGGCTGGGTCGTAGTAGAGTAGGCCGTATGTCGACGAACGATATGAAACTGCTGCCATGGCAGGCAACGTTAGCAAAGTATGCGGTGAGAGTAGGCGGAGTGAGAAGAGAGGGAATAAGCACAACGCATAAGGTCGGAGCAGGCGTCGAAGACATGTTTCTGGAACGTGATCTTGGTGCGTGCAATGTGCCAGGTTGCAGACCGCCGAACACTCGCCTCATCATGGACCAAGGTCCGTTGTGAGTTACACGCAGCGTCATGGGCATGGGCGGGTAGGGCCGTGACAGGGAGGTGTTGTGTTACTCACCGTAATAATAATTGCGAGAGGAATGCAATTTGCATCAAAAGAAGCAAACCAGATGCGCGGGAGCCGGGATATCGTGTTTCAGAACCAGATTATAGCAGCGCCCACGCCACACTGTAGTACGTCTGCTTGTTTTCGTCCAAGGCGCGGCAGGCAAAACACATGCAAGTTGGGCATGCGATCCAGGCAGAAAATGAGGCGGAATCGGGTCTCAATTGCTGGGGACCCCCTCCACGAGACGGCGAAACCTCGCCCCGCGCCGACACACACGGCGTCGGTGTATAGACAGCACCTAAGCAGCGATCCAGGCACTCCACAGAGTCCACTCTTCGCTGCAGCTGCAAGCTCTTTTCTGACGCTGCACACAATGTGCTTGGATGTGCGACAGCTCGGCAGACTAGCGTCGATCGTTTCGGGTTTTGGTGATGAAACAACGCCCTGGTAGATATAGGGCTGGAGTAAGGCCCTGTTATAGGCGGTGGGCGGTTTCGTGGGAAATAGGTGGCAGTCTCAGAGCAGGGAAATCAGCAAAATGTGCGCTGTCAGTCAGACTCAGTTAGGCCTGAGAATCAGAAGTGCCCGATTGTCCATCGGCACGCGGAGGCTGTCGTCATCCATAAAGGAACCTGGAAGGCACGGAAGAACCGTGAGTGAGTTAGCGTCTATCCTACCGAGAAACCGGCGATTTTGCTAGCTCTTCCGCCAATGCCGACGCAAATGGAGGCCCAGCACGGCTCATCACATTTGTTTGTGATGATGGGCATGGGCTTGGGCTTGCGTATGTATGCTGGCTGTGCTGGCTCGGCAGAACAGATGCTGGGCTGCACAAAGTACATCAAGGTTGGCAGAAGCTGCCCAGACGAGAGGCTTCCTTGTCGCTAATTACATGTAATGGATCTCGTGACCTGCGGAGAGCTGGCGACTTGGCTGCAGGAGGAACTGGAGAGGCACTGGCACACTGCCATGCCCCCCACTCCACTCCACTGTATCTGGATTCCGTTTGTGCCCAGTGTGGAGATCAGCCGACGATCTGATGAGCACAAGGATACTTCTTCAGCGATGTCGGCCCAAACTGCACACACTCCCGCCGTACGCCGCCAAACTTCGCATCGTCTCCGTCCCAGATGGGAAGCTCAACGGACACCGGCATCTGGAGGCGTCGAGAGGCGTTCCATTTTTCGTCAGCATCGGCGGCAGCCAAGGTACAGCGCAGCATTCTTCTTGGTTTTTTTTTTTCGGCTAGTGGAGGATCTCTGGTCAAGCTTTTTGATCCCACATTCGCGTGCCAATCAAGAAGCCGGTGTCACATTATTGGTCTGCAGCCGTCAACGTCAGCTCGCAAGGAATATGCACTACCCAACTCCACTATTGTTGGCTGCAGTTTTCACCTCGACTACCTACATTGCCATCATCAAGCGTGGTGACTGCTCCGCGTCGTCCCGCTCATCGTCGATGAAGCCATTGCCCGCTTCAACGATGGTGTTTCTGATGGCGGTTCAGGTTTCACAATGGCGCGATTAAGGTTTCGGTTTGAGAACATCTCCCATGGAACATTCATCGAAATCACATGCGATCTTCCAAACGTCTTAAAGTGGACGTCACTGGTGGTTAGACTTTACTGTGCAGAAACATGTGTCAATTGATTGATGACTGACACACAAATCCCAATCTCCCAGCGCAGTGTAGCAAGCGGAGATGAGATCCTGATTTTGCTTCGCTTGGCTTTTGAAAATATGAGGCACGGGCGCGACACTGGGCCTTCGAGGGCTCTTGCTGATTAGTGCTGACGGACAATGCGGCTGTTTCTTCTGAATGTTGTTTGATACGAAGCGAGCAATCAGGGATGTGTGTCCGGGACGACAATACAGGCCAGCGATCGCGAAGACTACCAATTCGGTTGGCCTACCTGGGCGGCAWTAGAAAGGCAGTGCAGGGGTCTCCACATTCAGAAACATCATTGGCAGTGGTCCCTTGTCTCGAGTTCCGAAGTCGAAACTGATCAACGAACAAATCTATGCGAATAGAAATGCAGGGAGCCACATGGCGCATTCGACACTGTACGACACGTGCCTGGCTTTTGATTTCATGTTGCAGGTTTGCTTCGGGAACAGGTGGTTGTGGATACCTGTCATTCAGATGCCTGTCATGTTCAGACACAGCACGGCTGAGAGCTGTTTGTAACGTGGCATGTCGAGTCAGTGGAAACCAGCGGTCCTGAACCCGGCCTTGACAGGAGAGCTAGCCGCAAGATCCGCAGTGTTCGCTACGCTTCTCTGGTAAGACATGATTGATCATCCAGCGAAATGAACAGCTCCATATCGTGATCAAGAAGCTAGCTTGGCATAGTTGTCTCTCGCAGCGCCAGCTCAGCTCGTCTTCTACGACCATCGAAGATTGCTCATGGAATGGCGGCAAACTGACCGAGCCCGGAACTCGATTTTGCAGCATGTAACCTAACTTGTAGGCGTCTAGATTGATTGCGAAATAAACTCGCTGCCTCTATCCACCAAGAGCTCGCGCGTTGGGGTCGCGGTCTTTTGGGTGTGGATCCCTTCGAATGTGATCAAGGATATACCATGGGTATAAAATGTGGTTGCCCACGCACCGCAATGAGATCGGATTAGATTCCAGATAACAAGATTCGAGCGAGATGTGGCCTGGTCAAGACGGTCGAGAAGGTCTACTCTGGCGTAGTGCCAGATCGGCGCGTTGTTCCTCAGACTGCGTCTTCGACATGTCTGAAGCTTTGCTGTCGTTCRGCCTGCATTCAACTTCTTCGATGCTGGGCTGATCGGCTTTGGCGACTTCGCGTTCCATGTTCATCAATTTTTCCAGCACGTCAGGTTCGTCCTCTGATTCATGGTTAGGAGTATCGCTCGTCTCATCTTGTTTATTCGCCTTTCTGTGCAGCAAATCCGCGAGATCTTCTGGTTTCTTCTGCTCGAGCACGCCAAGTCCCAAACTCATCTCAATATGCTCCTCATCATCGTCTACCTCTTCCATGTTCAGTCCTGTTCCTCTTTCTGCCAATTTGCTATTCGCTTGCTGCAACTGCGGAAGGAAGGCTTTTAGTCGAGAGGCTAGGTCACTGGCGCCAGCAAGCACGCCGGCATCCATTGCCGGCTTCTTTGGTCCGCCCAATGTGACCACTGGGTCTAGTACCGTCGATCTCTCATCGTCGTCCTCTGCTTCCTCATCATCCCCCCCAGCAGTCGAACTCGCACTGTCTTCAGAGCTCTCTGTGCTACTGTCAGAGGCGTCCGGATTGCCATGAGACGGTACCGAGCGAACGCTAATTTCTTGCCCATGCATTACGGTGTCCGGAATGCTGTTCATTGCAGTGTCTTCAGAGATGGATCTGCGGGATGTTGTGCTGCTGKCGCTTTGAGCTGCAGCTGATGGGGACCTTCGGGCACGTTTTCGCTCGTCGGCTGGGTTTGACTGTTCGTTATCGACTATCGAGCGCTTCACGGCCATATGTTGTCCTTCATGTAAGATGCAGGCGTATCGTCGGACTTGGTGAGTATAGCAATGCTTGTGTTGAAGTCGTGTAGAGATCATTGCAACATTCTCAAGCCACCCTGGAGATCTTTTAAGCGCAAAAGCTTATTATTCATCTTGACAGCAAGCGAGTCAAAACACAGCTTTGAATTGATCTTTACATTAACATCAAGATTATCAACATCCTATCTCTTACATGCAGTACCGTGAGAATTCGTCTTGCTGGCGTGCATAAACCCTCCCGATCCGCTCTCTCCGCCCCCGAACGACAACGAGGAGCCTTGTTGAAGAAGATTCGATCCTAAATGCATCGGGACGCTGCAGATGCATTCTTCTGATTTACAATCAAGCATGTGTGACCGCCATTAGCGAWGCCTAATCATAGTCGGATAAGGCATCGATCGCACCGGGTCTACCTGATGCCCAAGCATTGACATCGTGGCCTTTTCCTTGAGATACAAAGCTCTTGCCCAACGCTGGCGAAACCAGGATGGGTCAATAATTTCAACCCGTTCAGTGATTCTCCAACACTTCGACGAGCCCCTCATTTTAACGAGATACGCAGTGCCAATGCATGAATGGTAAATGCCGAAATGGTGCTTCCGAGACGATTCGAGGAGGGCTCTGAGGGTCTAAGTGGATAGCTATCGCTCAGCTGTCCATGTGCTCGTTGGTCCACAGGATTAGTGGATCTATACTGGAATTACCCGCATAGTGCGTATTGTAACTGCTCTTGAAGCTGTCTCGAATATTGGCGACATTCTTGCGCACATTCTGGCTTTTGGGAGGCTCGCTCTTCCCTTTCTGGTACAGAGGCTATGAGTCGTCAGAGGATGCTTCGAGGCTCAACGGTCGTGATTTTTCGTAATGCTTACCGCAAGTGCTTCCCAGCACTCAGACGCCTTCAGGCTGAGAGGACAAAGATTCAGCAGTACGTCTTTGGCGCGGCGCCCTGCTGGAATAGCCTCCCGCAACAACACGGCATCCGAGCTCCCGAGTTCGACTGTGAGCAGAACCAGGAGGGTGTTAACCAGAACATCGACCGTCTGGAAATAGGCCTCAATTAGCTGATAGCGACGCTGGAGTTCTTCAGCGACATGGACAGCCCAGAGCGCTGACCTGAAACACCGAATCCCAAAAAGATAGGCCTCGGAGGTCCGCTCGGTGTTCGGATTGACAAGGTGATGTACTAATGGTGTGTACAACAGCAGTTGGGCATGGCAATGGGCATAGTAGAGCAGCAGCTGCGTCCTGGTGCACGCAGAAAGTTGCGGCATAGGCGTTCGGCCTACATCTTCAACGGACAAAGCCAGCACGTCCACGTCCAGCTGTTGTGCGATAAAAGCACAATTGTGACCCCAGGTACTCAACTCCTCGCTGGACTCACGCAGCGACCTTGTGGAAACTAGGCGTGACTGCGTGGTAGAGGCTGCTTTGGACTCACGATTGCGATAGACACGGTCGATACAATTGCTCAGTACGCCAGTGAGCTGGTGATGTGCCGCGGTCGCCAGCGTCATCTCGTCGATGCCGGGGGAAATGGATCCGAAGCTTTCACTCTGCGGCTCTGCACCCGACACAATGCTGGGGAGACCAAGTGCACTCGATGAATTAACGTCCATCGCCTGGACAGCGAACCAGACCCTTCGCCGCAGCGCTTGTTCTTCCTCTGGGAAGCCCAAAATTTGCTCGTGCAAGCCCATTCGGAGTGCCGCACTGGCTGCTGAGGATACATACGCGTGATACCTGGTCTGAGACGAGGTGGCAGTGAGATAGAGCGCCATACATAGCACCGTTTGAAGTGCGGGAACACTCCTCTCGCAACTGGCGAGCGGCACTGCATCTCGTGCTGCTGCKAAGAATTTGAGCCTGCGCCTCCGTCAACTCACACCTGCGTTGTCGTTATTGGTAGGCTCTACTCACCCTTGAAGCCGGCGTTCGTTGGGCTCATTATTGCTAATTTCGAATCGCTGCCCTAGCGCTAATACAGCATAGAGCAGCCCAAGATCGTCTTTGTCGCCCTCTTCGTGGCCGAACCCGGGATTCCACATACGTGGAAGTATACTTTGGACATGTTCTTTGTCAATGAAGTGCCAAAGGGGAAGCGCCTCGGAGAAAGCCAACTCAATCCACATGAACATGACCTCAGCTGCTGGTAGGGGTGGCATGCCAGAACTGCCAACCGGGTAATCATCGAGCGGAAATGGAGCATCCAAAGCCTGTACGAGCTTCATCGCGGAGTCCTGGCGATGAGACCCACCAGGTCGCGGGAGATCGTAACAAAAGATACACAACTGCCGTAGAACATCGATTCCAAAGGATTTCGCGCGTGGCTCACGAGCTATTATCTCGACATAAAAGGTTGCAGGCTCTGGCTGCTGGCTCTCCGAAGAAGGGGTGTCTTGCGAGTTCGATAACGAACGCTCATCAGAGATTGCGGCAATGCCCTCGTCCGAAGTTGGCCATGCTGGAGAAGCAGAGGACCCACTCGCGGAACTGTGCTTGCTGCTCGGTATGTGGGTTGCGGGAATTCTTCTACTCTGGAGTTGAAGCTCCTCAACTGTCCTGCCTCTTGTGAGCCAATAATACACATAGACAAAAATGTCAGAGGTGGTATACCTCTCCAGGTGAGCCACGTAGCCTGGGCCACGGGCTTGCTTGGCTGTAGAATGTCCATATGAGCATGACAAGCTTGTWGAGAGAGCGTCAACGCAACGAACAAAGCTTTGGACGACTCAAACATACCCAATAGACCTGCAGGCTGAGCAATGGGTCGAGCCGTCGCATCTCGCCTTTCTCCTCCGACAAGAATCGCACTGACATATGTGTTAGAGTCGCGCAACAGGAGAGGCAATCAATCTTACCGCCCTGGTGACCCTCTTGCGTGCCAGTCGCGGGTCGGCGTCGACCATTATCGCGCTGGTCGATGAGTCCATATCGTGCTTTGGAAGGCTATGCCTCCTCCCCTTCTCGTTCCGCAAGTCGTGCTCTCAATACATCAAGGCCCCGCGAATCCTGGTCTACTTCAAAAAGATGAAGCGAAAGGTCGCCAGGTCGCGCCGTGTATCCATTAAAGCGAGAGCTACAGCCAGACTACGAACGCCACCGTTGAATTACCAAGCAACGCACAAGGAAAAGAAGCCGAACGCTCAAACCCAATCCTTGGTAGCATATGAACTCGCAACCAAAGAGCCTTGCGAGGACACCACTCCGCAACATCCGACCCGACTTGCACATCGGAGAGCCACGCGACTGAATCTATCGCAGAGCAATGCCCGGGCCAGTCATGTTTCTTTCCGAGCGTTTACTGAGTCAAAACGTTGCATGCTGTTCCGCAGAGTTCAGCATCTCCGTGTTGAACAGTGATTTGTGAAGACGATCCTCACGGAGTTACTCTCCGCCACCGGGCATGATGGTGTGCTTGGATTGGTTGCAGCCCGAACAGAATGCAGTATTCGCCACCGGCGATAAGCCTTTCAAAAGACCGATGCAAGCCTCCATATTTTATGACGTTCTTCCAATTCGGAACATGGCTCGCAATAGAACGATTCTTTTGTCGTGTCAGTGAAGTGGGAGGTATGAGCTTCTTGAAGAGATGATAAATCACCACTTGATCTATCACTTTGCGGTCTCGCGGTCGTCTGGACTTTGGCTCAGAGTCCTACCTATAATACCTTGCCATCAATGATGTTCAACAAAAGCTTCTGACTGACGATCGACTAGCATGAACCCTATGGCGGACCGGAGTCCGAGGAGTTCCAATATCCTCACTGGATGCTGGTGAATTTGAAATCATTGGCGGTACCTAATGTCGCAAGTTCGTCGGGACCGAAGGAGGTGCGAGTTCGGTTCCTAAATTGCTAGAGTGCGAAACGGGGAAGATGGCAACTGTCACGTTTATACATCAACGGGTCTGGGTGGCAGATAGGTCGGCATCGACACAGCCTCTGTCTTTCCTCGGCTTCTAATGTCTAATCAACAATCGCCTTTTGCTAAGCACCTCCTTGGTCCTTGATGATGCCCCTGTTCAACGAAACTTGCTCCAGAATCTTGTCAGCTCCTTGTGCGACTAGCAGCTTCGCAGCATCGAAGCCCATTTCATTGGCTTGCGCGTGGGTTGTAACGATACGCCGTGTCTCAATCTCGGCCGCTTCCTGGCCGTCCAGACTGACAACAATAGCACGCATCACCAGCTCGTCCGTGAGTTCCACCTCCTCAGCTTTGCTTGCGCTCTCTGTTGCAGTGCCTGAGAGATGATGGTAGTCCTCCGCAGGCTTGACGCCAACACCGGCATCGCTTTTCTTCGGAACCCATTCTGTCTCCACACCGATTGGTACTGAGCATCCACCTTCTAATGTGCGCATAAGCTGGCGCTCTGCCAAAGCCTGGCGCGTGGAGCGATCACATCCAATCTTGGAAAGTAGCTCGATAGTCCGCTTGTCGTCTTTGCGCGTCTCAATACCCAGGGCACCCTGGCCTACAGCATGCAACATTCCACCATTTGCTTTGGAGAGATATGAGCTGATGCGCGAGGACAGACCTAGTCGGTCCAAGCCAGCGACAGCAATGCAAATCGCCGAGTAGTCTGAGTTGGGGTCGTCCAACTTGCTCAGACGTGTACCGATGTTGCCTCTCACATCCTGAAACTTAAGCTGGGGATAGTGACGCTTCAGTTGAGCGGTTCGCCGCAGACTCGAAGTGCCCACTACAGCTCCTTCAGGGAGGTCTTTGAGTGACTTGATCTTTCCCACCAGCGTGGGCTTCAGAACCAGCGCGTCTCGCGGGTCTTCTCTCTTCGTCACACAAGTGAGATCCAACTCGACGGGCAATTGCGTAGGCATATCCTTGAGACTGTGCACGATCAAGTCCAGCGATCCATCGTCTAGCAGGACTTCCAACTCTTGTGTCCACAGCGCCTTTTCGTTGAATTTGTGCAGGGCCGTCTTTTGGTTGTTGTCGCCGGTCGTGCTCATGGCGTGAATCTCGAAGTTGTGATGCGGCCATTGTGCTTTCAGCGATTTGACCACCTCATCGGCCTGCACCCGTGCCAGCAACGATCTCCGCGTGCCGACACGGAAGGTCTGCGTATCGGCCGTTTCGTTCGCCGTCTTGACCAGAGTGACCTCGGTCTTGTCTTGTGCTGGAGCGGCCATTGTGAAGTTTGATGTGACGTTGTGCTCGTCAACAATTTCGATGTGGTCTCCCTCGGCWCCCTGTCAACCTGTTTGGAGCAAAACCCCTACCCACCCCACCATCTGTGGCTGATGTCACCGCCCCACTTGCTGTCATCTGTGGCTGCTGTCATGTCGCTGATGAAACAGACAAACAACCTGGAAACAACGTGAAGACCAACTCCGTGTGAGCTCTGCCCACGCTGCTTCACGACAAACGGCAGACTCCAAACGGCAAACGCACTATGCTGAATCAATTAACTCTCGGTTGAATGCTTTGTTATCCTGTTTACGTTCAGCATTGCCCCTTTGCGAACCGCAAACGCAGCCTTTCTTTGTCCTCAACTCAAGAAAACAAGACCTTCACTTACGCATCTCAATCTCACGCAACACAAGAAAAATGGCCAATCTACCGCGGGTTCAGGTCGCTGGCCTACCTGGCATCCAAGCTGAGGAGGGCGCGGCGACGACCTCTCCAGCTCGCGGCGCTGAAATGCTCAACTTCTTGCAAAGCCGCCTGCAGAAGAATCGCGCTCCTCCTCTTGTCCACGGCTGGGACTTTTGGCATGACCGTCAAGACCGCGCCGCCAACCCTGACTCACACGACACCCCACCTGGCACTTACGAAGATCGTCTTGAGCCTCTCGCCCACATCAACGATGTTCGTCAATTCTGGAGCGTCTTCAATAATTTTGATGTTGCCCAACTCAAGCTTCGCGACTCTGTGCATCTCTTCCACAAGGGCGTGAAGCCGGTCTGGGAAGATCCACGGAATGCACGCGGTGGAAGCTGGACGTTTCGTGTACCCAAGAGTCAAGCGGGCGACTTTTGGAAGGAGATTTGCATGATGGCGATTGGTGAGCAGCTGCAGAACGCTGTTGAAGATCCCGCCCGTCAGATTTTCAGAGACGATATTTGTGGTGTTAGTTTGGGTGTGAGGTTCAACAGCATGTTGGTGCAGATCTGGAATCGGGATGGGTGTCACGCGGCTGGGATCGAGCGGATCGCGCAGACGGTGTTGGAGGGTATCAGTGAAGGAATGAAGCCACGGGAAGGAAGCTACTACTACAAGAAGCATGACGAGCACGCTGGCTTCGCGAATGTYAAGGTTGAAGAGCCGAAGCCGGTGCCGAGCCAAGTGGGTGGCAGTCAGCTCCGGGAGGTTCAGTCTATGGACGCGGTGCTGAATGAGTAAACTTGAAATATAAAGGACAGCACCAACACAGAGGCACAGAGATATTCTCTTTGGTGAATATGTCTGGTCAGGAGTGTAAGAATAACACCAGAAACTCTCTCCATAGGTACGGCTGCTGTGCACTGCGCCAACAAGATGCCCGCTGAATATATGGAATGGATGTACAAAAAGGGAGACGATGTGAGATGTCAGAATTTCTCGAAGTCATGGGTATCAAAGTCTCTCCAGTGCCTSGCCTATGTTTGCTATCATACTGAATTCTGGAAACCAACGACTGTAGCATGGTGAATAATACCTACCATCCTGTTTGTTTCGTCTCGTGTAGAATCTCGCACGGACCTGGCTCCGTCGGGCGAAGCTTCGCGTCAAAGTATAGTAGGTGGACGCGCTCGCGACACATCAACACCACAACGATTATTTTGGCCAGCAATGGCGCGCGATGTCGGCTCAAGTACGTTACGATATGTGCATAACATCTCTTCCAGTACTAATCCTTCCTCTCAGACGCCGAATCACCTCTCCATGGTGTTGTGCTCTGCTGCACTGCTCTCGCGCAGGAAGTTCGAGTCAGTAAATCGACTCTCGCCTTACAATTGCACCTCGCTGACGACCTGGACTTGCATCAGACTAACCTCGCCGAGGCCGCGGTACAGATGGGAGCCGTTCATAAGTTGGACCTCACTTCTGACKTTACACATCTCGTTGTGGGCAGCATCGACACTCCCAAGTATCGCTACGTCGCAAAGGACCGCCCCGACATTCGCGCGCTGAGCCCAGGATTCATAGACGCGGTACGGGATGCATGGATGGCAGACGAGGAGGTGGATCTGGAGGCTCTGCAGCGGGAACACACGTTGCCGGCTCTGTTTGGATTGAAACTGTGCGTGACGGGCTTTGAAGACCTGAACGTGAGACGACAGCTGGAGCAGACGATTCGCAGCAACGGTGCAGCATACACAGGCGATCTTGTCAGGCAAGTGACACATTTGATTGCCGCAAAGCCGGAAGGTACCAAATATACATATGCCAAGCAATGGGGCATAAAGGTGGTCGGTGTCAAGTGGCTCGAGGACAGCTTACGCCGTGGCATGGCTCTGGACGAGAGCTACTATCTACCCGAGTGTCCGCTGGAGCAGCAAGGTATCGGTGCCTACCGAATCGAGCCCCGAAGAGCCAACCTGGCAAAGAGAGCTCGGGAGGCTGAGCAGGCTGCCGTGGGCGAGAAGGATGGGCCAAGGAAGATGAGGAGGATTGCGAGCCGACGGCTGGAGGGACAGAGTCAGGACCTGTGGAAGAGCGTTTCGGAGCACGAAGTGCAAGTTGACGCCACCGAGATGGACATCTGGAACGAAGACAGTCAGACGCTGAAGGATGATCCAGTTGCTCCGCAGCGGCCTCACGCTCTCGAGATCGTTGAATCAGCCGAGAACCATCCCCCAAACCGTCCAGAGGGTCTTTTCGCCGGATTCTATGTTCTCATTCATGGATTCGATTCAACGAGAAAGGAGAAGCTTCTGTCCTACCTTCAGCCGAACGGTGCGGTGGTTGTTGAGTCGTCAGAAGCTCTCGAAGCAGCATCCCTCAATGCCTTTTTCAAGGCCTCGATCCTGCTCATGCCGCACGCAACGCCGACGAAATTGCCAGCCATACCGGAGGGAACGATTCTCGTCACCGAATGGTGGATAGAACGGTGCATTCACTTCAAGCGAAGTCTTGACCCACAAGAAGACGCTCTCAGCCAACCGTACACGGATGGCATTGTGCATGCATTCCAAGGCATGACTATTGCAACGACTGGGTTTGACTCCGTGGATCTGCGACAAACGGCTGAAGTCGTGGCGTTGGTAGGAGCAATCTACCAGGAGCAGCTGCAATCATCAACGTCCGTTCTTGTATCCGGGTCCAAGAATGTCAAAAAAGACAAGGCTATGTATGCCTCCAAGCATCGTATACCAGTGGTGACGATGGACTGGCTCTGGAACTCGCTGAAGTCGAAAGAGAAGGTGTCAATCGAGCGATATAGGATCAGCTTGCCTGCGTTTGACTCTTCCGAATACAGTGGTAGCCCTGCTGCTAGTGATCTGTCTCCCAGCAATGCCGTACAGCCTCGAAGACTAGGCGATTCGTTCAGAAGGTACGCATTGGCGGTGCAAGCCCATGTTGATGTACCAACACCCCATACTAACACTCAATTAGAGCAGATGACTTCCAACCCAAGCGACTTTCGAATACCCGCAAGCGACATGCGACTCCACTGTTGGTCATGAAGCCTTCCATAGGAAGTGTGCTTGTGGAGCCAAGCGAGATGTCCAAGCCGTCCAAGCGTCACGAGCCTCAAWCCGGGCCATTTATATTGGAAGACAATGACAGCGAAAACGACGAAGAGATGGAGCCAGCAGCGCAGTTGGAAAACGAGTCTGCTTGGCTGGGCACTGCGAAGGACTCGTCTCAAGGCCGCCCCAAGGGCCTCCGCGAGATATCGCCCAATACCTCGCAGCAAAAAGCTGAGAGAAGCGTAGAGTCGAATCATGTTGAAAAAGATGCAGAAGACATCGTCGCAAACATTACCGAAATTGAGGCTCTCCCAGTGCCACACAGTCCGAACCGCAGTCCACTCAAGCAGGACCGTCTCGCTCCGGCGCAACTAAATCACAACCTCACAAACGAGCTTGCTGAGTTTTTGAAGCGACAGTCTGCTTCGGGTACCACTAATCCCTCGATGCCTCCGAAGCGAAAGTCCAGACCTCTTGGCCGCAACATCAGCAGCATCTCCAATCGCTCCGGATCCGCAGCTGCAGCGCCATCGATGCCGTCAGATGTTTTCGAAGAGAACTCCGCTGCTGATGGATTCGACTATGCCAACCCCATACCAGCACTTCCGCCCAGTACCCAGCTTGGCTACGATACTCCCGAAGCGGAGGCGCACCGAAAGCAGATGAGCGRGAAGATGGGGACAACGATGCTGCAGGATGATGGTGTGGGCAAACGTGTGGCGAGTGTGGGGACCGTCAAGGACAGCAGTTCTCGTTCAGCCGTTGGCGGCAGAGCGAAAGGGAGAACGAGAACGAAGACTTGATGTCGAAGGAATGGAACGTGCTAATACAGATATGCCGATTGACAGCTCACGATTGCTGCAAATGACTAACGATTTATGAGTCTAGAGTCGACGACAGGAGCATCACACATCTCCACCTTAGGAAGAGGAAGGGCGCCAGAAGTGATGGGGAAGAATCCATAGACTACTCATGGCAGCTGTAGTGACATCTATATCTCATGGATGAGGAAACGAGCAGTACTTGATATTATAAAGAAAACATGACACGGTCATTCTCTTAATTGTAGATGTCTTATACTCCTTTCAAACAGGAGGGTGGATCTGCAGTCTACATTGTCCGTGTTGCAAGTGATGCCGAGCTCACACGTCATCGCTTCCCATCATCAGCTCGGATAAATCTAGGAGTCAAGTACCTACAGCTACATCTACAGTACTCCATCGCCGTCGAACATTGCCCCTGCCGCTGATGAGTTTGTTGACCGCTACTAGGCAATTGACCAAACGCCCCCTCGCAACTGCAATCTTTGCTGTAGGCATTGCCTTTCTCATCTTATATTTTCGTGCTGATTCGTTGCCCAAGAAACCATCCGTCTCCGCACGCAAAATGCATATCGAAAGCATTCCCATGTGTAAGGATAATGGGCCATCAAGGTGCTATTGTATACGATGACTAACGCTTCTATATAGGGGAGGGAAGCGGTAACAACTACGCTTGTATGGCTCCTTTCTTCGGCTGCTCACTTGCTCTTTGCTGATTGATATCTTGGCGGCAGACCTCGTCACCGACGACAAGACTAAAGAGGCTGTGATTATTGATCCTGCGAATCCATCCGAGTCAGTTTTTTTCTAAGCTTGAAGTAGTCGAGACGTGAATACTCATTGTTTATTATAGAGTCTTGCCTACGATCAAGAAGGCTGTGGACAGCGGAACGAAGCTGACCAACATCGTCAACACGCACCAGTACGTTGTCCCTGCATCTCTGTTCATTTGCAGTACTGATTTGTCACACAGTCACCATGATCACGCCGGAGGAAACGTCGAGATGGTAAGATACTTTGACCACAAACTCATACTCTCACGCYGATTCATTTCCTCAGCTGAAATCCTACAACGTCCCCATCATTGGTGGCAAAGACTGCACAAACGTCTCGACTGTCCCACCCCATGGCTCATCTTTCAAGATCGGCGCGAACATCAACGTCAAGGCATTTCACACCCCTTGCCACACACAAGACAGCATCTGCTTCCTGTTCGAGGACGGCGATGATCGTGCTGTCTTCACCGGCGACACCTTATTCATTGGCGGTACGTCTCTCAAGCCCCCGAAATCAATCCTCGGACTTACATGCTGAATCTGTCTCCTACAGGTTGTGGACGTTTCTTTGAAGGGTCCGCAGAGGAGATGGACTTCGCTCTCAATAAAGTCCTTGCTACCCTGCCTGAAGACACCAAAGTCTACGTACGTATCTTTTCTTCTTCTTGTCTATGAGATATCTTCTTTCGAAGACATGCGATCATCCACTGACGGAAAATTATCATCGCAGCCGGGCCACGAGTACACAAAGGGCAATGTCAAATTCGGCGTGACGGTCAGCCAGTCGGAGGCTATCAAGAATCTGGAACAGTTCGCGACGTCGAACAAGCAGACTCAGGGCAAATTCACCATTGGAGATGAGAAGAAACATAATGTTTTCATGCGTTTGGACGTAAGTCTGATATGCCCTGAGAGCGTAATCAACTGTGCTAATTGAGGGATTTCAGGACCCGGTTGTTCAGAAGTTTACTGGTCAGACGGACCGCATTGGAGTGATGGCGGCGCTGAGAGAGGCGAAAAACAAGATGTAGTTTCTCCCATGTGCTGCGGGGAGATTGGGTGGACGAGGTGCGTCATGTTAAGGTACCACACTCTGAGATCAGCTAGAGCCGTTCTCGCGGATATTATATGCTAAGACTGTGTACATTGTTCGGTACTCTGCCGTCCTTTCAAGTGCTGTCGTAGCGCTATCAATCAAATGTCCTCCACATTCTCATGACTGATTGTATACTCTCCAGTCTCCGTGTTATTCGTAACATTCGTCTGCGAAATCATACCTCCCTTCAAACTGCCACTCTCCGCGATACCACCCGCAATCGGCCGCGAGAGTCGGTTCGCTCCACTCTTGACAGTGAAGTTGGCGAGCGAGATCTCGAGCGGGTTGCGAGTAATGATGGTGGGCAGTCCAAAGAAAGAAGCATTGACTTCATCGTACGAAAGTTGGAGTTCGAAGTATCCGCGGTAGTAGAGATCATTCCAGTGAAGTTCGGGATTCGCGGCTAAGGTAGTTGCAGTCAGCTAAGGATATGCTCAGTAGTCCAGTTACATGGGAGTTCAGTAAGTTACCTTCGAGAGCATCACTGAAGTTGTTCGCACTTTTGAGTGTGATGTTCTGGCCATAGGGGCAGGGTGAAGAGACGGCCGAGCCGGCGAACTCTACACCTAGACCTCCAGCTCCTGTCTCCGAGGAGTAGTTGGCCTGTTCGTGGTCAGCATATCTATTTGTCCGATATGGTGTTGTTGGAGCTTACATGGTCGAGCCAGACTAGATCAGATACCCAAGAGGCATGACTGTCGCCCTATAGACAGATGGAGGTCAGCAAGATGTTCAACGTGCCCTTTTGCATCCGGGTTCCACGGCTCTCTCGTGGGGCAATCTCCGCGCTCTTCTTCTCAGGAACGATGATTCTTGTTGGAGACCAACATTCATCATTCCTCTGAGATGAGCCAAGACCACCGCCTCGAGAGGGCCCTATCGGTATACCGAAGGATTGCAACCTAGCCTTTCAAATTGACGTACAGCAATGACGATGTTGTTTCCAATGTCGTTCGCCGTCAGGAAATTCAAGGTCCGGTTACGGTTGGCTTGATATCCATCCCAGGCATCGTAATCGAGAGGGTTTGTGTTGCCAAAAGCAACGCTTTCGTTGACCTTGGAGAACACGGTCTGGGAGCCAATGACTCTCCAACGTGCACCACGCGTAGCTGACTCTCCCAGTGTGTTATAGAACCTATTTGATCAGTTTGACGTCGACGGTGATGGATCGATGCACAGCGCTCACCAATTCTCCTGGCGAGGACCCATCAATGACCTACTAGCGTCATTGGAGATCTCGTGAATGTAATCGGTGTTCCAATAAAGGTCAGTAATGCTACGGTCGTACTGTCTGGTATCAAGCATGATCAAGTCGAACAGTGAGCCGATCTTGAATGATCTCCAGATGCGAAGCCCGTCATCCATCTCGACCTGGCGGATGGGCATCCACTCAAAGTACGCTCGCACGGCATTCATCTTGCGTTGGTCCACGGAAACACCGCCATCCATGACAAAAGAAGCTTCGGTATTGTTCAACTCGGCAGCTCCATCACGGTATGTGTTGTCAGACACTTCATGGTCATCCCACACCTGCACTCAACAATGATTAGAGGGGTAGACCTTGCGAATCTCAAAATACTTACCGGGATCCAGGGGTAGGTGGCGTGCGAGAGCAGGAGATCCTGATCAGTACGATAGGTCGCGTGCCTTTGGCGGTAGTCCTGAAGGGTAAAAATGACAGACTCGGGCTTGGGAATACGATCGATACTGGATCCGTCGCCATAATCTCCATCTCCGGCAGATTCGTAGATGTAGTCCCCGAGGTGAACAACGAAATCCACGCTATCTTTACGAGCCGCATTGCCATACGCATTGAAGAAGCCAAATGGGAAGTTGGCACACGAGTAGATGGCCAGCCCAACTTTCGCGACGAGGTCATTCTCAGCGGGAGTCGTCTTTGTTCGTCCGAGAGGGCTGGTCTTATTGCTGTCACAGACGTTGAACCTGAGCATGCTAAATCAGTACCTCGCCGCGTATTTGGTTGGTGGGTGAACCGACTGGTAGTAATAGCGTGTCCACGCAGTCAAGTTCTTCGCCTCGACCTTTACGGTGTAGTCAATATCACTGGAAGTGTAGGCCTTGCCACAGCTTTCAACATCCTTGAAGTCTGCTGTCTTTGCYACTTTGTATTCGACACAAACCGGAGCGGTGCTGACTTGCAATGGTCCGTGGCCGTAGAGAGGCGCATAACCAGTGACGGTTGAATTGCTGGCCACATTGTCAAACATGGGAGATGCCCTCGTCCAGAGGATGACGGAATTTGGGTGCGGATCTCCCGAGGCCACTCCATGGGTGAAGTTGAGCTGCTCAGCGGTGAAATGCTTCTCTGGTCTACCAAAGTCAGCGTGTTGCAGGTAGCATGTCGTGCTTCAACTTACGTGTTTCTCTTGTTGACCTTGTGAAGTGATATCCCAAGACCAGGGTGGTGCTCCGAAGGCGAGCGGTAGTTCAAGTTGTTGGTCCATTTTGACTGTACAAGGACTGAACAGGACAGCAAAGCGGAAAGCAGAGTGGTCTTCATTGTCGATGGCGTGACACTCTCACGAACAGGACACGCTCACAATGAGGGCAGGCTCGAGTTTCATAGGTATTTACACCTCTCGCACAGACACACGACACGTTCTTGCCGCAAACCTTTTTCCGCCATGTAACCCACCCATGCCCGGAGCTTCGTGCTTCCTTTGACACGATGACATAACATAGGTAGGCGTCTGATAGCAGTGGCTTCCCAATACCACGCTGTGCCACGCGGCACAAGCATCTCCATGGCGAATCAGAAAGTCTTGATTAGACATGCCTCGCCTGCTTCGACAGCGCTTGTGGAAGTCTTGTCTGCTRGTGAGTGCCTTGGGTGGGTTTGAGATGTCAAGTGGGGTTGTCCCTGGAGACACGTGCAAAGCCCGAATGGCATGTGTGGTTCTGCCTCTCAAGGCATGCTATGCTAGCACCAAAATAGGAAGAAGATAAGATGTTTCGTAGTCAAACATCGTTTCCCTCATCCAACATCCATCCTTTCTGATATCCCCGGTCCCTACCTACCTAGGTAATTAGACCGACCGATCCCCAGCTGCTGAATGAATTCTGAATCAAATGCGGGAGCTCGAATGTCTTACCCAATGGCCCGATGGGTTGCATCAACATGATGGGAACAGCTACTGTGGTCTGCCAAATCTAGCTAGAATGATTAGGAATTACGATATTTATCTCCGTCGGCTTTCAACGCCTAAAACACCTGTACCTTTCCCGTGCAAGGACTCCCCTACTCTATCAGCAAGCCCTTTCAGTCCCGAGTTCGCCTTCCGTCTGCGAGTGCTCTGTCTTGACTTCGCTCGGACTTCCTCGGCAGACTCTTCGACAAGCACGCTTATGCCACCACTCTTAGGGTCGTCGAGGATCTGCTGCCTTGAAGCTGCGGCCTGGTTGGAAGCCTTATTTGACTGAGACTCTGCGACTGTCCTCGCGTTCTGCGCTAACATAGACGCATTTGATGCGTCGTCGGCATAAAGCTTCTCACCAGCTGCGTTTTCGCTGACCTCCCCAGCTATGGACCCTGAGGTGGCATCCGCGTCCAACTTCTTCTGTGCGGCTACTCTAGCCCTTTCGTAGCGAGCGCTCACATCTCCCCCGGTCCATTTAGTGCCCAGTAGACTGTCCCAAAAAGTAAAGAATGGCTGAGAAAAGTTCGTCTTGATTCCCCAGCTCTGATGGTRCACATCATGGTATCCAGCATTGTTGCTTGTCAAGTGCTGCAGCGGGTCCCATGGGAATGCATATCCACAGTGATCATCAACGGTCTTAATGGTGGACATGGTGAAGAACCACATGCTTTGTCGGACGGTCATGCCGGTTACCAGATATGCGATGCCAGTCCCTAGAGTATCCAAAGCAAAGCCCTCAACTGGATGGTTGTAAAGCGCGCCGTATGCATATGGAACATACAGTCGATGATGGCGACTGTGGAAGGTTGTATACAGAAACTTGTTCATGTGCATGGCTCGGTGAAGAAAATACTGCCATGTGTCGACCACCAATGTGGCCAGGAAGAATTGCAAGCCAGGGACCAGGAAGTAGTATATCGTCTTTGCGATCAAAATCTCCCAGTTGGCAAACGCGGGTACAGAAGTTGGCTCTCCCAAGACCATGACCGTCTGTGTGAGATTTGGATAGACTCCTCCAGACAAGGCTCCGGCCAGCATAGCATGGGATGCACTCAAATTGCTTGCAACGGACTTGACATCCAGGCCAAGGGTGACCAGCGCAACAGGTAGAGCCCTCTGTGCGATTCGAACATTCTGAGCCCACCATGCCACGTCATAGTCCTCCTTTCCATACTCCGGCACCGGGTCGATTAATGCAAGGACCAGACCAAACATCGTCTGAATAACCTGCTGGATGATCACATCCCGGAACACATCCCATCTGCTGACGTGATTCCTCTTGAGCACCTCGGCGGGTGTGTGCAGACGATACTGCGGGAACAGATCCCACTCATCGACCAAGTGGAACAGCATTGATACTGCCCAGTATGCGATCACCGGCAATACGAGGGTGGTGTAGGCATCGGGAATGCCGGGGACAAGGGGCGGGAGCGGCTTCATGGTATAGTCTGGAAGCGGCGGCAAGTCGGACATGGCGGTCGTGTTGGCCATGGCGACGTTGTTGTGTCTTGCTGTATATTATGCTGTGGTATGCACTCTGATGGCGCCGAAAGGCGCGGGGCTGGTTCGAAAGCTCAGCTCTGCCGCAATAGCGCAAAGGAACAACAATGAAGTGCACGCGACCAGGAGAGATTTGCAGTAGAGGAAGGAGCGGGTCGGTCGGTCGTTTTGGGGTGTACAGATCGATTGAAAAGAGCAGGCGAAAGGCAAGATGCTGGTGTGCTGGTAATTTGTTTGAAGGAGCGTCTGAGGGTGAGATGAATTATGCGAAGAGGAAACAGAGATGATGCGAATCGGGAACGATGAAAGCGCGAAGTCCGTCTCACTTTCAAGGTGGCGACCGCGGTGGGGCGGATCCAATCTATCGGACCGGGCCGATCGGATACCGGATCCTGTGAGTGCAACGTGCGTGCAGCTGGAGGTGAGCGTGAACGTCCTCATCATCATCGAACTTCGACTTCAACTTACACGCCCCCGCCACGGCACCATATTTCGAAACCCATCATGTCAGACTCCTGTTCCACCTGCGCTCTTCCCTTTGGTAGCCCAGATGCATCCATGAGCGAGAAACCTCTGTTGCCAGGTCGATATCTACAGTGCTGTGGGAGGCAAATCTGCTCCCGGTGTTTAAATTCGAACAAAAGATACGAAAGCTATTGTCCACACTGTCAGATTACAAATGCCCCGTCTTTACTGCCCCAAGGATTAAAAGAACCTCCTGCGTACTCCACTTTGGACGATTGCCGGTCTTCCAGCACGGTCGTAGAAGATGATGATTTGCCAGCATACTCGGCACATCAAGCTGTACAACCCACGCAGGAGAAATCAAGTGATACACTTCACTTTCTAAGACCAAGCGATACTATAACATCGTTATCACTTGCCTATGGCGTGCCGATCAACATTCTTCGGAAAGCGAACAACGTCTTTTCTGATCATCTCATTCAAGGGCGGAAAACAATATTGATTCCTGGAGAATATTACCAAGGAGGTGTATCGCTCTCACCGCAACCCCTAGAAGGCGAAGAGGAAGAGGCAAAGAAGAACAAGCTGCGGCGGTGGATGGTGGCGTGCAAGGTCTCAGAGTGAGTCCTACAATCAGCGAAGCCTTTTCGATGCTGATGATCGCTGACCAGCTTACCCCCTTCCGTTAGATATGATGTAGCTACCCTTTATCTCCAGCAGAACGATTGGAGCCTACAGGCGGCAATCGATGCGTACAAAGATGACGAGCAGTGGGAGAAAGATCATCCTCTGGAAGCCAAGTCAAAGGGCAAGGGTAAGAGTGCAAGGAGTGCTGGACTCCGACGATTCGTAGGTTCGTAGGATCCTGAGCATAAAGGCTGGTTCCTGCTTCCCGATCTGCTTCAGCGGGTTCTACGTTGACTCGATTACGAATTGAATGTTTCTCRTCTTCTAAACCACTCATCTCCACCTTTACCAGCGCCAGTAATACTGGTTGATATGTCATTGATCCTGATAGTGTTGAAATCGAAGGTTTGAATTATGCATCTCGTTTATGCAAGGACTTTCCCCGGCTAAAATTGCCTGCCTGAACCCTGCTCACAAACCATCGACCACTCTCCAAATCTGGCCGACTGTGAACGCACACAACCCCCTCAATCCAAGATGTTATCAAGGCGGATGGTATGTATCTACAACCAGCACAATGATGCTCATTTGGCTAATTTGGAAAGCTCTCCCGAGAGGAGGAAGCCACGATCGGCGAAGAAAAGGAAGTCCGACGTGAAGACCAAGAAAAGATCAATCGCTTCTCCAGACTTCACTCGCGCGAGAAGGGATTAGAGGAGGATCTCAAGGTCAAACAAGTACGTGGCCTACCCAAAAAAATCACCAATAGTGAACATGTATTGACATACTACAGAAAGACAAGGAGGATCTAGAGGAAATCAGCGGCGAGCTCGAACTCGCAGATGAAGACGACAAAGTCCCGTACAAATTATCCATGCTCACAAGCCGCAACCCTCGCTGATTGCTTGCAGGTATCGGATAGGGGACTCGTTCTTCTCGCTGCCAGTGCCCGAAGTTCAGGAGCTGCTCACGGCTTCCGTCGAGCGCATTGATGGTGAGGTTTCGACTGTGGAAGAGAAGCTCGGCGAGCTACGCGAGGAGATGCAAGAATTGAAGGCTGCATTATACGGTCGGTTTGGCAAAAGCATTAACCTCGAGGCTTGATCTTGCGCGAGACCTTCGATTATCTCTGTCGTGACTACCTTTAACAGGAAGATCATAACCGGCGTTGCAATCCAGAACAACGTACTGCCTCCAGGAGTCCAAAGTCTCTCCCCACCTGCAGTGTCGGAACCTCCAAAATTAGTACAAGAGACATGCGGGCCAACTAGATTGCAATTCGTTCAGCGCACACGACGGCTTCCGCTCTACCTCGGGCTGCGGAGATAAGATAAAGCGGTTAGCCGCATGCCCTCCTTGGAACTCACAAACGTAGCAAGTGCTCTGTTTGTATGTAGCCAAATACGATGACTCGATATGAYATCGATGCTTCCAATTCGCAAGCTGTACTCGTTCACGAATACTGCTGCTAAACCTCTAACGATTCAGACTTTGCATCGAAACTGATGTCAACCAGATTGTATCAATTCTGTGCTAAATCGCCACCAAGTTGATCGAGAGGAACAAGGCAGAAAAGCAAGCTCCCGGTTCAAAGGCACGAGATGCGCCCTACAGCACTTTCGTACAATCCGTGAGCGTAAACATGAGTGCAAATACCAGCTCTGGGCACACTGTCCCGTCCCCCGATCACCATTCAGAAAAGGATGCAGCAGAGACAGAATCAGCAGACAAGTCAAGAACTCCAAATTTGGCATCACCATGTCCAAGCGAAYATACCCCGGATCGACAGATTACGGTTTCGTTCGAAAAGGACGACCCAAGCAACCCGTACAACTGGACGCAGCCGAAGAAGACATGTAAGTGCCATCCTCGTKGACCCACATATCCAGGCACTGACTGCGTGGTTTCAGATGTGCTCCTCACCTCCATGGTGCTAGTCTTCAACTCGACTGTTGGGTCAGCTATCCCATCTGGTGCTTCCAAACAGACACAAGAGTACTTTGGCATCACCAATGAGTCCCTGCTCGTTTTGCCAGTGTCGATCTATCTCATTGGCTACGTCTTGGGCCCTCTAGTATTTGCACCACTCTCTGAGAGCTATGGTCGCAAGTGGGTGGTCCTCACAACTTTCACCGTCTTCACGTTGTTCCATCTTGGCTGCGCACTGGCTCCCACCTTCTCCGGACTGGTCATCATGCGTTTAATCACAGGCATCGCCGCATCAACTCCGGTGTCTACCATTGGAGGTATTTACGCTGACATTTACGCCACTCCCAAGGCTAGAGGCCGTGCCATTACATTGTTCATGGCAGCAACCACATGGGGACCAGTGACAGGACCGGTCATCAGTGGCTACATCGCCACCGTCGATTGGAGATGGACGTATTGGTGTGCTCTGATCATTGCGGGTGTGACATTCCCTTTTGTGCTATTCTTGCCCGAAACCTATGGCCCGATTTTACTCAAGAAGAAGGCAGCCACACTCAGAAGGAAGACTGGAAACCCAAACATCGTCGCTCCTATAGAAGTCGAGAATCAAAGCTGGCAAGAGTTCGTGACCGTGGTCCTCACTCGGCCGGTCAGAATGTTCCTCTTCGAATGGATTGTGCTCTTCAGCTGCCTTTATCTCAGCGTCGCATACGCCATCTTTTATCGTAGGTGTTGTGAGAGGCACCTTCGGGCCAGTGGCTGACATTGTGGTGCAAAGTGTTCTTCCAAGCCTTTCCCATAATCTACGGCGGGACCTATGGCTTCAATGCTGGACAGCAAGGACTAGCCTTCCTGCCAATAGGTGTCGGTTCAATGTTTGCTGTCCTCATCTACCTCTACTGGTGAGTAGATTCCCCGCCGATACGCCTGAGCATAGCATACTGACTGACACACGACAGGGAACATCACCTTGCAGTAAACCGGGCAAAGGATCCTCCACCAGCATGGTCACAAGTCGAAGAATACATTCGACTTCCTATAGCATGTTTAGGGGCGCCATTGTTTGTTGTCAGCCTATTCTGGCTTGGCTACACCGCCAAGGCAGAAATTCACTGGATCGTTCCGATTCTATCAGCGCTGCCATTCGGAATCGGCTTTCTATTGATCTTCATGGCACTTGTCAATTACATGGTCGATGCATATGAGGACTTCGCAGCCAGTGCCCTCGGAGCCGCCTCGTGTTCTCGGAGCATCTTCGCCGTGGTGCTCCCATTCACGGCTCGACCCATGTATAGCACGGTTGGGATCGCGTGGGCGTGCAGTTTGCTCGGGTTCCTTTCTTTGGTTATGGGTGTCGTTCCGTTCATTTTCCTCCGATACGGAGCCAAGATCCGAGCCAATAGCAAGTGGTGCCAGGAATTGAAGAGGAAGAAGGTCGAGGCTGAGCAGAAACGTCTGCTGCAAGCCGAGCAACGGGAAACGACTGCGTCTGGAGGACCTGAAAAGTTGGTGTGAGCGTTTCAGGCTGTATATTCCAGCCCCTTGGAGTGTCATGTTCGCAAACTGAAGCATAGTTTTTATCATGGCGTGTATATCTATTCCGTGAACGGCTTATGTACGCCAGGTGCGGCTTCCTTTGGCGTAACTGACCCGAGTATCACTTTTCCTCGGACTCTCATCAACATGCAGATTTCTCGGTTCAATGTGGCGTTTGCGAGACACACATCCGGGCACGATCGTGAATGGTGGAACTCTAGTGTACATGCACACACACACACACACACACACACACACACACACACACACACACGAAGCACACACGAAGGAGGCTTCAAAGCTACCAGACTTTCTTCCTTTGGGCCCCCGGATCTCTCGCATGGGAACACGCCTCGGACTTGCTGGAATTGCGATCCCGCCTCGAGGTCGTCGATAATCGCCATGTGTGCATGTGTATGTATGTATGGTATGTAACTGTGACAGCACGAACGGGGCTCAGAGCCGTCATATCCGAACCGTTGATGGGTTTTCAATGTTTACGAGCGTAGGAGAGAGAGTTCAAGTATTGACAGAAAGGCTGAATGTATCTCTTGTATCGAGGGTTTGAGATTGTTCGGTACATCTTGAAATGATTACAATATAATAACGAACAAGACGAGATGGAGACWGACAGGATCGCGGAAGTTTGTGATGGGCGTTATTGTAATCGCTTCTCCTATCTTACCTTTGCGTGGTCTAAAGGCACAGCGCAACGATGACGCTGGGTTGGAAAGTCAAATTGTTAGAGATCTCGGTGCTAGAAGAAAGGGAGCGAAAGAAATCAACCTAGAAACCTTACACATGCTGTGCTTTAAGGGTTGTATAGAGGATTACAATGCCTAGTAAGCTCTTATGCTGACCACCACTAAATGTCTTGATTCCCTCTTCCATGATTCTATATWTCACTTTATCGTTAGATAGTTGAGGTCGAATTAGTATCACAAGTCCTCGCTCCCGTCTGGTTCAGCTACATATGATAGGATTGAGGCCGAATCCAGGAACTAAGCGACATGTTGAAAGATAAGGTTGTTTACGAGTGTAAAAGCCCATAATACGTGCCCCTCTTCGGGTAACGAGCACGCGATGAGATTGCCGGCGCCCAGGCCCCCTGACCCGGCATCTCGGAGTGCCCTTGCAACATGGCTCCAGATCTGGATCTGTGAATGACATTCCCAACAACGATGATGATGATGTACACGAGAGGGCCGGAGATTGGCAACCAGGCATGATTTGAACAAGACTCCACGCCAGAAGTGACGCAACACCTGAATCAATTCACTGAATCAATTGTGGCAAGCGTTGCCGGCTGAAGGTCAAATGCACGGCGTCCGGCGAGAGGCGGTTTCAGGTATAGCTTGAGCAGCGACCGTCACGATTGGCCGGAGGCTATTGACTCGTTCACTAGGGCAAGATTTGGTGAGATCCAGTTGATCAAGATTCGGGGGTCTAACAGGCATGCCCGTGTCTCGAAATGGCATGCGCACCACCAATTGCTTCCATTCGCTTCATTATTGAACAGGCACTGCCCGCCTGCCTGCTAAGGTACGTGGCAAACCGCGCTGGCCACTGAATCGCCGAGCAGAGCAAGGCAGGAAGGAGCAGAGCAGAGCAGAGCGTGGTGCCACCAACGGGGATCGGCCGTTGCGCAGAACATTCCCGCCCTCGGGCACTGGAATCTCCACGCCAACCTTCAATGGGGGAGAGGAATGCCATGTCATGTCATGGCTCCCTCGACGCTTTCCAAGCCTGGTACAGCACAGATATCTTCTGACTTTGGTTCCTTGCTCGGCYCGGCAAGTCTAGGCCTTCTTCCAATGAATGCAGTGCAATCCGACGCCGTCTCTGTCAGGCACCTGCAGCCCTGGAAATAATCTGGTCGCGAGGAGCTCTACCGCACTCTCGTTTGTACCGCTTCGATCCGTCGGCGGACGGTGCCGTGCTGGAACGTGGTAAGGATTGTGGTCAAGTCGTACAATACCTTATTACTGTACTGTATTGTATGTACATGCTCGTCCATCTGCATTGCTGCTCCACACCCTTCACCACCGCACCTGTTCGACGCTTGCTGCCTAAGTCGCCCGCAGTATACCACTAGCCGGCCCGCCCACACCGGCCACTTCTTCTTTGCAAGATCTATCCCCCCGAACAGGATGCAACAGGCTTGAGCAATTGGAAGGAAAGTTGCCCAAGGGGTACTGCAGAATCTGCCAGGGCTGTCGAAGAGCACATCCACCTCGCCATGGCGTTTGATCAGACCTACAATGGGTAAGACATGGGTGATGCATTGCCATCGTCTTGCCTCGTCCACTGACCCTCTCTCTTCTCCTCGTCAGAGCCATCGACTGGAACTTCCCCAGTCCCACCGCAACTCCCACCTCGGCCTCGTTCGCGCACAACAATGTCTTTCACACACCAAAGACTGGAACCTTTCCGTCTCACTTTCAAGATGCCTTTAGCACACCACAAATACCGAGCTATACCACTCCTCGCCAGCCTGACTATGCCACCATGACGCCAATACAAGGCCAGCACATGTCACTGGATACCATAAGAAACAACTTTTATGCGGGCATGCAAGGAGGAGCTGCAGGTGGGCAAATAATGCCGCTTCCCGTGCACGCTGGATACGGCCAGTCTGCAGCCGTCTCGAGCCCAGCTTTCGCTCAAACTCAAGTGTCGCAAATGCAGCCTGCAATGGCCTTGTCATTCGATTCGTCCCAGATCCAGACACCACCGCCCACTCGAGGAAGTTCTGCAAAGAAAACGCAGCCGCGGGAAGTTGCATTCGGTACTCCTTCCACAATTGCCACCCGGAGGTTCATGACACCGCAACAGGTGTACAGCTCTAGCCAGAATGCATCTGCAACTCAGCAAGCTCCTATGCAATACCCGCAGCTTCAATTCTCTCCCGATGTGTACCAGTTCGGCAATCTGGGACCAGCCTCTGTCCCTGTCTTTCCACAGACTCAGCTTCTATGGGGATCTACCGCCAGTCCAACCATGTACAACCAACAGCCAAGCCTAGACGACCCGTTCGCACCGATCTCCTCTACATCAATGAGCTGGGCAGCTGAATCGACGACACAAAGCAACACGCCGAGGAATGCTTTCGATACACCTGCCATGGGTAGCTTTCCAGTCCAAGGACCCATGCAARGGCCAATCTCTGCCGGGCACTACTCGACTGGCCAAACCCATACTCAGGCTCCAGTCATGACTACGGCCTCGGTGGATCCGTCATTGGTGTATAGCTCGCCCATTCGTCCAATCGTGCAGTCTGTTGGTCGTGCAAGTAAGCAACRTGGAAGCGCCTCGAAGACAGAGACCAACCGCAAGGACAGTGGCATGGCAKAGCGGCAACGCTCCGAAACACTCTCCTCCACCGACACTGCCTCCAACAATGGACTACGAAGGAGTAATACAACAGCGACCGCTCGCAACAGAGCGACACCTATTTCAGAGTCTCTAGGGAGGAGTACTAGCATGCTTTCGGTTCCACGCACCGCATCGCCGCTCAAACGAATCGGAAAACCCTTGCTTGGGTCCATCTCGGAAACAAAGCAGTTGAGGCCTCGCGCCTCTGTAGTCCTTACGGTCGACGAGAGCGGTCGAGCGAGCACAGTCACGCAGCGTGTAGACGACAGTCCGACCAAGTCAGTGCGTGAGAGATATCCTGGCCTGTTCGACAGTGACTCCAGTGATAGTGAATCGGAGGATGATGGCGACAGCATGAGCTGCAGTGCGTCCTTTAGCTTTTCTAGAGGGGAGGAGAGAAAGCCCAAGACGGCCAGGCTCGATCCTCCCATTGAAAATCTTGATGGTCTCCGTTTACAGCGTTCGTCGAGCTCAGCGTCGATGAGGGTGAGTTTTGAACGCCCTAATCCCTTTTCATTCCTACCTTCTGCGCAATGACATGTACTAACATTCGTCCCGTCAGGTCACGCCATCGAGAGCGTCCATCGCCGCCGTGGCACAACTGCGAAAAGGAGGCAGCCTACGAAAGAAAAATCCCAGTCGGAATTCCAGCAGACGCATCACAGCTTCATCGATAGACACATGCCCCATGGTCGGTTCTCTAGCAAGATGACGTTGAGGATCACACGCTAATCTACCAAGTAGGATACTCCATCGGACGACCGTCAATCCCGTGGCGACGCAKATGAGCTTAGCCAGATTCCGGACTGGAATCCCAACACCATTCAAGATTACAACAGACGATGGAGCATCATGTCGATGGAACAGCAGACCAGTGTTTCGCCCACGCACCAGTATTCAGATCTACAGTACCCACCCGTCCAGCCAGCACAGCCAGCACCACCTACTTTACCCATCAGATGTCAATGCGGCTACACCACCGATCGTGACCAAGCCCTTATACAGTGCATCTCATGTACGCAGTATCTTCATACCGTGTGCAATCCTACAGCGATGCCCGGAAACTTTACATGCTTCCTGTGCACCAAACCTACCTCCCGGTCCGTTGCGAGCAGGACAGGAAGCCGTGTGCGATCATGAGTCGACGCAATCATGCCAACGACTTTACTATTCCACGAAACAACCACATCAAAACACCTCATTGAGTAGCGTTCAAGCGTTCCGTCTAGCTACAGCCCACGGCATAATTCGCACTCCTTTGTTTAATACAAAGCATCCCTATTGCGGCACATCTTCATATCAGGAGTCGGAGAACAAAGCATCGTTATTGCAGCACGTCTTCCCATCAGGAAGCGGAGAACAAAGCAGTCCCTCATGTGAGACATCCTTTTGTCTACACCTATCTAATGTCTTGTCTGTAACACCATACGCATTAAGAAGACATACATTATTATCAGCTCTTGCCACAGGTCTCGGCACACTTCGATCCCTTTTCGGCTCTTTTGCATACCGCTGACCATCTAATCGATACTGCCCGGCTGCAGGCAGTCACYAACAGCTGTCATACCCACGAGCGATAGGCTCCATACTCAGTAACATGCCGTCCTCGCACGGCCCGCCACGCCGACATCACCACCACCAAAACTTTCCTCCCCAGCAGTACACTGATTTGAGAAGCAGCGATATCTCACTATTAGCACCCTTGTTCGGACCGAAGCCAGCACCTACATCACCTACGTATGCGGCATACGAGTCCAGCACCCGCAAGAAGATCAGTGAACTACCATCTCACCTGCGAAGTAAACTAGCCATACTCTCCACATTCTGCTCCGTGCACAATAAGTTGAACTCCCTCCCCATCACAAGCATTCTCACCTTCATGCAGAATGAGGTTACGCCCGAAKCTCTCTTCCACTGGGCGCCAGTCGAAAAGACAAGTTGGTTAGACAGAAAGACTCTCGCTCTTCTCGAAGAAATGAACTCTGTCTGGCAAAGTCCCGCCGCCTTCCAACTTGATTACTGCAGACTTCCCAACTCTAGGACTCGATGGAATTTCATAAACAGCAAATGCGCAGCCTGTAAACTCGTCGAAGTCGCCAACAACGTCCCCGGAATCGTGGCTTTGGGCGGTTGCGTGATAGCACGTCTCGATCCCGCGAATTGGAAGAAGAGCAAGCGAATCCAATGGTTTGAAAAGTGGATTGCCGCCTCGGTTGAGCGAGAAGATCAAACCGAAGGAGTGGTAAAAGCCATGTGGGAATGTGGCGTCAAACTCAGGAATGCCATGGGAACAAGCGACGCGCCAGGGAAGAGAGCTTACATCGATGACTTTGTGGCTCAGACACGGATGCCGCTGAGACCTGCGCGGTCCGAAACGCAGGAGAGTCACATTGCTGATACAGCACGGCTAATGAGCGATAAAGATGAAGATGAGGGCTCGGATACGCAGTCTATCAAGACGATTCGGAAACGATTCCCACCGATTGCTAAATCACCGCCACCGCCGCCGCCGCCAGGAGCTAGTGTCGCCGCTCCTACTCCCGAGCAAGCGCCTCCAACAAAGCTGCCGACGCGGTACATACCATCTGTAGATTTCTTTGGACGAGCTCAGCAGAGTTTCCACGCGGATGACACAAAGACTTTGCTGAATCCGGCGGCTCCGATAACGCCACCGGCACCTCTTCGTCCCACGACATCCAAGCCTGAGGGATATCGGGTCGCGTCTTCAATTTATTCGCGTGCTACTGATGAAGATGATGATCGGGAGAGATGGGGTAGTCAGGAGGATTGGTTTCGTACTTCGGTGCTTGAGGAGGGGGAGTTTATTGATTCTTATAGTCGGTCTTCGAAAGGGGCGAGGGACGTTCAGCCTGATGAGCGGGGGTTTATATAGATGGGATGGGTGGTCTGTCTGTGGGGAGTGTTGCAATAGACGATCTCTACTGAATAATGACACTTTGACTTATGATGTTTTCAYCATCGCTGGCATTGCTGCTGTAGCTGCTCAATGGTTTCGTTAACGTCGATTGGCAACCCCACAGCCCACAGGCACTTATGACAATGACCTTGAGCATCGAGATGTATGCAAAAGGGTTCGATCACCGACGATTGGCCTCAAGACCGACCTGCGTTGGAGATGATACACTACCCCAACCCTAACCCTACCCCGTCCTTTGACTTCAACGTCACCATATCGATCATCGCAGTTGAACCCACATTTGCATTCACACATTCATCAACGCAGTCATGTACGCGCGATCACTTCGAACTGGACGTTGCGGTCAGGCTCGTGAATGCTGTTCTTCCCTCGTACAATAATGAATCTTTTTCGCGGCGTAGGTGCGGTGCAGACGCCAGCCAGGCTGCAGACTTGTTGGGGAAGGCACGATGCCTGCCACCTTAGAAGAATCGACAGCAAGTCGACTCTCACACACAATCATTCATACACACTGTTTCACGTACCGTTCGTTGTTGGGAATATGTTGTCAAGGCCTGGATAAGTCACGCGAGATATTTCACATGTCTATACTCACAGTAGGGTTAGAAGACATGTTTCACTACTTACCTATTATCGGACAGGGAGACCTCTCGCCACTYAGCAACGCTTGTGGACCGTTGTTCGTTTTCTGGAGTTTGCTGTTCGTCCCCACCATGACTATTCTGATCAGGGATCTGGCCGAGACTGTCATTGAGAAGTTCCGAAGAATCGCATCTGGATTGGCTGACTTCACCGTGTTGCCTCAGAAGGCAGTTTGGAGGGCTGTAATAATCGATGGACATCCCTGGATGATCGAATGCCTGTAACAAGGGGGAAATCGGTATAATGCGGAGGATGGCGATGAAGACGGACTACCTGTTGGACCAGAGGATACTGATACGTCGCCAACCAAAGCCAAGCTGGCAGATGAGAATCCCTCTTTTAAAGACCTTGCGGAACGACTCAACAAGGTCATATGTCGGACAGCAGACGATGTCAAGAAGAAGCGCAAGGGACACTACTTTCACTTAGCTGATTCGATTCACTGCGAACGAGGCAGAAAGGAGGGCTGATGACGAAGGAATGATCGAATAGGGCTGGATTGGTGAATCGTCTCCCATGATGGTCGACTACTGGCCACTCATTACGAAACCCAGAGCTGTTGATATGAGTAATTTCCATCAAAGACAGCGCCCTGAACTGCCATCCCACCGGCCACGTCAGAAGCAATTGCTGGCGGACCATGGGAGAATGGATCGAACGGCACCATCGAGGCGCTTAGCCTTGACATCGATAAGGAGATTCTCTCCAACGTTCGAATCAAGGATAACGAGCAGGTGTACCAAGTTCACCGCAACAAGCTCAACAACACATGGAAGAAGGCCATCGATTGATTAACGGACCACTCTGCTAGTAGCAATAACTCTAGCAGGCCTAGAAACGACAAGTGTGCAGAGAGCGAGGCCTCAAGACGCTATGGGCATGATTGATGATGTAGTATGCAGATGGATACTCCTCATATCGACGGCTATCCTGATGTGTAATCATCATAGCGACAGCGCTGACGAAACAWCCTTAGGCTGCGATGAACGCCGTTTGTCGGCGCTTCATCTTGAAGCCACATAATCACTTTGCTACAACCCACACCCCAAAAGAACTCTCTGGAATGCTCACCTGGGACGAGCTCCTTGTTGTTGGTCGCTTTCATCCCTTTTACCAGCAAACGAACCCCTTCTTTTATGCTCACTTCGCCCCGTCGCCTACAAAACGAGGCCTCAACCAGCCTCATCACTCCCATATTCRGACATCCAAGTCCCGAAATGGTCGTCAAGCAGTCAAGCCGACAAGATGAAGACCCTCTTGGTCTGCCGATGAGTACGAGAAAGCCAGAGCAAGCACCGGCTTCAGCACCAGCCGATGGCCCCCGACAGGTGGCGAAGACAGCTGAGATAACAGCAGCAATAACTCCAGCAATCACTCCAGCTCCCATGACAACTAGCTCTACCATTCGAGAAGCCTACAAATACATCAGAATTGGAACGCTGCCCAAGTATAGCGATGTGAGAGAGGAGGACGATTTGATCGACATGATCTACGTGGTCGTCGCGGAGATTCAGCGAGAGCCCAAGCCTATTCGATATCTCGCGGTACGGTCCTGGAACATCAACGGCATCCTGACAGGCAGCTATACGAGGCCTCAAGTGCTCAACCAATTGCAAGGCATCGGACTGGCAGTAGATCCTTTCTTCGCCACCCTGAATCCGGCACAAATGGAGAGCTCTCTGCTCCTTCCATGGGACGAAGTCAACCCAAACGAAAGACCTCGAGATGCTCCTGTCAAGCCGTTCCGTGCCAAGACGATCACCACGCGACCTTGTGATATTCGGAAGCTGGAAGCGGGCGAATGCACGGCTGTTGTCGACTTCGTGGACATAGATGGTGCCATGAATGGCTTAGAGCTGCGTGTAAACTATCAAGTCGGCCTGCAATCCACAGAAACCCTTCAGGAGGTCCGCGATTTCTTTGGAGGTTCAAGATTTGAGGCCCCGTTGGAGACATCGCGCACTTTGGACGAATTGGTCCAGGATTTCAAGTGCCAATTCCACATATATGTGCTGCCTCAAGGAGCTGGGAAGAGGATGCGCCGCTGGAATGATGTGATGGGGTATAAATTTGGTGCATATCTCAATGAAGACATGTGGAAAGTCCATAAGCAGATGTTCATACAGATTGTCATTATGAGAGAGCGGAAGCTGAGAACGTCCAGGGAGTTGAGCAAGATGTTGGCGGAACGGGAAAGAAACTAGCCTCATAGCGGGATATGGAGGATTAGAGCGGTCTGTTTTGTCTACTTTCCAAGTATGCAGCTATTTCAGCCTACAGAGTTTGTCGATTTCATAGTCTAGCTTCTGAACTCGAACGCTCTTCCCGATGCTCTTCTCTTCACTGGACTGTATGCCGGCGCCGTCCCAGTCCCACTGTGCCCGATCTGTTTGGCATCAACATCCGTGTCCAGAACTCCCACGCTCAATTCTGGCATGCTAAATTCAAACGAGCCTTCTCCGCTCGCAGTAATGATCTGGGTGTTGATGTCCACCRCATTGATGCCCGTCGCAGGATCATTGACAGCATACGGGTCGCCACCGGGGTTAGTCAGGACAGTCAGAGCGGCTTGTGTACCAGGTTGAACGCCCTCAAATTTGACAGACACCGGAACATCCTGACTATCCGTGGTATTGAAGACCGCGCCCTTCCACACCATGGCATTTCTTGATTCATCCTTACCAGCGCCATAGYAGAGTGGACCGAAATCCGCCGTCGCAGGTAAAGTGTGCGTGATTGGGTGATGAGCGAGCAGAGACCAGACATACCAGCTGACTGAGCGCGTCGTCGTACTGGCGTCATTCTGAAGGAGTGTCACGGCCCACTGCCAGCGGTTGGTGTTGCGAATTACAGGGGCGTAGAATGTGGCGGGGATGCGATCCGAGTTGCGCTCGTAACCTATTAGGGAGACTGCTTCGCCCACTGCACCAATCCACCATGGGAATGCGTATAGACCACCATCCCAGCGGGTACCACCTATAGAGCGAAGGATTAGCTATGTCTCGAAGACGTTTACCATGCGGACAGAGGCACGGTGTAGCTCGAGAGATACTTTCGAACTACCGCGTATACCTTTCTGTCCTTTACAATCTTACCATTGGGATGCGAGGCCGCAACTTCGCCGACGATGTGTCCGATATCGTTATCGAACCGATTGAACTCCTCGACCAATTCATCGGGCTCACGATATGGGTGATAGTCTCCAATAGCGCCTAGAGGGAAGACGAGTCCCTCATTGTTATCTTGGTATTGGAATTCTCCAGGTGTTGCACCTGCGCCTGGGTCAGAGGAGGCGCTCGATGATATGACTTGGATATCCGGATATGCTTCGGTCAAAGCGTTGTAGAACATGGGGAAGCGGTAGGCTCTGTAGCTGGCCCAACCTCCGGGATATCCTGCTAGCCAATCTTCATTGCCGACCTCGACATACTCCAGCTCAAATGGTTCTGGGTGGCCCAACTCGGCACGCCGGGCGCCCCATGTCGAGTTGACTGGCCCGCGGATGAATTCGATCTGGTTTAGAGCATCGTCGATGAAGAATTGTAAATCTCGTTGAGGTGTGGTGTCGCCATTTAGCGCGAGTCCCGCCCAGACACCAAGGACTGTGAGTGAACTTGTCAGTGGGTAGTAGATCATAGTTTGACCAGCATGACTTACTGATGTGGCAGCCCATGTCCTCCGCCCATTCGAGGTATTCCATCAATCCTAAACCGTGAGTCTGTTGATAATCCCATACACCGGCGAAGCCTTGCCACGTCAGTGAGAATACCATTCCTACGAGTATAGCTCAAGCTTACCTGGTCTATATCGGAGGGGACCGATTGAGTCTTTCCAATCCCACCAAGTTTCATTCGTAGCTCCTTCAAGCATGTTGCCACCCGGGAAACGAATGAATGTCGGATTGATCTCTTCGAGAGCCTCGGCGATGTCAATTCTCAACCCGTTCTTGCGATTTTTGTAGGTCGGCGGGAATAAACTAATGAGGTTGAAATCAAGGAATCCAGTCGATGCAAGCTAGAAAGTAATCAGTATTCGATACGACGATAAATCGCCGGGGGGCGGACGTACAGTGGGATCGAAGGTCAACGTGAAGGTGTTGTTTGAATTTGGAGCATCTCGTTCTGGGACGAGCTCGAACTCATGCTCTATCCAATCGTCGGCAACGGCTTTGGATGCGATCTGAACGGATCCAAAGACGTCTTGTGTCAAGTTTGATTGGAGAGATGCAGTGAATTGGCCGGTGTAAGCACCACGAACCCAGAAGGATCCCGTGTACTTCTGTTGCTTGACACTCATGCCCCAGTAGCCGTCATTCTTGAAGCCAACGGCGCCCGTCCCGTTTCCTGCTGCAACTCGTATTGAATTTGGGAGGGCATCGGAGAGCGGTGTTTCCAGAGACTGGATACTCAAATTGGCATTGTTTACGGGAAAATACCCATCCAACAAAACTGTGTAGTTTCCTGTGGCCTGGAAAGCTCTATTGCGGATGAGCTCTGCGTAGATACCGCCATCTCCGCTGTTATTGATGTCCTACGACATGATTTAGCTCGTGCTTTTCAATACAAGCATACTTCAACAAACCTCGTGAAGGAAGCCATATCCATAAGGGTGTCCCTTAGCTCCAGTTACATTGCCACCAGCAGAGCTAACCACGATATCAACAGCCAACGACGAGGCAATGTAGCCAGAAGCCACAAGAAGATGTTTCAACCCAACCATGTCAAAACCACAAGCGAGRCTGCGACACTTTCGGACTCCATCTGGAAGGAGCCGACCTTGCTTTAATATGTTGTGGCATTGGAACCCACATCAGCCGGGGCCAAGGCCATGGGCCAGTGAGTAGTAAAATGACCCCTCATCTGTGCCCCATAGTGTAGATSTCGGKKST